CACGTCAATTTGCCTTTGTTGTCCTCGAACGATCACGTCTTCATGGTAACGTGGTGTAAGAACTGTACAGCACTTTATAAATATATGTTTTACTTGACGGTAAAAGTTTGAATCCGTACGAGGAAACGTAACGGAAACAGGCGATGATAATATTCCGTTGACAGAAATGCAACGGAAACGTGTCGTCATATTTCCGTTCAGGAATCATAACGGAAACATAACAGGTCCAAGGAAGAAGTGAATGATGTGGAAACATAGAGTTTCATTTTTCCGAATTACGGAATCATGCTATTTTGTCCTGTGCTCACTCTAACTCTGTGCTATCCTAAACCTAACCCAAACCCCAAACCAATCCTAAGCTATGGTAAAGGGTTTAAGTCAGGGTTGAGGATAGGGTTAGGGCAGGAGCCCATTACCTGGTTAGGGTTAGAGTTTGGGTTGCTTCGGGTCAGAGGGGTTTAGTGTTACAATCAGGGTTAGGGCTAGGGTAAAATTATGCTTAGAGTTAGCGGGGTTTAGTGTTAGAATTAGGGTTAAGGCTAGGATGAGGCTATGCTTAGGGTTGGCGTTAATATTTTTCTACAAGCATTCAATTGCAGGGTTTTTGGTATTGCGTTTGCAAATTTCAGTAACTACTTGAAAGTTTACTGAAAAACAAACGATAGGCCGACTGGTACACTTACAGGATAGATAGAGAAGGTTGGGGTTAGGGTTAGGGTTAGGGTTAGGGTTAGGGTTAGGGTTAGGGTTAGGGTTAGGGTTAGGTCTAGGTTAAGGGCTATAGGTTAGGGTTTAGGGTTTAGTGTTAGGTTTTAGGGTTATGGTGTGGGGCTAGGGTTAGGGTTAGTGTTTAGGGTTTGGGGGTAGGGTTAGTGTTTAGGGTAAGGGTGTAAGTCTCTTCAAAAATGTTTTTAAGAAGATTTTGTCACCTTTTTCAGTTGCATCATTTTGACTGGAGTGAAAAGTTCCGTTCTTAACCCGAGCCCTAACCCTAACCCGGGGTTAGGGTTAGGGTTAGGATAGCTCGCAGCTAGAGTTAGGGCTTGGGTAGGGTGGGATTATGATTAGGCTGAGGGTCACAATTTTTTCTAAAAACATCCAATTTTTTTTTGGTATTGTGTTTGGCTCTAAACTTTAACAACTACTTGAAAGTTTGCTTGAAATCAAAATATACCATTTTTTGCCAAAATAACTGCCAGAATGCGCAATTCGGGCCTTTTTATCAATTTACTCTTGGTTTAAGCTTGGTTTTTGTGTTTTCCCACAGACTCTTAAACTATTTTGCTGAGAACATTTTTTGCAGCGTTTTTAAAACTGAAATAAGCTTATTTTTGCAAAAAAAACAAACGTGTTTTTCAGTCGAATTTAGTGTTTTTGTCAACTTTAGCGAAAAATTTTGCAAAAATCGTACATTTCTGCCGTATTTTGGAGTTTTTAGACAGATTTTGTCGCGATCTTGTGAAAAACATGTAGTTTCAAGCTAGTTTTCAGTGTTTTGGCAGTTATCTTGGCAAAAAATGGGTAATTCAGCGCAATTGTTTTTTTTTTGGTTTTTAAGGTTTTGTTTGCCCAAATTTTACTGAGGACACTGTGTGTTAGCTTGTCTCCATTGTTTTTTCGCAGATCCTATCGCTGTTTTGCTGAAAACATAACGTTTCAGCTTGTTTGCATCGTTTTTGGTCGTGAAATAAGCTAATTTTTGCAAAAGGAAAAAAAATCTGTTTTTCAGCCCAAATTGACATAAAGGATACAGAGGAACATTTGCTTATTGCCTTTTTTTTTGTCCTTACTCATGAAGTTGATTTTGGCATTTAAAACAAAAACTCTGCTAGAGCATTAATTGAATGACATATCATGCACTTACTTTGAAGCAAGAACACTTTTTTTTTAATTCATAAAAATACCTTTTTATTTTTTTTTAAGGACTGCTGGATATAACCTGTACAACCAAGATGAATTTACATTCATTATTTGTCATAACTTACACTAAATTAGAAATTCAAGTATGAAATGAGGGTACTAGCCCTTTAATAGTGTTCAAAATTTCCATATGCAGGGGTACTTGTGGCTACTGGAGAAGAATCAGTCTTTAACCCTTCACCCCCCCCCCCCAAGGGAGATAATAAGTACAGATATCCTCTTCCCTAGGGGCAACTAGCTCAAAAGTGAGTGATCTCAAGGGCCCTCCAAAAACGTTTTCTACAGCAATAACTAAGCTCTACAGAAGCACACTATGCAGACAAAAGGTATAAGAGAATCTATGAATTCTTTAATTCTTGGTCCCTCCCAGGCCAACCTATTGTACAAATCTCATGACATCTGTTCCAGTTTCATCAGTCAATTTTTCAAGCTTCAAGCTTTTCCTGCAATTATGTACTTGTTCTTGAAGCTGAAAACTAACAAGGTTCCTGTAAATTAAGTTTACATAACAACCTAACAATTTGTGAAAATCACACAAATCCCAAGCTATATCCAGAATTATGCTCTTAATAAAATAAACTTTTAAAGCAAATTGGGATTTTGCCCTAGTTCTTTTTATTTTTTTGTTACTTTTTGAATACATTTGTATAAATAATGCTCCCCTAACTCTCCCCAAAACTTTTAGAACAGATGCAAACTCTTAAGAATGATCAAGCTTTACCTTATTATTAAAAATTTTTACATCTTAGACTACCAAGTTATCACAGAGGTTTTTTTCGGTACTTTGACCTGTTTAACACCTAAAAAGAAGAACACATACATAACACACACACAATCAGCCAGGTCAAAATGTGCTGCAGCCAACAATTTGGCCACCTACAATGAAATAGCTGCCAATTTCACACATGTCAGACTTCTATTCAGGACAAGATTTGGCCTCTGCTGCCTATTACTATTGCCAGCTTGCCTGCCACTCAAAATTTCAACTGAGATTGTACATACATACATGTGGGATTAGGTTACACGAGTGAACCTGCACTATTGAAAGAGGCCAATGAATTATAACTCAAAGAAACATTGATAAATAGAATAAATCAATAGAAATGACAAAAACTAAACTAACAGCAGACAGCACTTTTTTGGCCTTCGGGGCCTGATCAGTGCAGTGATCTTCAACTAAGTGCTTAATTTGGACATAAAACCAAAACTTGTTATGGTTAAATATTATTATTTTTCTTTCAATATTCCCATTCCAGCTGATGTACATTATTTGAATAACAAATCTTATTAGCATGTTAAAATCACCTGAGGACAAGGCATACACTTTGTGCCAAAATTGCTTTGCATCAAGTACGTTATCTAGTACATCATTACCATCTTCAGGTATTTCTAATTTACTCTTGAAAATCACACAAATCATAAGCTATATACAGCATACAATTGGCAGCAAATTATTAAAAAGGAATGCAGTAATCTTTAATAATAAGAGTAGCTAAATAACAAATAGCCTAGTCAAAATGTGCCGGTAACCAGGGATTTGGCTTTCCACACAGAACATTTGTTAGGCGTCTAGTCTGGACAAGGTTTGGTCTCTACCTTCTGTTACTATAGCCAGCTTGCCTACTTCTAAAAAACGTTTTGACTAAGCTGAAAAAAATGTTTGAGAGAAAAATGGCCACAACAAGCCCACTTACTGCAAAATAAGAAACATAAAAGTAACACTTCAAATTAGTACAGAATATAAGCCTTGCAGGATTTGGCTCTCAATAAAATTAGTTAAAATAGCCGATCTTGAGTTTAACTACTCACTCAAAATGGGCTGACAGCCTGCAATTTGGCCACCTACAATGAAGTATCTTCCACTGACTTCACACCTTTCAGACTGCTTTTCAGGATGAGGTTTGGCCTCTGCTGCCTATAATTACAACAGCCAGCTTGACTACTACTAAAGAACATTTTGACTGGGCTGTGCAAGTGTTACTAGCATATAAAAAGCACCTTCAGGTAGATTACAGCAAAGCAGACTTTGTACCAAAACACTTTGCATTAAGTACATCATTACCCTCTACAGGTATTTCTAGTTTACATGTGAAAATCCCACAAATCTCAAGGTATATTACATCATACATGTTGACAAAGCAATCAGGGGTACATTTTTCATAATAGGATGCAATGGTCTTCAGTATCAAGATTATTTGGTACCTAAATAGTAAAATGTTCGAGAGAAGACATAATCATAAACATTTTTTCTTTCTCATCAGCATCGACTTCCAAAAGTAATGGATAATGACCACCTAAAACAAAGAAGAACTAAATCAAATTTGTGATTTCACAGGGCTTCAATACGAAACAACTATACATATCTTTTATTTCCTACCACTTACAAGTGGCAGGAATGGCTGAAATGGCCTCCACGTGATCACAACAGAATCCTATGCGTGTATAACCATGTAGAACTATTTATTCGGTATCGAAATTACATCCCAAATGTCATGATATTTGACTGAAACTCAGCTTACCCATCTTTCGTTTAGACTTCGAAACTTGCTGCTTTTTACCACCGTTTCAATGTTTTCTTGTTGTTCAAAAGGTGGTAGGGCCATTGCAGACCATGATTTTTTTTTTACTTGAGAACCAGATCACAACACCCAAGCCTTTTCACGCTAAATATTAAACTACTGAGATTTCCTTCGCCGCCGTAAGCCGCCATTTTATCTTTCCCTGAATACTAGTTCCCAAGCTTCGAGCCCGAAGGTCTCAGACATGCACTGAAATTATGATATTCGTTATTTCAGGGCCAATTTAGAAATAACGATAATCGCTATTTTGGTGTCGAGATCATGCTGATCACAACTGAACGCACATTTACCCCTTTCCTCCGCCATCTTGAATGTTGTAAGACAGTGGAACCGAGTCCTTCTCTTTATTTAACACGTGTAAAGAGCATTGGTAAAGAGTGCCACGAAATTACTATATCCATAAATTTGGTGCCAATTTAGAAATAACGATAATCGTAATTTCGGTCTCGAGATCATGTTGCAACATGTTTCGGTTTCATTCTTGTCGATAGCCAAACTATCATGGCGGCGAGCCAAAACGTACCAGAACTTGGTGGATATGACCACGAGTTCACGGGCAATGTTCCTGATAACTATGAATGTCTTGAGTGCTTTTTACCAATGAGGGATCCAGTTCAGATTGTAGGATGTGGACACAGACTCTGCAACATTTGTATGGAATCACTCTTGCGGTAATGTCGAATGCGATTTTGCATGTAGTCATAGCACGGGCATTTTACACTGTATAACAACTATATCTGGAACAAAAAATATACTGTAATCGATCCATATCCTAAATATAGCATCTTCAGCTCATGCGAGAGTTATAAGGATTCGGAGCTCGAGGTTAACCACTTTTTATTGTGTTTCATTGAAAGAGCTACCGTATTTATTCGCCTATAAGCCGAGCGATTTTTCCAACAAATTAAACTGAGAACAGGTAAATTCTCGCAAAGGTAGGGGGTTCGGCTTATAGCCGAGTATTTTCGCCAAAAAAAATTTACGGGTGCTTAACAAGATTCGAAATTCAATGTTTATTCGACTATAAGCCGAGCGATTATCAACAAACACAAATTTCCGAGATCACGAAAGGTAGGTACATGTAAATCATTGTTGGTCATGGACTTTAATCTTTGATCTTTTCGCCAGCGACGCACCATCGATTCACTGATTCCGTAATCTCTAGCGATCTCGGAGTTGTTCTCGACGGCCTCTGCTTCAGCAACGACTTTTAGTTTGAACGCTAAGTTGTATGAAGAACGGCGAACTTTCGGCATGATGATCGATTACGATAACTTTGAAAGAGAGCGATTGTTTGAGACAGGATTCTGAACTCAGGTGAATGTTTTGTTATGTCACGCATGGTTCTATTTATTTACATTAAATTCAACTTATCTGTGATTTGTTGTTACTTTCAATTAAACGACCAATAACAACTGAGTAAATTGGACTTAATGAATATGTTTATTCATAACCTACTTTTTTGTTGCATGTTTCCCGAGAGGGAAGCTCCTTTTGTTTTCGGTTTATGTTAATTCATCTCAGTTAACGACACGCGTGGAGTACTTTGCAATTATTAGGTCTCGGCTTATATCCGAATGTTTTGTGTTTATTTTTTATTTCAATGCAACAGCTGCTGACATGAAAAAGTTTAGGGTCTCGGCTTATAGCCGAGATCGGCTTATAGGCGAATAAATACGGTATGTTCTGAATTTGAATATTTTATTTCCCACTCAATTTCCATTACTGTACTTATTCAATTCTATTCATGCCTCCACAACTGTGGTTTCCTTTCACAATAAAGGATTTATCTTTAAAAAACATTTCTTTCTTCTATTTCTTCACTGACTGTCTGCAGACGCCCTTCGCCATTGTGTCCAGTAGATAGGGAACCACTGTCACGTGACAAGGTAAGAGTTTCTATGGAAACAGGTCACGCAACCACGTGTAATATGTGGGGAGATAGTCAGGTAGACTGAACAAAATCTCGTTTTCTCATGTCTGTCCTTTTATCTGTCGCATTGCTGCGATTATTTGTTCTGCGATTGATTTTTTACTTAAAAATCGAGATAAAAGATTGAAATCGCTAAATATTTTCGCATGTGTACAAATAGGCATGCGGATCAATTTCAAAGTGAATTATGCAAATTTGTCCGTGTGTAATTGCGTAGCGTTATGATGAAAATTCTGAAAGTACTATGATTTGACGCAAAATTTTCTATTAAACAATACTTTTTGAACACATTGTCGGTCAAACGTAATATTTACCGGGCAGTGGAGTGGTCAAATTGTCGCTAGGCCCTGCTTGAAGTCTGAAAGTTCGGTTTTCGGTTTACGGCCACAATTCGGATCGCTTTAGAGAATCGTAGTCTCGTTGACTCGAGAGTTTATTCTGTCACCTTTAAGACCTTGACGTCCATTATTTTCCAAACAGAGTATTCTATAGCATTGCTACATTATATTCTGAGTTCCACAAGGTCTAACTCGATCGCGAAGGACCGAAAAATTCGACTTAAAAATTTTGAAGGTCGGCCGCGTGGACGCCATATTCTCAAATATTTGATCATTTGGTGTGAATGCATAGAATGATGCCCCTCTAGTACCCCCTAAAGTCATTAAAATATTTATGCAAACGAAGGATTCTGATTGGTTTGTTGATCTCCTAACGATAGAGAAAGTTTGGGGACAAAATTCTGCTTAGTAAGGGAGGTAGGGGCGGTTACGGGTGATTCAGGTGTCAAAAGCATATTATATTTTTACTAATAATGTATTTGTTTCGTTCATCGCGGAGCTTGCATTTTTGGTTGCACTATATCTTAAGTTGTGAGTAATTTCTAGAGTCGTTTCAGGGCGGTTAAATACGGTATTCTAAGTAATAACAGGTGCAGTAAGCTACATGCTGACATCGACTGCCTATTTTTACATTTGGACTTGGATTATTTGGATATGAATTTGAAATAATTCTTATTTTGGCAGATATTTCCAGATTCTGCCCATCAACGCGAAATCCTGGATCTGACCGTGAAGTGTCCCCATTCTGGATGTTCATGGACTGGAGCACTGCATGCTGTTGAGGTACAACTAAAGTGTCTGATATGGAACAAAAAATCCAATCATTTGTGACTTTTCTTAATTAACAAATAGAGAGGCCTTGACTGTGCTCTGTGCTGTTGTAAAGCACGTAGGAAGCGGCTAGTGCACGAAAGAAGTGTAGGGAGAAATACAAGACGTAGTCGAGAGTTTCTCCGCACTTCCTGAGAGCAGTATCGCAAAGGTCATGGGTTCAAATCCCGAACGGATCTGAATTTTTTTTCAGGCCCTATTTCAACTACAAGTTCAGTAGTATTCATAACTGCGAGGATCAATTCTATATTCGTTTCTTTAACCGCAGTGCACATATATGATTTTCATATATTTACAGCCATTATTCACCACTTGGAAGGTTTATTTGGATCCAACATAATGACCAGCTCCCAGTTGGCTTGTTAGCTCAGTTTGTAGAGCACTGCACCGGTTTGGCAGGGGTCATGGGTTCAAATCCCGTACGGGCCTGAATTTTTTTCGGACCTTATTTCAAATACTAGTTCAGTAGTGTTCATAACTGCGAGGCTCGATTCTATATTCGTTTCTTTAACTGCAGTGCACATGTATGATTTTCATATATTTATAATAACTTGTTTTATAATAAAGAATCCGTTAAATTTTCTACACATTACTCTCGATTTTCAAAACAAACTTTATCTCCAAAGCGAACAACAGTGTCGTCAGCATGTTCTTTGCTCTCACAAAGCACGCTACAAAAAGCCAATCAGAATCCCTCTTAGAATGGTTCAAGTGATCGGATTGGCTATATAAGACTAAAGCTGTCAATAGTCATGCCAGTTTGGCTGCATTTTCCATCATTCCTGGTTTGTTCTGTTTTATTTTTGAACAAGAAACTTAATATACTTTACGAGTATTAGCTGTGTTTGACTTTTATTACTGTACGTAAGCTTGCAATCTAACTGAGCGTGAAAACCTTAAAAATTCGGACTGTCCTTTCGTTTCCTCTTTTCGGATTTTCGTCTCTGCTCACGTTATAATAACGTAAATTACGGCACCTGGCATGTTTACAAACCTTTGTTTGGTTTTTCTGTTGCTACTTCCCGGCTCGCTTGTTCCGAAATTTCACCTTCAATTAACGAAAAAAAGCTAGAGAGAAATCCCGGAAAAGGTCGGACATAGTACAATTTGGCAGATGGCATGACAACTTTTGCTCAGCTCTGTGCTCTACACTCTCATAAAGCACACTCTTTCAACTAAAGACAGCCCGCGTTATATCCGAACTTTATTATAAACAAAAATCAGTGTACTTATACTACTCTAACATTTCAAACATTTCAGTCTAATGAAATAAAATCGAACGCGGACTTCAGTTCAAAATTACTTCTAAATTTGCCATTTTAGCTTACCTTATTTGGGGAAATTTACGTTCGTGCTTCCAGTAAGAAAGGTCATTTACTTGATCTTGAAGCGTCTCAGCTTCACACAAATGGAAGGAAAGAGTTACTTCTGACCAAAGGAAGTTAAATCGAAAAAGGCGTCGATGAGGGACGTTAAGGAGACATATGCAAAGAACCAGTGTTTTTAGACTTTGATGCTCAAAAGCTAAGAAAAGAAAAATTGAAAAGAGTGAGCTGTTTCGCACTTGTTTCGGAAATAAAGTAAAGGAATTAAGTAATAGGGCCGCGGAAATTAAATTGGCGATCCCCCTCATTTATGACACGGAAATTAAAACTGACCATAACTAACGACAATTAAAATTTAAGCCGGCTTGTTTAATTTGGCCTTTAAGGAATTGTTTATTTCCCATCAAAAAGTATCAATAACAACTCTGTCTTTTAAATTTGTAGAAACACCAGTCAGGATGTCTGTTGAAAGAAGTGCAATGTTCAAACTCAGGATGTACAGAGAAGTTTACCAAGAAAGACCTGAAAGTTCACGAGTCATTTCATTGTTTTTGGAGGAAGATAAACTGTGAGCATTGTCAACGATCATTCGTCCTTCATCAACAGCGAGTATGTAGATATCCATATTAACAATGAACTTTAAATCAATTTACTTAGACCCAATTATATTGTTAAGTTGGCATCACAATAAAGGGTACTTTCCATATGTCAGTGGTCTCTCAACGCTGCAATTCTTTTCCAGTGTAGTGCCAGCCTTCAATTTATGTAATTGATATATTTACACATTGCACTGTCTTCTTCTATGAGAACTTCTAAGAAAAAAAATGTTCCAGCCACACTTTTACTCTAGGTTGTGAGGTCCCCTTTCCCTCGCAGCCATTCTTTGGGATGTCACGTAATTGTTCCCTTTAAACTCTTGAGGAAGAGGGCGATGCGTGACAATATAACTACGAAGGTTCCCTGCGTTCAAAAACTTTTTATCATATAAACTAAGGTCATACACAAGGATTTCCAGCCCTGAGAAAGGCCGTAACAACACAGGTATATGTGTGTCTGATGCTGACACGGCACTCGCCTTTCGCGCTACTCGGTCAGGTTGATGAATGAACGGCAAAACCTTCGCCATTCTCAATCTAACGTCGTTTAACGGAATTGTTTTGCATTATGGCTGCTAAAACACAAAAAAATCCATATCGCTCACAGACAATGACATTCAAAATTTCCTAAAAGGAGAAGAAAACCAAGTTAATAAAAGGAAAACCGAAAGTTACGCATTCAGTGGCTTTGGTAATGGCATTTCTTGCGGCTGAGAACGACAATTGACAACTGGAAGATTTGCCACAGGCCGATTTTGTGTACCTGAAAGATTTCTTCTGTCGGTAAGGACCAAGTCAATAACTGAGAATTTTGTTTATGAAAAATTACGCCCATTGTTTGTTTTTATAGTGATCAACGCATGTTTTCATCTTGCTTGTGCCAACGCACTTTACATTTTTATTCGGGGATTGTCGATCCTTTCATTTTCATTCATTAATAAAGTATTGTCAGCAAAGGGCTATTGTGTTTAACTGATAAACAAAATAATGCGTGGTTGCTTGTAGATATAAAATTTCTCTTCTCGTCTCACTCGTACGATTGCGCTCACGCGTGAGCTATCAAGTTGAACACTCGAAGATAAATTCCGTATCTACACGCGCCCATGTATTATTTTCTATTTAATACATTAATTGATACTTTTGAGCATTAAGACTGCTGATTAAAAGGTGTTATTAGCTATCTATCAAAGCTAAATCAAGTACTGTTCTGATTTAATCAACGGCTTTGTGATATTGATCGCATTCCAAATGCTCAAGACCAATTTATCATTTTTCTACGCCTTGTGCATCTCGGGAAATTCAAGTGTGCAAGGAACCCTTTATATAACGAAAACCGCCGAAGAACCACGGCCATTTCTTAGAGAAAGAGAACATATTTGTTTGATATGTGTTTTAAAGTTTATTTGGTCGTTTCTCCGCTTAAAATTTCGTGAGAATTTTCTTCAAATTCGGTATATTTCAGGAGAGAGTCGCGAGAAGGTTTGACAAACTCTTGAACTTTATCCAAAATTATGATTAGTTATCTGCTGTTGTTGAGATCCAATGTCACTAGAAAGTCAAGCGGTCTGCAGCTTGTTCGTGCGTGCTGGTGATACGCAGCATCATATTCAAGCATGTTCTCCTTTGTTCTTTAGAACCATTTAAAAGTTTGCCAAAGGTTTCCTGTTCAGTGCACCAAGTGCGGCTCTAGACAGATTCCACGAGAAAAGGTTTGTTTACACCGATTATAAGCAGCGATAAAGGCTGCTATCAGAAACAGCATGCTAACTTTGAGCGTGTCTCAGTCGGTCTCTCTAAGGCGAAGTCCAAATATTTCTACAACCGTCCAATTAAACATATCAAGACCATCTGAATTTTAAGCTGGGATTAGCAATAAAGGGCTATGGGATATTAGGTTCAGCTATGAAGATTAAGGTTTATCCAGAAATATTTTTAATATGTTTACATGCCAGCCATATCGTTGGAGATCATAGATCGATCTGGTGTTCCCAGAACTGAAGTCTTGAGGAAGACAAAAGGCTGAGCAATTGTCCATGCCGAAACTTGCATGTTCATTCTCACAGTTCACGAAGAATGGTTCATAATTTTTTTGTTGCCTTTTTTATAGCTCGAGGTTCACATTCGCGATGAATGTCCTGAAACTGAAGTCCACTGTGAATACAGATACTTAGGATGCGATGCTATGGTATGGAATTGCCTAAACATTATTTCCCTTATTGAGTAAACCATGCCAAACAATGCGTAGTATATTTACGGGGCAAGGAAAAATACGAGCAATAAGCCTGTGACAAGAAAGGTTGTCCTGCAAAAGCCTACAAGACGTAAAATCAGATACCGTTATCGATCAAGGCGTCACAGGTTATGGTTGCTTACCGTGGTTCAAAAGAGTTAATTTACATAGCAATACAATAAATGGTTTGAACGCGGGGGGTAACATGTGTAAAAGATTAAACTTCTAGAGGACAAATCAACTCTTCTTATAGTGTAGTCTGATCGTGCGGGTGAGTGTAGTCGTGAGAAAGACTGTTGCTGGTAGTAATGAATGAGGTCTAGATAACCTGAGCAGAAGTCATCGTCCTGTTCGGTTTGTTTGTGAAGTTAATGTAGCGAATAAATCGTTTGTATGGTGCCGGTGGTAGTTGACACCTATTGAGGAGAGCTATTCTTAGTTAGTAAACCAGCTTTTCAGAGTCAATCGTTGAAAAGAGTTGGTACTGTAGGTTAGGCATTGTGCAAATGGTTAGATTTAGACGCCTATTACAAATGCACCTCAATGAACGACTTTGAGAGTTACTTCGATTTAAAAAGAAGCTTAATTCACCTTGATCTTTCTAGTTTCCACGATCAAACACCAGTTCTCATTCAAGGTCCCAAGTTGAACGTCACTTTAACCTAGCCCTCCATTGCTACGACGCCAGTCAGTTGCAGGTTAAAGAACTGGTCAGCCTTGTCAAGGAACAGTATCAGCGAATAGAACAATTGGAGACCCAAGTTGAGGAACAGTCACAGCGAAGAGAACGATTGGAGGCCCAAGTTGAGGAACTGTCACAACAAACAGAACGATTGGTGGACCAAGTTGAAGAAGAGTCACAGCAAAGAGAATAATTGATGGCCCAATTTGAGGAAGAGTCCCAGCAAAAAGAACGATCGGTGGTCTAAATTAATGAGTCATCGTCCTGTTCGGTTTGTTTGTGATGTTAATGTAGCGAATAAATCGTTTGTCTGGTGCCGATGGTAGTTGACACCTGTTGAGGAGAGCTGTTTTAAGTTAGTAAACCAGCTTTCCAATCCAGTCAATCGTAGTAAAGAGTTGGTGCTGTAGGTTAGGCATTGTGCAAATGGTTAGATTTAGACGCCTATTACAAATGCACCTCAATGAACGAAAACATTTCACACCGCAATGATTCGATCGAGCGCCCTCGTTCCAATAAGCGCCCCTCGAATTTGGATTTTGTTAATAGGTGTCCCTACTCTATTTCAGGTGATAGCATTGCTAGACTACATGTTCACCGAGATCAACTGTGCGTGCATGGTTTATCTTCCTTTAATTTCTCACTTGCAGCCTCATTAGAAAAACAGTGGTCTACTTCTCTGTCTTTCAACTATTGTGTCCATTGGGTGCATAGTTCCTTCAAACGAATGACTTCGTCGTAAAATTTTGTGACGATTGCTGCTTGGGTGGTCATTTTTGTCCTTGGATCCTAAGACAAGAAGTCCGTTTCCCAGTCTCATAGATCTTTTTTAAATAAACATCAAAACTTTTTCCGTACATTCTACTCTTTCTCAAAAAAAAGTTAAGTGCCCTGGTTTGAATAAGCGCCCTTTCCTAATGTACCAAAAGTAAATAAGCGCCCCTGACACTAAATCGAATAATTACAGTAAGTACAAATATTGGCCTTATCTTGAGTAATCAGTTCAAAATTACTTGAAAGGCGAAACAGTTAATCATCGTTTTCTATTTCTCGGTAGCTATTTTCTGTTTGAGCTCATCAGTTTTGGCTTTTAGGTTAGACGTCCAGCCCTAATAATTGGAAGAAGATGAATGTAAGTCCATTCGCATCATGTAACATTTGCTGTTGCATTTATACAAGTATGGACCAGTTCTTACTCACTCATTGAAAATGAATGTAAGTCCATTCACATCATGTAATATTTGCTGTTGCATTTATACAAGTATGGACCAGTTCTTACTCACTCATTGATCTTGGGTATTTCGCAGAATCTGATTGGCTACTAGCTCGTGCAAGTTGCAGGAAAGTAACCAGAGTAACAGTATGGCAGTGTAATTTCAGTATGATGTTTTACAAAATTTAAAATTACTTTAATAGTTCAGTTCCCTAGAATTCAAGTGATGTTAATGAGTAGTGTACCGTGCTATCTTGATTGTACTGTATTGTATTCTGAGAAATGCAATTGAAGTAGTTTATATTGTTACTGATGTAATTGGATGCTAAATAAAGTAAGCGAAAATAGAGTTTAGAAATGAAGACATAGCACAAATGAACCAATGAATTCAAGTATTCAGTAAAAGATCTTAATATAATAACTCGAGTAAATAAAAATCATTTATTCCTATGATCCTCCCTTAAAATATTTCAAAACTTTTAATTAAGGCAGAACCAGTCTTCTGGAGTGTCTCTCTGCTCTCAGTTTCCCCAAGATTCTTGCTGAATCCTTGATTGTAAATATGTTCGCAATTGTCCCGAAATGAAGCTTCATTTCAATATTATATAAAAGTTCAGGCAAAGTTCAGGCAAGTAAAATTGAAGACGTCAATCATTACATATTAAGAACACTGACAGGGCACGGGAAATCATTGTCTTACCGAGACCTCTTAAATATATGTAAGTTGGATACTTTAGAGTGCAGGAAAAAGCAGCAATCTCTGATCCTATTGTTTAAATGCGTTAGGAATATAGGGCCGAAGTACAATAGAGACTTTTTTAGCATAAGAGAAACGTCTTACAATTTAAAAGGAAATGGTGTTAATCTTTGCGTTCCCAAATTTAGTCTTAATTTTATGAGGAACTATTTTACCTACAAGTGCGCTCAACTATGCAATAAACTTCCTGAAGATGTCAAGCTGGCCGATGCTGTTCATTTTTTTAAGTCTAAGCTAAGATCAGTTCAGCTGTAATTTTTATATTTTTAAATTCTTTTTCTTGTGTGTAATTTTTATAACATTTTATATTCGTGTTCACATAGATTATAGATTATGTATTTAAATTTCTTTTAATACTGATTTCATTTACAGTCTTCACTTACTTATTCGCCATTATTAATAAGAAAGTAAGGTTAGAACTGCCATCTTGTGTTCACAGGTAGTTCAAAATACGGCACAACTCGAAAAATACTCAGCGATACTACATACCAAAACGCGTAATGGGATATATTTATCCTCGCTTTGACGTCAAATCGCTCTCACCACTTAGTTGAACGACTGCTCCAACCCGTGAGAGAGTTAAAGTCGAACATTTAGAAGGCCTAGAATGCTTACCTTACAGAGTGCCTTGGTTAATTAAATTGTCTGTATTCAATTTCCGTCCACATGTATGTTTATAAGTTACAGCACTTTGATAATTCATCTTCTCGATGGCTATTTTAAAAGAGCAACCATTGCTATGCAAATAAGGTATGTACATATTTATTTTAGAATTAGCTTATTTCAACTATCTCTTTCTGGGAGATTCTCATCCAAAGACTGGAAGGGAAACAAAGTTCGTTCAAGAAAAAAGGCGCTGATAGCGCAGGCAGGTAGTTGCGCGGGAAAAACTCCTTTTGGAGGTGTTGCAAGCTATAATGTCTGTGAAAGGTCTAACAAGTGATCTTAATGACACACAGTTGTAGTGGATTCCCGACGATGGAAAGTTTGACAGGTAACCTTAAGATACTCCTGTGTTATGCGGACATAAGCGAGGATCCTGCGGGATCTAACAGACATTTGGCGCGTTTGCTAACTCCATTTTTTTAAAGTGATGCTCGACTTCATGCGTATTTCTGGCTTGGTGGTAGCGTGATAGGAGGTTTGTAACGAATCCAAGCTACTATTGTCGCGAATGGAAACATGTAGCGGTGTCTATTTTTTCTTTTGTAAAGCTGGAACGCTTATCATAGGTCGCAGAGCTGAGAATAAAGCTAAACAGCAGTCAGCTTTTGCATATAAAGGAAGATGTAAAGGGAAAAGTGCCGATGTACAAGACACATTTAAATTGTACAGAACAGGCATTTAAATTCTGTTAGAGCCATTGGAGAATATATCTGTACTTGGGAATCAGGTAAAGTTTATTCAAGCACAATTCAAAATCAGGCACCTCAAGAGTACCCTGATGATCTAGAGAGGGTTTTTTTTAACGGAGTCCACACGAACGACGAAAGGACCACACCCATAGGAGAACCTTTTTGGAGCTAACCTGAATAATTTTGGCTCTAAATTAGAAATGGAAGTTTTCCCATACTGAATTGGCCATGGCCATTCTTTTTTATTTCTACATGTCCCTGTTACGTACCAGGATCAGTGACTTTGCCGGTTGACTTTGGATCACTATAGGGAGACACAATTCTTTTATCATATGTGAGCTGGATATCTTGTTCACCTCCTTTGCTGCTAAAATGAAACTGCACAATGGCATTAAAAAACAAACGGACAAATAACGGTCGCGAGATTTTTTCAGATTTGGCACATAAAAGTGCTTGACAGAGACAAATACCTCGAACATTTATCACTACATTACACCATTGCAATTACAATAAACGCTTCTGTTCCCTTTTAAATGAAAGTTACTTTAAATTTGTTTTCTTATAACTAAGCGTGCGCTTTGGGGCCTTTACATGGTCCATTATTTACCTTTATTTTGCATTTTTTTGTTGCTTCATTAGGCGTGTTTTGTTTAACTGATTTCCTTTCACACATACACTATTAAATTTTCCCAGTACTTATTCGATGTTTTTGTTGTTGGAAAATGATAACAGAGACACAAGTACAGTTCTATGTGCGTAAAGTGTCAGAACAAGCACCTAAAACGATACCGAGGACAATAACATTTTGACCATCCTGACAAGTTATGCAACGGGAATCATATCAACTGTAGTGTTTATTTTATTAACACCACTGGTAACTGATAGGTTTCACCTGGCTCACCTAAGAACATTTTTGCGCTCCGCAAGAACGATCTGTACGTGATCAGTGAACAGTATCGTGTGGTGTGGAGTAGGCATGTCTATGTTGGGGAGAATTCCTTTGGTTACAGTCGGGACTTGTTGTAGGATACCATGATACATTAACAAGTTATCCACTAATAGCTAACAAAACTGCAACAACAACAAATTCAGATCAATAATTCCTTTAGTTACAGCCGGGACCTGTGATAGGATACCATGATTCACTAACAAGTCATCCACTAGCAGCTCATAATACAAACGGTCCTCACCAATCCCAGTAAGATGGGAGCAAACCACATGTGCCGTCCATCATAAGTGTCATTCACACCGTATATCAACTTGTCAGGAGTTCTTATATCATCTACTACTCTTGGTAAAACGTTCACACTGTGGGGATGCGCGGTTATGTTGTTTTCCGTAAGGCGTAGTCTGTAGCCATTTTCATCGTAAAATTCAAGGCCGTTTAGACCGACGTAGTAAGGATCTCCCCAAGTGGAAAACAGTTGAAACTGAAATACGACCGTTAACAAGTGAAGGAGAAGTAATTCACTGGTATTGATCTATTTTTCCCTTTTGATATTGAGACAAAATTGTGTTTTACCCGAAAAAAGGTCCATGTTCACTACCTCAATTATTACTAAGGAGGGGCAGCGAAGTGGTTTATGAAATTAAAACTTTTCCGTTATCATAGCACTTTCAGAAAACTAAACAGTGAAAACAACACTTAAGTAAGGAATAATTGATTTACCTAAAAGTTGAGCATCGAGACATTTCGAAGATGTTTCATTTTGTGGAAGATGAGCACAAATTTGTCTCAAATCTGCCTGAACGAACTGATTGAAACAAGGATTATTGAGATTATTTAAGATCACAAAACAGGACACACAAAACAGTCACATTAAGCTTAAATAACAGCTGTGTATCCCGTTTATCTTGCTTCGGTAAGTTTTAGTTTGGGTCAAAACATATAACGAATAGTTATCGATCTTTCGAAAGAGTATGAGGTCACTGTCGGTAAGCTTTAGCGTCGGTGGTTAATATGTCCTTTTACTGAAGACAGCTACGACAACAGACCATCAAACAGTAAACGTCGGAAATAAAAGACACTTAACAATGTATTACACCTCGTTACCTTCACACCATTAAAAAAGCAGATTCCTCTATAGTGGCAAAGAAACTATAACTGCACCTGCGTTCCACGTCCTTGGTCGAAGTACCATGCGCTGCATATCCTCATGTGGTTTTAATAAAGAAAACATTCTGCCCGTGAGAAAAATGCCCAGAAAAACAAATGTGATTAAAATATAAGGACGTTAGACGAAAGAACGTCCATAAATACTGTTGAAATGTGTTCCATATTAGGCAATCGGTTCACCTTTTCTCGAGAGAAATCCTTCAGGTTGTGAAATATTCTTATCAGCGAGCTTAACTTGAACTTGTTTGGCCTGTAAACAATAATAATTTGCATGGGTAATACAGTGAAATAACATTACAGAATACCATTCACAGACTTAATGAGATAAAAAAATTTGGTATAGAGAGACACTAGACTTTCCACGCGGCTCCTATCATCCGTATTCCTGTCCCAGCTGCATGTCTTTGCGCGAAAGTTGCTCCACTTGCTTTTCAGAAGTTGGAGTGCACTTAACAGATTTCATCCAATTTCTTTGCCAATGAAATACATACCCCTCTAAAGGAATCATCTGTGGACTTGTTATAGTTCCAAACTCTGAATCTTACCAAAGGGGTGGTGTGTCCCACGTCTACTGTCAGAAGACGATCCTGCCCATCAGTGAATGGTATCAGCCATATGTGTTCATCACTCATTGTCACGTTTGTTCCATTTATTAATCTGTTGGGGCAACAATCAAAACTTTAATCAAAACCAAGGTACTGAAAAAACCAAGAAAATTCTGTTCCCAGATTTTTGTTATTTTTATTTTTTTATGCCATTAAGTACGCAAGAAGTACATCCATAGAGTTTTAAGTTGTGATACCAGAACAACCCAGTTAAAAATAATTAAATAAAAGCAAAGGTAAAACAGTAAGGAGACACTAAACCAGCTTGTATTCAAAGGCTTCAACAAATGAACCGAGTACTTACTTATCAAGAGTTCTATCGTTATCTTCATATTCAGGAAGGTCATTAAGATCTCTTGGAGACGCTTTGTGAAATAAATTAGGGATAAGAGTTATTTGAACACCAATTTTTCGAAACAAATACTCTGATTTATTTACAACAGAAACTTATTCTCGCGTTCCTCTACGTAGATAAGAATCAAGTCATGCCGGTGTTCTCAACTCAGCGAGGATGTTTTGGTCATAAAATGTTTAACCCAAGGACCGATGCAGATAAAAATTTTCTCGAGTTTCCTTTTCTTCTTAGAAACTTAAATTGAAACGTTTTGCAGACTTCACGACGACTGGTCAAAAAAGCGTCTTCTTGTTCCTGCCAAATTCATATTAGTTGTCATTTTAATACATTAACAACCACTTTAGACAAGAAAAAATATATCTATTTTTCAACGTATTGTTCGACTCTCGAGTAGCCAACTTGAGTTATAGAAATTAAGATCGTTTCCAGTGCGCTCTCAGTTCCCCTTACCAAATTACCACTGTTTGTACACAAGTTGCGAGGGTAACCAAAATTAAAAGAATGAGTGCTCAGTTCTTTTCAGACGAATTCGCTATATCCGTTTATATAACCGACGCCGAAACTCAGTCTTTTCAATGATTCAATCACTGACCTGTTATATTCTTCCACTCCCTCAGTTCTTTCTCTTCCTTTAAAATGCATCGTATTTTATCTTCAACATGCTGAATGAAAGAGGAATAGATTCTTGATTAGGTCCCAGAAGTTCGATTACAGTAATTCCCATGTAGCATGGATCTTCCCACGTTGAGACAAAATTGAACTGAAGAACTAGGAAAACCGAAAAAAAGAAAAACGTTTGCGCTTCTGAATTGACATTTCAACGGGAAAGTGCTGGGTCGAGACACCCAATCATGTTGATCTATTTCGTCCCATGCGTTTCTATAACGAGAGAAAAAACATAGCAGTTTAAATACACTTTAAAACATACCTTGGCCCTATAGGACGTCAGCAGAACTTTCAGAACTGAGCCATGGCTTCCAGTAAGTCTTCATCCATCATGAACATAACTGTCTGCTAAAAGGCACAGAGAGTAATTACGGAACACAACTACCTGAAGTTCAGGAGGAGGGTAATACGTCTAATGAAAAGTAATACTTAGCATTTTGTACCTTATGTGATTTTTTGGCTGAGAATAAAATTTCACGAGTAAATTATAAGTGTAATAAGGAGAGGCATGTATGTTTCGTAGGTCTGGGATGAGAGGCTACGTGTTGGTAACTCGAGAAACTGCTGGAAGAGTTACTTTATTCGAGCAACTCAACGCAACTGAAAAGCTTGCCTTTTTAAACGATTAGCTTTTCCAACAATGCTTTGGTAGTAAGATGGCTTTTTGCATTTTCCAATATTGAAATATAACCGTTGAAATAAAACCACTACAAGAAAACTAAAATCTATAAAACTTTTAAATTAGTTTATACCAGCTAATTGGTTACTTACGTCGCCAAAGGTATAATCAGCTTCAAGGACACCGCTGGCTCGGCAGTTTAAAGGAACGCACTTAAGGTCACAAATAAAGATCATTTATTTCCAGAGGTGTAATCACTTGGGGCGCCTCTCGATCAATAGTCGTAAAATCCAAATCAAAGTTATCTCAACGGCCAATCCGACAAAAGGTAAATATTAAAGGGAGCTTACAGGAACTAAAAGTAAACATGAACGAACTGTTTAAAACAGGGAAGTTTGTCAGTGACCAGAGCGCGATTGGTTAATCTACGAATCTGAATTGCTGAGAGGGTAAGTGTTTTAAAACAAAAATTGCCTTGAAAGAGGAGATAGAAGGATGTAACAAACCACAAAGAACAAATCGGGGTCGTTGTAACTTAGTCACAGACAGCGTAATCATAGACAGATCTGTGTTTATGTTTTGTTTCTCCCTTTTGTTACACGAAATAGACAAACCTAAACAAGTCTTCACTGTAAAACACACAAATAGTTGTCTAACACAAACGAAGAGCACACAATACCGTGCTATTTCTCCTTGAAATATCAGGCTTCCATTCAGGGTCATATCAATACATCGTACTCCTCTGAAGGAATGAATTCTTGATTTGTTGTAATTCTGGATTCAAAATTCAAAATTCATTTTCAAGCCAGATTATAACACACAAGTAGACTGAATACTCTCCACTTGAGACGACTTTTGTCTGTGCCCAGCAACTCTAACCCTTTCCATGGAGACAGCAATATCCAGGATCATGGATATTCTTGCCTACGAACAGGCACTAATCATTAGCCGATCAGTATGCACTTTTATTTTGGCCGCGGAAAGGTATTGGGCTCGGAGCAACGCAGACCGGGGAGAGGTCTTCAAGGGGTCTGGGACTGATAAAAGAGGGCTTAAGGAACCAACGTTTTGAGACGCAAACGGCAGCCGGAAGTGAAAAGTTCTTACTCCTGCTGTTCAATACACCTTTTTGGTCAGTACAGTTTGGTTTAAAATGCTAAAACGCAGAACTTACAGTCGATACATTAGCGTTAAAGCGCGCCAGAGACTTCTTCCGTCTCAAAAACGTCTCTGCTTGAGTTTTCTATTAATGAGACCAGACCCTCGGCAAACCTATCCCCGTCTCGTCTCAAATCTTTCGGCCGGCGGAGAAACGCGCGTCTTGCAACGCATTAATGAGAAATAGCTCTCAAGCTATGGACATATTGCCAGTGGAACTGAGCAATAGATTTTTATCAATAAATACTGCAAAGCATAAAGAGCATGAAGAGAAAACAGACGAATTTGATAACCTCATCAACTGTTCCATGACGGAGTTTCTTGCACTTTAGTAGTTGTTTTTTACTCTATCAATAGTGGTAATGCGACTGTATTACAACTGTAAACGATCCTCGGCTTCACACCCGATATAAGCAGTTATTAATTGCTAGAGATAATGTTGCCTTGTGTCAGTGATGAAATGAAACTCTTGGCAGATGTGCACCCACGCTAGCCAAGTGCTCGAAACGAACGTTTTTCAAAATTTACTTCATCCACACCACCAACTTTTAGCTGACATAAAGTCCACCTTTAAAAGTCAGTCCTCTCCAACAACATACAACTTGGACCAAACTTCCCATCCTAGAGATTGGGAATTTAACTTTAAGATTATACTGAAGTACCTCTCATCATACTCCTTGGTCTGTTCTGTTATTGGCTGAACGTGTTCTTCTCTTTTTGATTACATCTCATCTTGAGCATCACCTGAAATAGACAATGACGAAAGATGTTTAAAAAATCCCACACCACCCTACACAGGAACGGTACATTTTCATCCTCGACCCCTCCCATATTAACTCAGTCAAAGCCAGTATTGTCTATATAAAATAGTCGAAGTAAGTAAACTCGTTATTTCGCTACTGGACTGACTGTGCACACGAAACAACTTACCATGATGATTTCTCGGATCAAGATCCTATGTTATTCGCTTTTTGTGTGATTTCTCAAATAAATAAAACAAACTCCACGATTCCTCTAAACTCTAATTGTGCTCTCTGTGATAAAAGGTGAAAAAACAAGTTAAAATTGATTAAATGTAGGTGCCAGGAAAATTGTTTTCTAAAGCGTCATAATACGAGCATGTGATCTAGACGGCTAAATCAGAGTCAGAGCAGATAGAGAAGCTGGAGATTGCCAATGATTCATTTGTATGGAAAGTGCCCCACTTTCAAGCCCTTCTTGGTAAAGCAAAAACAGGGGTAAAACAAGTTATGCTGAGTGAATCCTCTTCTCTGTGGAAAAACGGATACATGTTAATATAAGGATCAAAATGATGCTCGAAAAGTTTAGTGTTAGATAGCTATCATGGCCATTTACAGAAAAAATACAAATAGCAATAATTGATCAGAATCCATGCAAGGAGGAGAGCGATAACATGTCGCGTGTGATTGACTTTAACCCAGCTTTAAATGCTCTTACGATAACCGATGACTACGAACTTGGTACAATGTTTGCCTCAGCAAATGAGTTATATAACATATCTTATATAGGTAACGATGCTATTCCCATCACGGCAAGGTAAGGAAGAGGACACAGTTCAGCCTTCATAAGAAAGGTAATGACTTAAAACCCATTCATATTAGACCTTAAACATTTTTTAAAGCTGTTTTGTCAAACGCGGTTTAAATCTGTTTGGCCGTCATTTTATCTGACTTTCAAATAAACGTTGTATTGAAACCTCATCTTGTGTTTATTGTTATTACGCAAGTGGTTTACTGTTATGGCTCCGGCTCACGCTTTTAATTTATAGTTATTCAGTCAACTTTTATTTACAAAAGCTTGTAGAATTTTAAGTTAAAGAGGTGGGTGCTGTCAGTAAATATGCATAAATAATGGTAAGAAAGGAGTATATGTCTATGGTTTGAATTTGGTTATAGTCAACAAATAATCTTGAAATATTTTTTTGCCTTTCGGTTCATCATAAAACGCTTGCTAAAGCGACAGCTGATGATTAATTGAATAGAAAACAAACTTCACCTTATTACCTTCCGGAGATCGAGGACAGGTACGTGGCTGTTTTCAGTCAGTTGAGACATTTTGGCTTTTGATGCGCACCTGGTGGCCTTGTGACGGGAAGAAGATGTATTTGAATCCATTCGGAGTACCTTTGTTTTTGCTGTGAAACTGTTATCGTGCCATTTCACCATCTCTGAATCAAATCTTTCAAAACTTGTGAGTGAGACTCTTAAGGGCGGCGGAAGGGATCGAAGAAGGGGTTTGGGCACCTACTTTCCTTAAACCATTTACACTCTAACATCAGTAGGCATATTCTCTATACTTTTCTACAGGAATAATTAAAAAAGGAAAACTTGTTTAACAATCAAGAGCTTCTTTAGTTGGTGACCACTTCTTTTATTCTCGTGAACTTTATGTGTGATTCAGGGGTGATATTGTAAGAGGAACTAACATGTTAGCCACTCTTATGGGTCAAAAGGTTAATCTTTTCTCCAAAAAATTCAACATCCCATGTAGGATCGATATCCCCCTTTAACAATGAGGTATTTTATCACTTTAAGTATCATTCCCCCTAGAAACAGTTGTTCTTTATGTCGTTACAAGGATAGCCTGGAGAGCAGGCGTAATTTTGGCAAGCGAGAGCTTAGCGATTTCTTTGAGAAAATCATGGGGGAGAGAAAGAAATTTGTACCAAGGGGGTAAGTGACGGTCAAAAGGAGGGAGAGGGGAAGGGCGGCCGGGCGAGCCTCACCCCAGCCACTCTAACTCTAAATCAGACATGAGAGGTCGAATGAACGATCGCGGGCACGTAACGTTTACTCGCCCTAATTAGACGGCTGCTCTGCAAACTATTACAAGGACAAATACACTGAGAAGATCTCCTAGTATTTTCGAATGGGAAGTACATGCCACAATTGAAGCAACCTGTTCTGCACAGTTTTTACGCACCAGAAGAATGAAACTGGCTTATTTTAGTCACCCTTCACTTACGGAGACATCCATCCTCGTTCCCAGTGTCCTCTCTCTTCTCTCCTCTCGGAAGTACATACGAACCTTGACAAACACCGTTCTTTATGCAATCCTATCTTTTTTTTCCCCTACCGGCCTGCCGTACATGAATTCTTGCATAAACCTCTCTGTAATGGAAACGGCCATTAAAAAACGGGCTTTAGATAAAAAAAAATAAATAGATAAACCAAAAGTCACGACAACAACCAGTTGATTACCATTTGACGATAATTGGTGCTCTGAATTGGTGACATCTCGCTCGAGCAGACAAAAGTTTGGAGCTTCATTTCACAGAGGGAGGAAAAAAGCATGTTTACAATACCGAAAGCTAATCAAATCTTCCACGAATTAAAGGACTCGTCGCACCCTACTCCTTTTGTTTTTTTTAAGCTTGTCTTCTGAACAAAACATAATGTTTGGTTTGAATTAAACTGACATGATCATGCTACGCAATTAAAAAGTATACGTTGAACATCTTTTTTGTCAAATTTACAACCCCAACTCCCCACCACTCTACAACGGCCACTATCCCCTTTCCCCAGCAGTTTTGCTGTGCGTTCTGTCGGGAGAAAGGAAGAGAGAGGAACCTGGGAGTGAGTTTGGGAGATGTCACGTCACCCACCTCAAATTTTATGCCCGTCGATAGCGAAATTAACATGGCAGCGAGCCAAAACGTACCAGAACTTGGTGGATATGATTATGAATTCACTGTCAAAGTTCCTGATAACTGTGACTGTCTTGTGTGCCATTTACCAATGAAGGATCCAGTTCAGATTGTAGGATGTGGACACAGACTCTGCAACATCTGTATGGAATCACTCTTGCGGTAATTTCGAAAGTAATTTTGCATGTGGTCATTACACGGCATTTTACATTGTACAACAACTATATCTGGAACACAAAATATAATTGATCCACAACCAAAATAAAGCGTCTTCAGCTCGTCCTAGTAATCAACGCATTCTTGCAAGAGTTAAAAGGATTCGGAGTTCGAGATTAAGTTTTTATTTTGATTTCCTTGAAAGAGCAATAATGTGAATTTGAATACTTTATTTTCACACTTAAATTCCATTACTGTACTCATTAAGTTCTGCTCATGCTACCACGACTATTGTTTCCTTTCACAATTAGGGATTGTTTACTTAAAAATAATTTCATTTCTCTATCTCTTCACTGACTGTCTACAGACGCCCTTCGCCATTGTGTCCAGCAGATAGGGAACCATTGTCGCGTGACAAGGTAAGAGTTTTAATGTCAACAAGTCACGCAACCGCGTGTAATATGTGAGGAGAAAGTCAGGTAGCCTGAAGCAATTCTCGTTTTCTCTTGTTTGTTCTATTATCGCTTCACGTCATTTCTAGTGGAATGTTTGTTCCAAAGAAACTCTCCGTAACATCCACTCACATTTAAGTTTCTTAAAGGAAACCCCCCGTAAATTATCAAAAACGATCTTCATAGTTGATATATTTGGTACAAATGGTTGAAATATTTCGAAACGTATCGGCCATTTTGAAACTGGTATTTTGTGCTTATCGCCATGTTCAATCGTATGATACTTTACAGTTGCCCCCAGCATCTCCGATTTCACATGACGTCATAAAAATTTAAAATCCAAACTAAGAAGGGCTATCACAATTTTACCTCCGAAAGACAAAACCTAAAAATTAATCTTTCGAAGAGGTTTCAGTGTCGCGGGGTTCTGTGTTGTGAAAATATAGCGATTTCTAATTTCGTAATTTTTTGTCGCTCGACATTGAATCAGCGGCCCGGAAAGCTGATACGTACATAAAATATGATTTTATCGTGTGACTTTTTGTTCCATGAGCATTAGAAACACTAGAAAATGTTTTAAGAGAAATGTTCGCAAGTTCAGAGTGGATAACGGTGTTTTCAGATGAAACAAAGGCCAAAGTAGGAGCCCATGTATGGCCCACTGAAAGTCCCAGCCGCTCTAACATTGCTTTATTACACTTGGACTTGGATTACTCGGATATGAATTTGAAATAATTCTTATTCTGGCAGATATTTCCAGATTCTGCCCATCGTCGCGAAATACTGGATCTGACCGTGAAGTGTCCTCACTTTGGATGTTCATGGACTGGAGAACTGCGTGCTGTTGAGGTATAACTGATGTGTCTCATATGGAACAAAAAATTCCAATCATTTGTGACTTTTCTTGAACAAAAATCAGTGTACTCATCCTACTCTAACATTTCAGTCTATTGAAGTAAGATCGAACCGGCGGACTTCTGTTCAAAAGTACCTTAAAATTTGCCATTTTAGCTCCATTTATTTGAGGAGATTTACGTCAGTTCGTGCTATCAGTAAGTAAGGTCATTTACTTGATCTGAAAGCGTGTCAGATTTACTTCCGAACAAAGGAAATTGAAGCGAAAGAAGTGTTGATGAGGAACGTTGAGGTGACTTATGCAAATAACCAGGATTTTCTAAGATAGCGCAAACAAGTTTTTTTTTACTTTGACGCTCAAAAGTTAAAAAAAGAAAATTTGAAAACGATGCAGTTTTTTCGCACTTTTTTCGGAAATAAAGTAAAGGAAATCAGAAACAGGGCCGCGGAAATTCAATTAGCGATCCCCTTCATTTGTGACGCGGAAATTAAAGCTAACCATAACTAACGAAACTTAAATTTAGCGGGGTTGTTCTATTTGGCCTTCAGTTGATTTAAGGAATTATTTATTTCCCATTATAAATTGTCTATGAAAACTCTGTATTTTACATTTGTAGAAACACCAGTCAGAATGCCTGTTGAAAGAAGTGCAATGTTCAAACTCAGGATGTACAGAGAGGCTTACCAAGAAAGACATGAAAGTTCACGCGTCATCTGAATGTTCTTGGAGGAAAATCAACTGTGAACATTGCCAAGAATCATTCGTCTTTCATGAAAAGCGGGTATGTAGACATCCATATAAACAAATGAACTTAAAAGAACATTTGCTTAGACCCAATTATATTGCTAAGAGTACTTTCCATATGCCTGTGTTTCTATCAAAACTGCAATTCTCTTCCAGTGTAGTGCCAGCCTTTATGTAACTGATATAATTACACAGTCTTCTTCTATGAGAACGTCTCAGAAAAAAAAAATGTTCCAGCCACACTTTTACTCTGGGTTGTGAGGTCGCCTTTTCCTCGCAGCCATTCTTTGGGATGTCACGTAACTGTTCCCCTTAAACTCTTGTGGAGGGCGATGCGTGAAAATATGGCTACGAAGATTCCCTGCATTCAAAAGTTTTTATCATATAAACTGCGGCGTTACACAGGGATTTCCAGCCCTGAGAAAAGCCGTAACAACACACGTGAAAAGATACGATATATCTTTTGTTTGATTTGAAAAGTTGATTTGGTCGTTTCTCTGCTAAAAATTTCATGAGTTCATGAGAATTTTCATCAAATCTAATGTATTTCAGGAGAGAGTCGTGAGAGGGTTGAAAGCCTCTTGAACTTTATCCTAAATTATGATTAAAAACGACTCAACTGTCGTTTAGTTATCTGCTGTCGTTGAGAACCAATTTCACCATCATATTTAAGCATGTTCAAACATGTTCTCCCTTGTTCTTTAGAACCATTTAGAAGTTTGCCAGAAGTTTCCTGTTCCGTGCACCAACAACTGCGGCTCTAGAGCGATTCCACGAGAAAAGGTTTGTTTACACCGATTATAAGCAGGCATAAAGGCTCCTATCAGAAACAGAATGCTTACCTTGAGTGTGCCTCAGTCTGTCTCTCAGAGAAGAAGTTCAAATATTACGACAATCGTCCAATTAAACATGTAGAGGCCATCTGAGTTTTAAGGCTGGGATTAACGATAATTGGCTGTGGAATATTAGATTTACCTACAAAGATTTCTAACATGTTTATATGCGAACCATATCGTTGCAGATCATAGATCGATCTGGTGTTCCCAGAACTGAAGTATTAGGGAAGACAAAAGGTTAAGCAATCGTCCATGCCGAAACTTGCATTTTCATTGTCAGTGTTCATGACGAATGTTTCATAATTTTTTTGTTGCCTTTTTCATAGCTTGAGGTTCACATTCGCGATGAATGTCCTAAAACTGAAGTCTGCTGCGAATACAGCAACTTAGGATGCGATGCTATGGTATGGACTTGCCTAAAAATTATTTCTCTCTCAGTGTAAACCATACCATACCATGCGTAGTATATTTACAGGGCGAAGAAAAATACGAGCAGTAAGCCTGTGATAAGAAAGGTTATCTTGCAAAAGCCTACAAGACGTAAAATTAGATACCGTTATCGATCAAAGGTGTCACAGGTTATGGTTGCTTACTGAGGTTCAAAAAAGTTAATTTACATCGCAATACAGTAAATGGTTTGAACACGGGGGTAACATGTGTAAAATATTAAACTTCAAGAGGACCAATCATCTCTTCTGATAGTGCAGTCTCATCGTGCGGGTGAATGTAGTCCTGAGAAAGACTGTTGATGGTATTAATGACTGAGGTTTAGATAACCTGAGCCAAAGTCATCATCAGAGTGAAGTGAGAAATTGCTTTCAGTCGAATGTACTAGGCCTTCTTCGCCTTAAACTGATTAGTCAGTTAAGCCGTGATGTTATTGTCTCTTAGACTAAAGTGGACTACGTCGGTCGTAATTGGTCAGTTTCGATCTGTCGGTAAAGTTAGGTCGTTCTGTTCGGAACGTTTGTCATGTTAATGAAGCGAATAAGTCGGCGAATAAATCGTTTGTATAGTGCCGGTAGTAGTTAACACCTGTTGAGGAGAGCTGTTTTAAGTTAGTAAACCAACTTTCCAGAGTTAATCGTTAAAAGAGTTAGTCCTGTAGGATAAGCATTGCGCAATGGTTTGGTTAAGGCGCCGATTACTAATGCACCTCAATGAACGACTTTGAGAGTTACGTCGATTTCAAAAAACAGCTTAAATCATCTTGATCTTTCTAGTTTCCACGATCAAACACCAGTTCTCATTCAATGTCCCAAGTTGACCGTCACTTAAGCTTAGCCCTCCATTGCCTCGACGCCAATCGGTTGCAGGTTAATGATCTGGTCAGCCTTGTCATGGAACAGTCACAGCAAACAGAACGATTGGTGGCCCAAGTTAAGGAAGAGTCACAGCAAAGAGAACGATTGGAGGCTCAAGTTAGGGAACAGGTACAGCAAATAGAACGATTAGAGGCCCAACTTAAGGAACAGTCACAGCAAACAGAACGATTGGAGGCCCAAGCCAAGGAACAGTCACAGCAAACAGATAGATTGGTGGCCCAAGTTAAAGAACAGTCACAGCAAACAGAACGATTGGAGGCCCAAGTAAAGAAAAGTCACACCAAAGAGAACGATTGGAGGCCCAAGTTGAATAAGAGTCACAGCAAAGAAAACAATTGGAGCCCCACGTTTAGGAACAGTCACAGCAAACAGAACGATTGGAGGCCCAAGTTAAGGAACAGTCAGAGTCAAGAGAACGATTGGGGGCCTAACTTAAGGGAAAGTCACGGCGAAGAGAACGATGGGCGGCTCATGTCAAGGGAGAGTCACAACGAAGAGAAAGATTGGTGGCCCAAGCCAGGGAAGAGTCACAACCAAGAGAAAGATTGGGGGCCCAACTCAAGGGAGAGTCACAGAGAAGAGAACGATGGGTGGCCCAAGCCAAGGAAGAGTCACAACCAAGAGAAAGAGTGGGGGCCCAACTCAAGGGAGAGTCACAGAGAAGAGAACGACGGGGACCCCAACTCAAGGGAGAGTCACAGAGAAGAGAACGATGGGTGGCCCAAGAAAGATCGGGAGCCTGACCCAAGGAAGAGTCACATCGACATGACTTGGTGGTTCAAGTCAAGGAAGAGTCACAGCAAAGAGAAAGATTGGTGATCCTAGTAAGGAACAGTCACAGCAAACAGAACGATTGGATTCCCATGTTAAGGAAGAGTCACAGCACATAGAATAGCTTGAGATAGCGTATAGTACCATAGGTAATGATAATGGAAAGTATCCAAATTTAAGGCTATTTTTCAAAAAGTAATACAAAAGAAACCGGAAGTTATAATAAGCGAACCCTTTTTTATGGAAAAAGGATTCATGTTAGTAATAGAAATGGAGTTTTCGAATCTTCTTCACTAAGGTTTTCTTATAAGAGCTGTACCTAAAGAATTTGACCGGCTGTTATCCTGGCCATTAAGTTAATCAGCGTTTTCTATTACCCGGTAGCCATTTTCTATTTGAGCCCATCAGTCTTTGGCTTTTGGGTTGTACGTCCAGCCCTAATAATTTGAAGAAAATGCGTTTGAATCCATTTACATGGGTTGTTACATTTGCTGTTACATTTATACCAGTATGGCTCTTGAGCACTTTAGTTTTTACTCACTCATTGATCTTGGTATTTCGCAGAATCTGATTGGTTACTAGCTCTTGCAAGTAGTAGGAAAGTAACCAGAGTAACAGCTGTGGAAGTGTAATTTCATTTTAACTTACTCTCATAGTACAATTTCCTAGAACGCAAGTGATGATAATGTGTAGTGTACCATGCTACCTTGATTGTACTGTATTGTAATCTAAGAAATGAATTGAAATAGTTTATATTGTTTCTGATGTATGTAGATGCTAAATAAATTAAGGGAAAATAGCGTTTAGAAATGAAGACGTAGCACAAATGGTCTAAGGAATTCAAGTATTCAGTGGAAGACCTTAATATGATAACTCAACTAAATAAAAATCATCCATTCCTTTGATCTCCCCTAAATTCGAATTTTTTTAAAACTAATTCAGAACTAGTCTTCTGGAGTGTCTCTCTGCTCTCAATTCACACAAGATTCTTGGTGAATCCTCAACTTTAAATATGTTCGCAATTGTCTCAAAATGAAGCTTCATTGACCACTGGTATGCTGTTTTGGGAAAAAAATGAATGGGGTATCGTCTCACGGCAGTTTTCATTTATTCGCCGTTATTAATAAGAAAGTAAGGTTAGAACTGCCGTCATGTGTTCACAGGTAGTTCAAAAAGGAAAAAGCAAGTGGGAATGAACTACTTAACCCTAACCCTGACCCTATGGCAAAGAGTCATGTCTCAGGGGCAAGGGAAGATCAAAGTGCTCTGTGAGCAAACTCGTGAATTGACACATTTTTTTTTAGATTATGTTTAATGTTATCTGGTTTAAGGAGTTTTGTGGTTGATTGTCATATCTAGAGTACGAGCAGTAGTTCAGTGTTCGCTAATGTAGCAAAGAAACAAAGTAACGTTGGGATAAGAAGGCATTACAATTGAAATGATCATGCTATTACATTTGACAAGGTGGATGATGTCATGTGTTTTAAACGTCTATCATTTTTGTTTCTAGTTCAAAAGAAAAGGTTGGAAGTAAATGTGGTTGAAAAGTGAAATTTACTGTCTTTCGTTGTAAATATTAGAAAATCAAGGCAATACTGTCTTAATGAAAACATTAACGATTCCCTCTTTATCAAATAAGACAAACGGGAACGAGTTTTGAGTGATATAACTAAGCCAAGCCTGCCACCGTCATTTTGGATCTCCGCCTGGGTAGATTTAAGTCACGTGCTCGGCAACGTATAATCAATAACAAGATAGAATTTCATTTCAGGCCTATTTATCAATTTTGTGGTGTGTAACTTTCGCATTTTAGTACGTTGTATGTATGTTGAATCTTCAAATTGTCTCGAAACTTAAAAGAAAATTGTTCTTTAAAAATTCACTGAAAATCGGTAGCTAAAATTGTTTGTTTAGGTGTTATTTGATTTTCGTGTTAACTTGTTATTTCGTCAGTCGCCGGCATCTTTAGTTGCTTCACACAGGAAAAACACACGCGACGAAACGTAATGATCAATTTTGTCCTCAATCTCACGCCATAACAGAAAAAGCTTTTGAACATCTGTAAACTCCGAGCGCTTCGCAGTAAGTGATATTTTCAGTGAATCTTCGGATTGTTTTCAAGTTCAAGGATTGTAAATTACAATTTTATGAAAAACGAAGGTTGTTCTGTTATTTCAGTGTGAATCCTTGCATGCCTGCCAGTCGCTGGCGCCGCTTGTTGAAACTAAAACGAAAAAAAGAGACTCTTTTAAGATTATCATTGGCTTCTTTTTCACCCCACCACTATTCTTAGCAACAAAGGTCGCCATTTCGTCTGTTTATTGCTCGCCAAAAACTATCAAATGCACTCAAAAGCCTAAAATCTAAAAAAAGTTTACAGGAATCGACCAATCAAGCGAGCGAGCGAATGCCATTCCCCACATCGTATCTATAACTCGCTCTTGCGCATGCGCGCAATTCACGAGTTAAAAAGAGATAGGATATTTGAAAATATACTTTAATCTAACCTTACCTTCTTCGGCTCTCAGATTGCTAGGTAAGAACTAGAGAGGAGTTTACAAAGAAACAGACGCAAGAGAAAGAGCAGTTATTTTTTTATCCTTGCTTTGACGTCAAATCGCCCTCACCGCTTAGTTGAGCGACTACTCCAACACTCGAAAGGGTTAGAGTTGGACGTTAACGAGGTCTTACCGAGTACCTTTATTAAATCAAATTGTCTGAATTCAATTTCCGTTCACAAGTACATTTAAAAGTTACGGCACTTTGATAATTCATCTTCTCGACGATGGTTATTAAGAGCAACCATTGCTATGCAAATAAGGTATGTATATATTAATTTCAGAAATAACTTATTTCAACTATCTCTTTCTGGGAGATTCTTATCCAAAGACTGGAAGTGAAAGCAAGTTCGTTCAAGAAAAAAGGCACTTATAGTGCATGCAGGTAATTGCGCGGGTACAATTCCCTTTGAAGGTGTTGCAAGCTATAATGTCTGTGAAAGGTCTATCAAGTGATCTCAATTGCACACAGTTGTAGTGGTTACCCAACGATGAAGAGTATGACGATTAACCATAAGTCTTTCAAAGATACGCCCTGTGTTATAAGGACAAAACCGAGGATCATGCGGGATCTAACAGACATTCGGCGCGCTTTGCTAACTCCATTTTTAAAAGTGATCGCGAAAATCTAATGCTCGACTTCCTGCGTATTTCTGGCCTGGTGGTAGCGTGACAGGAGGTTTGTCACGAATTCAAGCTACTGTTGTCACGAATGGAAACATGTAGCGGTGTCTATCTTTTCTTTGGTAGAGCTGGAACACTTGTCATAGGTCGCAGAGCTGAAAATAAAGCAAGACAGCAGTCAGCTATTGCATGTAAAGGAAGATGTAAAGGAAACAGTGCCGATGTACAAGACACAATTAAATTTTACAAAACAGGCATTTAAATTCTGCTAGAACCAGTGGAGAAAATGTCTATACTAAAGAGTCAGGTAAAGTTTATTCAAGCGCAATTCAAAATCAGGCACCTCAAGAGAACTCTGATGATCTAGAGAGGGCTTCTTCGAGGACAGAGTTTACATAAATAATGAAAGGACCACACCGATGAGAGAACCTTTTTGGAGCTAACCTGAATTATCTTGGCTCTAAATTAGAAATAGAAGTTTTCCCATATTGAATTTACCATCCTTTTTATTTCAGTCTACGTCTCTGTTACGTACCAGGATCGGCGACTTTGCCGGCTGACTTTGGATCACTATAGTGAGACACAATTCTTTTATCATTTGTCAGCTGGACATCTTGTTCACCTCCTTTGTTGCTAAAATAAAACCGCACAAACAAACAAACAGACAAATAACGGTCGCGAGACTTTTCAAGACTTAGCACATAAAAGTGCCTGACGGAGACAAGTACTTCGCACATTAATAACTACATGACACCGTTGTAACGACAATTAACGCTTCTGTTCCCTAGGAGAAAATGAAAGTTACGTTGAATTTGTTTTCTTACGACAAAGCGTGCGCCCTTGGCCTTCAAATTGCCCATATTTATCTTTATTTTTCATTTTTTTAATGTTGCGTTGGGCGTTTTTGTTCAACTGATTTCCTTTCACACATACACCATTAAATTTTCCCAGAACTTGAAATAATAGAGACACAAGTACAATTCTATGTGCTTATAGTGTCAGAACAACACCTAAAACGGTACCGAAGACAATCAACATTTTGACCATCCTGACAAGTTCTGCAACGGGAATAATACCAACTGTAGTGTTTATTTCATTAACAACGCTGGACACTGATAAGTTTCACCTGGCTCACCTGAGAACATTTTTGCGTTCCGCAAGAGCGATCTGTTCTTGATCAGTGAACAGTATCGTGTGGTGTGGAGTAGGCATGTCTATGTTGGGGAGAATTCCTTTGGTTACAGCCGGGACTTGTGGTAGGATACCATGATACACTAATAAGTCATCCACTAGCAGCTAACAAAAACAACAACAACAACAACAACAACAAATTAAGATCAAGAATTCCTTTGATTACAGCCGGGACTTGGGGTAGGATACCATGATACACTCACAAGTCATCCACTAGCAGCTAACAAAAAAAAAACAACAACAACAAAAAATTAAGATCAAGAATTCTTTTGGTTACAGCTGGGACTTGTGGTAAGATACCATGATACACTAACAAGTCATCGACCTACAGCTAACAAAACAACAACGTGAAATTCAGATCAAGCACATATGACAGGGATTTTAAGATTCCTAGCTACGTACGACTAGGCGAATAGTATTTCCCAAAACTGAAACAGTGTGCACAAAAACGGGGTATTCGTATTCTTTGGAGTTTATACAATTCTATGACTTGACCTGTTACATTTTTTATGACTTCCACGACCCAGTATTTTGTTCCCTCCTCCCAACATTTTAGTTCATTTCCATGGCATCTATTACCCACATCTCATTCATACATTTTGATCTTAAAGTAAGAAAACGAATTTCTTGACTTTCCCAGCCTCTCCCACGACCCTCGGAACCCTGAAAAAGCCAAAGCTGGGACAAATGACCAAAGTTATTTGTGTCGCTATTCTTCCTTGGCGATACATTTTGCTGTTAGTTTCTTTCCTTGGTAATGGGTGACAGCGAGCGACTGTCTAGGGAACTTAAAAAATATCAGAAGGAAAATCCACGTCTAGGGAAAGCAAATTTTTTCAAACCATAATTGGAATGACACTCATATTCTTAAAGTGTGATGACAAGTCTTACCCCAAACTGCTGAACTCCTCGGATCGGCGTTTTGCTGTAATTCCAAACTTTTACCATGGAAACTGTTACGGGCTCATCAAACACCACATAAATCAAATTGATCTGAAAACGAAGATCAGAAAACTTTTAAAAGCTAAGTGTAGAGTATGTACATGGTCTGAGAGAATCATCATCATGATGATTCTCTGAAAAGCATTGTATTTTCCTAACAAGTTTTTTTTTCTTGTTGAGTATCGTTTCGAAATCATTTAGCAAAAAACATTCCCCAACTGCATTTATTTGGTTTCAGGTCGCTCCGTAAATAGAAAATCGTGCGACGTTCTTTATAATGGGACGCAAAAATAAAGCCAGTTCGCGATTTTGCCACTCGGGATTTCACGCACTGAAGTCACGTTCACATGCATGTATCTACGTCGGGAGTTCTCATCTGCCCATTGCTGTTGAGTGTGTGACGCTTAACTAATAATGAAAACGGTCCTCACCAATCCCGGTAAGATGGGAGCCAACCACATGTGCCGTCCATCGTAAGTGTCATTCACACCGTCTATCAACTTGTCAGGAGTTCTTATATCATCTACCACTCCTGGTAAAACGTTCACACTGTGAGGATGCGCGGTTATGTTGTTTTCCGTAAGGCGTAGTCTGTAGCCATTTTCATCGTAAAATTCAAGGCCGTTAAGACCGACGTAGTAAGGATCACCCCAGGTGGAAAACAGTTGAAACTGAAATACGACTGGTAACAAGTGAAGGAAAAGTAATTCACAGGTAGTAATCTATTTTGTCCTCTTAATATTGAAACAAAATTGTGTTTTACCCGAAAAAAGGTCCATATTCACTACCTCAATTATTACAAGGGAGGGGCAGCGAAGTGGCTTATGGTATTAAAACATTTCCGTTATTATTGCACATTCAGAAAACTGAACAGTAAAAACTGCACTTAAGTAAGGAATAATTGATTTACCTAACAGTTGAGCATTGAGACATTTCGAAGATGTTTCACTTTGTGGAAGACGAGCGCAAATTTGTCTCAAATCTGCCTGAACGAACTGATTGAAACAAAACCGCACAAAGCAAGACACAATTTGAAATCGTAACTGTTACTGACAAAAAGTCTCCCTTTTTGAAGCTAATGATATAGAGAAAATGCCATTATGCTGACAAACACGTTTGCTTAAGTTAACGGAGAAAATTGTCAATGTACTGTTTGAACTACTTATTGGTTGATCAGTCTATGTACTAGAAGGATACAGCCACAAGGCATCAACGTTGGTTCATAGTCTGGCATAAGCTTTTTCAAATTCACCCTGCTTTCAGATCTAAAGACAGAATAAATCAGAGTAAGATCACAAAATAGGAAACACATTGAACGTAAATAACAACGCTTCGATATCAAGTAATGATTGTGTATCCCGCTTATCTTGCTTCGATAAGTTTTATTTTGGGTTAAAACTTCGGTGCATATAACGAATAGTAATCGATCTTTCGAAATAGCTTGAGGTCACTGTCGGTAAGCTTTGGCGTCGGTGGTTAATTACACCCTTTTGCTAAATAACCTTTCTAAAGAAAACATTGGCATCATTTCAACTGAATCAGTAGAGAATAACGAAGGTGAAAACAACTATTTACTGCGCACGATGTGAAAACAACTACCACAACTGACCATAAAACAGTAAACGTCGGAAATAAAAGACACTTACATTAATGCATTACGCCTCGTTACTTTCACACCGTTAAAAAAGCAAATTCCTTTACAGTGGCAAAGAAACTATAACTGCACCTGCGTTCCACGTCCTTGGTCGAAGTACCATGCACTGCATATCCTCTTGTCATTTTAATAAAGAAAACATCCTGCCCATGATCGAAATGCATGTTACCCGGCCCTGAAAAACAAATGTCATTAAAATATAAAGATGTTAGACGAAAGAACGTCTATAAATATTGTGGAAATGTGTTCCATATTAGACAATCGGTTCACCTTTTCTCAAGAGAAATCCCTCAGGTGGTGAAATATTCCTATCATCGAGCTTAACGTGAACTTGTTTGGCCTGTGAACAATAAAAATAAGCATAAGTAAACTTACAAAATAGCAATCACAGACTTCATGATATAAAAAAAAACTTGGTATAGAGAGACACGTATCATCTGTATTCCTGTTCCAGCTGCATGTCTTTGCGCAAAGGTTGCTCCACTTGCTTTTCAGAAGTTGGAGTGCACTTAACAGATTTCATCGAATTCGTTTGTCAATGAAATACATACCCCTCTGAAGGAATCATCTGTGGATTTGTTGTAGTTCCAAACTCTGAATCCCACCAAAGGGGTGGTGTGTCCCAGGTCTATTGTCAGAAGATGATCTTGCCCATCAGTGAATGGTATCAGCCACATGTGTTCATCACTCATTGTCACGTTTGTTCCATTTATCAATCTTTTGGGGCAACAATCAAAACTTTAATCAAGACGAAGGTACGGGAAAAACCAAGAAAATTCCGTTCCCGGATTTATACGAACTGGGATGCCATTAAGTACTCAAGAAGTGTATCCACGGAGATTTAAGTTGTGATACCGGAGCAATCCAGTAAAAATAGTTAAATAAAAGCAAAGGTAAAGCTTGTAACCAGGTCAGTAAGGTGACACTAAACCAGCTTGTTTTCAAAGGCTTCAACAAATCGACCCGAGTACTTACTTATCAAGAGTTCTATCGTCATCTTCATATTCAGGAAGGTCATTAAGATCTCTTGGAGACGCCTTGGGAGATAAATTAGGGAAAAAATTATTTGAACACCAATTTTTAGACAAACACTTTGACTTATGTACAATAGGAACTAATTCTCGCGTTCTTCTTTGTAGAAAAGAATCAAGTCATCCCGGTGTTCTCAATCCAGCAAGGAAGTTTTGGTCATAAAAAGGACAACACAATGACCCATCCAAATAAACATTTTCTCGAGTTTCTTATTCTTATTAGAAACTAAAATTCAAACATTTTGCAGACTTCAGGACGACTGGTCAAAAAGGCGTCCTCTTATTCCTGCCAAATCCAATATTAGATGTTATTTCAGTACGTCAACAACCACTTTAGACTAGAAACATTATATCTACTCGTCAACGTATTGTTCGATTCTTGAGTGATATGTTAAAGGAAGATCGTTTCCACTGCGACCTTAGTTTCCCTTAACAAATTACCACTGTTTGTTAATATGTTGATATGTTAATAAGTTGCGAGTGTAGCCAAAATTAAAATAATGAGTGCTCAGTCCTTATTAGACGAATTCGTTATATCCATCCATATAACCGACGCCAACACTCACTCTTTTCAATGACTCAAATACTAAGAAGCTTGTTATATTCTTCTATTCCTTCAGTTCTTTCTCTTGCTTTACAATACATCGTATCTTACCTTCAACATGCTGTATGAAAGAGGAATGGATTCTTGATTAGGCCCCAGAAGTTCGATTCCAGTGAGTCCCATGTAGTACGGATCTCCCCACGTCGAGACAAAACTGAACTGAAGAACTAATCAAACAAAAACAGAAATAACACCAAAGTGATTTTTGCGTTTAACTGACGTTTCAACGGGAAGGTGCTGGGTCGAGACACCCTGTCATGTCGATCTGTTTCGTTCCGTGTGTGCCTATAACTAGAGAAAAACACTCCTAGCAGTTTAACTATACTTTAAAACATACCTTGACCCTCTAAGAAGTCAGCAGAACTGTCTGTTATATCTCCTGTTAATTCAGAAAATCAGAAGAGAAATCATTTCAAAGAAGTATGTTTTGGATTAGCCAACGTTGCAGACAATCTATAAAAAGTCATGAGACGACTAACCTCCAGAAATAAGTTCTGAAGCGGGTTCTGATTTCTTTATATGCTGTTTGGCCGATGTAAGCGGTCGATCTCCACTTGTCTTTCAGGAAACAGAGAAACACACAAATTAATATGAACAGCCGTTTCAGTTCTAGGTGCATCAGCAAAGTAAGTGAGGTAGAGGACTTATATCTTATATTCCAACGATAAATTTTTATTTTTTATTTCACATCCTTGTTTTACCGCGACTGAATAAAAAAATAAACCATCTCTTCACCTAAGCAATTTCTTTAATTGTAAGCGCAGCCCTTTTTATATAATCAACAAGCCACAAACAAGAAAATAATCATATAATGCATACACAAGGCTTCTTCCTGGAGGGAGTTTCTTTTGTCCGCAGACAGACGTGGGGAGCTCAACACATCGGACTACATGACAACAGATCTAATCAATTGTGCACGTCTAACCTCTTCCTCTGCCTGATCAGCAGTGGACGGCCGTTCAAAGTAACAGCTCCTTAGTAATTCGTCTTCGTCCTCCTCGTCTCCCTCATACGTCTGGTCATACTGAGCCATGGCTTCTAGTATGTCTTCATCCATCGTGAACATAATTGTCTGTTAAAAGGCACAGAGAGTAATTACAGAACACAACTAACCGAAGTTTAGGAGGAGGGTAGTACGTCTACTGAAAAGTGATACTTAGGATTCTTGTGCTTTGTGTGATTTTCTCGCCTGAAAATGAAACTTCCCGAGTAAATCATAAGTATATTAAGGAGAGGCATGTATGTTTCGTAGGACTGTGATGAAAAGCTACTATTATCAGGTAGGTAACTCGCTCAGAGGGGATAACGTCATAAACTTGAATCATCGACAACTCGAGAAACTGCTTGAAGAGTTACTTTACTCGAGCAACTCAAAGCAACTGAAAAGTTTTCCTTTCCAAATGATTAACTATGCCAACAATGTAAGTAATATGGCTTTTTGTGTTTTCCAATATCAAAATAGAACCGTCGAAATAAAACCAATACAAGAAAACTAAAGACTAAAAGCCTTTTGAAACAGTTGTTTTTATACCAGCTAATTGGTTACTTACGTCGCCAAAGGCATAATTAGCTCCAAGGACACCACTGGCTCTGCAGTTTAAAAGAGCGCACTCAAGGTTACAAAAAAAGACAACTTTTTTCCAATGGTCGTAAAATCGAGATCAAAGTCACCTCAACGGCCAATCCGGAAAAAGGTAACTATTAAAGGGAGCTCACTAAAACGGAATGTGTAAAGCAGGGAAGTTTGTCAGTGACCAAATCGCGATAGGTTATCCCATGCGTCTGAATTACTGAGCGGGTAAGTGTCTTAAAACAAATCCAAAATAATCGAGGAACGTTCGACACACAGCAAAAAATTGGCCTGAAAGAAGGGATAGAAGGATGCAACAAACTACAAAGAACAAATCGGAGTCGTTGTAACTCAGTCACAGACAGCGTAATCATCAACAGATCTGTGTTTATGTTTTGTTTCTGCCTCTTGTCGCACGAAATAGACAAACCTAGACAAGTCTCAACTGTAAACACACAAATAGTTATACACAAACGAAGAGCATACAATACCGTGTGATTTCTCCCCGAAATATCAGGCTCCCATCCAGGGTCATATCAATACATCGTACTCCTCTGAAGGAGTGAATTCTTGATTTGTTGTAATTCTGGAGGGAAAAAAATTCAAAATTCATTTCATGTTCTAGCCAGATTACAATGCACAAGTAAAAGGAATACTATCCACTAGAGAAAACTTATGTCTATGCCCTGGACATCTAAACCTTTCTATGTAGACAGAAATATACGGGATCACAAATATTCTTGCCTACGAACAGGCGTTCATTGTTAGCCGATCAGTATGCACTTTCTTTTTGCCCGAGAGAAAGTACGGGGTCTGCAGCAACGCAAGCCGAGGAGAGGTCTGCAAGAGTCTGTGACTGATAACAAGGAGCTTAAGCACCATCGTTTTTTGATGAGCAAACGGTAGCCGGAAGTTAACAGTTCTTATTCCTGCTGTTCAGTATACCTTTTTGGTGACGACAGCCGCAAGTTAACAGCTCTTATTCCAGCTGTTCAATACACCTTTTTGGTCAGTACAGTTTAGTTCAAAATGCTAAAACGCAGAACTTACAGTCGATGCATTAACGTTAAAGCGCGTCAGAGTTAGTTTTATTCTCCTTCCGGTTGCCGTCCGCTTCTCAAAAACGTCTCTGCTTAAGTCTTCTATTAATGAGGTCAGACCCCCGGCAAACCTCTCCCCGACTCGTTTCCAATCTTCCCTCGGTGGAGAAACGCGCGTCCTGCAGCGCTATTGATGAGGGCTGCTCTTAGGCTATGAAAATACAGCCAGTGAAACTGAGCAACAGATTTTTATGACGAAATCCTGTAACGTATGAAGAGCTTACCCATATTCTTATCATGGCGATCCTTATGCTTTCAGCAAACGTAATACTGATACTATGTTTTCCTCCAGGTGTGAACGGAGCCAGCCAAAGATGCATATCATCCCTTTCAATAAAATGTAATAATGCGATAAGTCACCCATCACATCTCCTGTTAGCAGGTACAAACACACAATCGCGTAAGTTGTTGAGAAGAGTAACATTTTACCTGGTGCGAAAAACCCCATCAATGAGATTGGTCACTATTCTTGGATCATTACCATACTCAGGAAGGATGTTAATATCTGGAGGATCCGCCGAGATCTGAAAAATCGATCATAATTTTGCATATCTTGCAAAGTAAACATGTATAGTTGTACCTCTACCGCGTCAAAATCTGTAATTGTAATGATAACAAACACTTCGAATCTGGCTGGCTCCTAATCCGCATTTTCATGGCTTCATTGTCTACTACAGGACCAACAAACCGCTTCAGTCTGACCGATTGCAAGCGGCTTTTAATCAAGCAGTTTACATCGGATTATTGAACAACCAGGGAAATTCAAGTGGAATATGTATTTAGCCAATGAGATTCAGCTAACTTATCAAAGTTAACCAATCAATTTCAAGAAAATACTGCGAATAATAAAACTTTTCGACTCTAGCTTGGGAACAAAACTGAATGAAAATAAGTAGTCAGAATACTACGGTTTCCTTGGATATCTAAAAACAGCTTTCAAACCATTGCTTTAGAAAGCTAGGAAAACAATATAGTAGCTGATGTTTGTAATTCAACAAGTCATGCTCTGAAAAGAAAACATTGTTTCCTGAATCGCCTGTCACTAAAACCTAGTACCATTACCCACTGAGATAACAAATACTTAGTTTGCCAGTCTCACAATCACTAACCTCTATAATCTCTGCAGGTTTACCACAATCTGTGAACACCTCAATTCCATTGAGTCCTACGTAGTTTCTGTCTCCCCAGGTGTTCTTGATGTAGATCACTAACTGCTTTCCTCTGGGAAGTGTTGGAATCTCTAAATCGGTCAAACCACTGAGGAAATAACCATCAGAGTAATTATGATCACTATATAAAGAAAAATCAACTCAAATTCCAAAATTAAGGAAAACTGCATGAATTGACTACGAACACTTTGAACACTACGTATTGTTTTATTTTTGCTCAAAACGAAAACATGTTAAGTTCTTACACCCATTAGTGCATTTAATCGTCCAAATAAACGGTGCCAAAACAAACAGATTCAAACCTGCCATAACCTAGCTAAGACACGCTCACGAACTCAGAGTTCTAACGCGTCCAAGTTACTTTACAACTGTAAACGATCCTCGGCTTCACACCCGATATAAGCAGTTATTAATTGCCAGAAATAATGTCGCCTGTGTCAGCGATTAAGGAAAACTCTTAGCAGATTTGCACCAACGCGAGCCAAGGGCTCGAAACGAACGTTCTTCAAAATTTACTTCATCCGCACAACTAACTTTTAGCTGACATAAAGTCTGCATTAAAAAGTTAGTCTTCTCCAACATCACACAACGTGGACCAGACTTCCCATCCTATTAGAGATTGGGAATTCATCTTTACATTATACTGAAGTACCTCTCATCGATCTCCTTAGACTGTTCTGTTATTGGCTGAATGTGTTCTTCTCTTTTTGATAACATCTCATCTAGAGCATCACCTAAAAAAAACAATGACGAAAGATATTTAAAAAATCCCACATCACCCAACACAGGAACGGTACATTTTCATCCTCGACACCACCCCTATTAACTCAGCCAAAGCCACTATTGTCTATACAAAATAGTCGAGGTAAGTAAACTCGCTATTTAGCAACTGGACTGACTGCGCACACGAAACAACTTACCATGATTTTCCAGATCAAGATCCTTTGTTATTCGCCCTCTGTGTGATTTCTCAAACAAAGACAATAAACTCCACGATTCCTCTAAACTCAAATTCTGCTCTCTGTGATAAAAGGTAAAGAAAAACAAGATAAAATTGATTAAACGTAGGTGCCAAGAGAATTATGTTCTAAGGCGTCATAACACAAGCATGTGATCTGGGTGACTAAATCAGAAATTGCACTCGATAACTCGCAAGATGCTTTTGAGTCGAGTGGTCCTTTACACGAGAGCTTAGTCCGGTCTCCGAAGCATGACGCTACTGAGAAAATTGTAGCTCCTCCTAGATAAAATGCCAGTCCCACGCAGGTTACCCTTCAGCTTTTCTTCCTGTATCCCTTCGGTTTGCCCAACCACTTTTATACTTCAGGTGGAGGGAGGAACTGTAAGAGTGACTTAACTTGCTAGATAACATAACACAATCGTCGACCTCGGACCTCTTTTAACAATAATAATAATAATAATAATAATAATAATAATAATAATTTATTACTTATAAAGCGCAAAATACATGTGGATATGATCTAATGCGCTATACAATAAGACTAAGCAAAATAAGATATGAAAATGAACTATAAAAGGCTAAGAATATACAATTTGACTAACTAAAAACAAACCATAAAAGCAAACATGAAAATGCCTGTCTAAAGAGATGTGTTTTAAGAAGTGTTTTAAAACAATTAAGATCATTTACTGCTCTTACATTTGATGGCAATCTGTTCCAAAGTTTAGGAGCAGATTCCATAAATGATCTATCACCTAAAGTTTTCTTAATTATGGTCCTGGGTGGCAATAATTGTAGTGCAGACTGAGATCGTAACATCATACGTCCGAATTGTTGCTTTTCCCCGAGTATATCACCTCTAACTCTTGTATCGCATGGAAAAGGTTTGATTACTATTTTCAAAATTACCTTCTCCACGTGGCTCGTGCTTGCTTTGCATCATGTTGTGCACCCGTCTCTTCTGTTCCAACTTCATTACACCCTTTATCCTCATCTTTTCTTCTCCCCGAGCCAGTGCGACCTTTTCCTTCCTATACAAATAAAATCGCAATATTGTTGAGCAAAAGACTTGCATATAAAAACGTGTGCCGTTCATGAGTCATCCCTTAGCCGGCTCGAAGACTCTTGTTGTGCACAGCACTCTACAATCAAAGCATATTAAATGTTGCCGTAGCACAGTTTGGCCGGTTTACTACAAGATAGATTACATTGTATATAGCACTCATAATAGTCATACTTACCAGTTGACCAGCCTTTCCATCCAAACAAGTAGGAAGACATTCATCCCTGTGAAGAAACATGGTTATGTGTAACTTTTTAAAAGTTTACCAGCACATGTAAGGATTCTGCATCTGATTACTTAAGAGCACCGTGTGATTTTCCCAAACTACTCTTTGAGTAAAGAAAAGTAAATCCGATGTGTTTCTGTACAACTGACTCTTATTGTTTAAGCATTCACGAAAGGACGGTGAATATGGTCCTTTTACCGATCTAAGTGTAAACGCAAGGCTACGAGAGCACTTTATTACTACATGAACGCTTGCAGCAACTGGCCGTGAAAATTACACTGACGATGCTGTGGTTGCATACTTACTTGCCAAGAAATTCACTGGGCCATGACTCCGACTTATCACTGGCCCCAGGAGTGCTGGATCTACGTCCACTTGATGGTCTGGAATGAGGCTTCTCACTCTTGAAAAGATCATCTGATGCTTGTCGGACATCTGTCAAACTGTTACTTCTTGCTGGATCAACACCTGTGAACATTTTTTACATCTACTTTTTCGCCAATTCTTAACAGTACAGGAAAAACCTGAATGGATGAATTGCCGGTAATAGGATTCTTGTGTTTGCGCCAAGATTTCTGGGATCGCCAGGGGGCAAACATTGCAATTCGATAGAGAGAAATGTATGGCGAAATGTTGTTTCGACGTTAAAAAAAAACGATTTTGGTGAGAGATCATCGCTTTTTTGCCACTGAATCCAAAAAGATCTTTGCACATGTGCTGTTATCAAACCAGATAGGAAACTCTGGTTCCGGTTTGTATTACTCTTAAACCCTCCACCCCAATCCACTGGACAATGGTCACGAAGGTTCTGGGAAAAAGCTGGGACCTGATCGCATTAGTTAAGTAACTAAAATTTTCTGATACGGGCGAAAATAATAATTTCATACAGCTGAATATCTAGTGTAATAATACACACACAAAAAAATAATAATTAAGCGCTTCTGATTGGCTGAAACGAGTGCATTTTTCATGTAACGAGCGCAAAGTTGCCACAAATAGCACGTTCGCGCTGTCAAAACTTCGCCTGTCTCATCTTTTTGTGATGTTATTTTCATGTTAATTATTTAAAAGTAATTTCTCGTGCAATTTAGTGCAAATAGGCACCTCAAAATTTTTCAAGACTACAAAATGCACTCGCCCCACGACCTCGTGCAATTTCGTTGTATTTGAAAATTTACCCATGCTTATTTGCACCAAATTACGCAAGAAATTATGTTATTACCCACACAAAAATCTGGCTGAAATTATCAATCATTCACTAACCTGGTTCATTCTCAAGCCATATGGGTCTGGATTTTGATCTTGAGGATGAACGGGAGGAAGAACTGTGGGTGAATAGGAAACAAATTAAGCTTATACGGTGCGATAGAGATGGACGTACTCACAGGTTACAGTCGAAACTAGAGAGTAACCTCTAGTAGCAAGCTAGTTACAAAAAATTACTCGTCTTTTGGTCTTACCCAGATTTGTCTTTCTTCTTGCTCGACTCTAACCATGGTGGCTTGTTTGGTAACACAGAGCCAGCCACAGAATTTCCTCTTCCAAAAAAAAGAAAGGAAAAAAGAAAGTCACTTACAAGGAAATTCGTTTAACAATAAAGAGCTTCTTTAGTCGGTGATCGTTTCCCTTATTCTCGTGATTTTAATGTTTGATCCAGGGTTGATATAGTAAGGAGAAATTAGATAATAGTCACTCCTTGGGATTAAAAGGTTTAAAGAGTGTGTATCAAATACTTTAAGTGGGTCTTTCAACTTACCTTAGAGAATCACTGTTCACATCCGAGCTCCCAAGAGCTTCTGAGGATGAAAGATTTGGAGTGGAACTTGACCTAACGGCAGAAGAAAATCCAAGATGGAAATCAAAGTTGCAGAAATATAAGGTGCTCTTGCCTCTTGCTCCTACACGAGTAAGGGGGTATCCCGTTTCCATATGGTTAAAACAAAAACACACACACACACACATATATATACACATACACACTACGCAAACTTTGGTAAAAATAGCAGCGCAGGTTTGCTCTTGTGGAACGCCCTTACGCACACAACCCAATCCCCGTCTTTGTCATCTCTTTTGTGAGTCACCCCTCCCTTAAAAGCAATGTTTTCTCCTTATGGGGGGAGACCTTTTTATGAATATCAATTGTATCATAATAAAGAAAACACGACTATTTACCTAGTAACCAGAGATTGCTCCTCAAGTTTTTTATTGCTTGATGTCAAGTCGGCAGCTAACAGAGACCTCAGGGCTTTCTCCTTAGTTCTAGATGCCGAAACAATGATTGTTTTAATACCCACTTCCTAACTAAATTATTTGTTATCTATATCTCAGTGTGATCTCACATGGACGATATGCCGGCACAGAGAATTGCTCCTTGTATAATTGACTTGTACACAAAATGCACATGCTATTGGTTCAATTTTATCCCTAGTGCTTCTTAATAATAATGACACAGGAAAATAAAATACAAATAAAATAAAAATAAAATAAAACTTGACCACACGATATACATGCACAAGTACGTCATATTAGCTGGGTTCCCTGTTCGCCAGTTTTTCACCGCCCTTTAAATCACTACCGTGATTCTATGTAATGGCGGTCGTTTGGTTATGTTATCGATACGAACATTTTTAATTGCATGCTATTGCAGCGCATATTCAGTCAAAATAACGAGGTCTGCAGCAATTACCTTGGAGATATTTACACCAGAGGAACTTTGGTCCTTTGGTCCATACTAGTTAGTTGTAAAGTGTTTATGCGTTTCAACGTATCCGTTTTGCCCACACCGACGTCTTCGTTTTGTTTTCGATATGTCTACACCAATGCGCTGTGTCCATTTAAAACGCATCGTTTAAATGCGTTTCCCCTACAGTCTATAAAAGCACGCCACACAATGCCGATAGAAACGACCATTAGGTGGCCCTTTTTTCATCATATCAATACGAGAAATACTAGAAACGGAATATTTTGAAAAATGACGTGTTTCCGAAGGCCCTATTTTTCAGATCATTTTAAAAATCTCTGGTTCATTAGCGTTTCCGTGAATTTTACGGTGGATGACACGCGCAAAAGCATCAATAGGTTTGCATTTTCAAACAAAAACGCATCATTCGGGACAGGGCAATACAAGAGCTAATGCAAACCTGGTAGATTTTGTACGGACCACAAGTGAGGGATGCAACAACAGAGCAGCAAGTCCTTAACCTTCAACAAAGTATAGTAACCTAAACCTTCTTACCTGTCTTGTCCTTGTTGTAGTTGGCCTGCCTTACTTTCTTCTGCTGACTTTTCCTGTCGATGTGGTCTTGGGGATTTTAGGTGCATCCTGGGAGACTCTGGGGGTTTTGGTATCATTTCATGTTCTTTAGACTGTTTGCCATCTTTCGCATGTCTAAAGAAAAAGCATATCGGAGCAAGTAATCTTATTTTATTTATTATTTTATATTAATTACACTATAAAGTACACTATATTGCTGCTTTACATGAATGCCGTGCCTTAGAGAGCTTAGTTGATTTCTCGACTGAACGACCCCAGTCTGCAATAACAACAAGTACGATAGATTCGTCAAGTTGACTTCGCCTCGTATGCCTCTCTTTTGTTCTTACCAGAGGCACGGAAACATATTTGTCAAGGAGTACTATAGAAACTGACAGAGTGAATGTGCATTACCTTTCATTTTTATATTGCTCGAGACTATTATCCTTAATATCACGCTCTTTTCTTTGTGGATCTTCCTCAGCTGACGATTTTAACAACACCGTTTTGCATCTGCTCACATCCTGTTCAGAACGTTTATCACACTCAACAGCAGCGCTCATCTCTTCGTTCTCCTCTTTCTGTCCATCGACAGATCTTCTCAATACCACAGTTTCACTTCGAATTATAGGCTCTGGATCCTACATAAGCCATAAGCAGAGTAGATTAAATTTAAGAGCAACAGTCAACTAGAAAAGTGATCATGGCCCACTCGTTTTAGCGCACCCAACAGGTTAACCCTCATGGTCTTTGTTTGCAAGCAAAAGTAAACGTCTTGAACCTGAATGCATTTGCAAATTTTATCATAGTGTTTACAAATTTCTCACAAAATCAAAACGGAGACAAAAATTTAGCGAGGTGCGTCATGGACCAACAATCTCAAACAGAATTGTTTACATAAATCTAGCTTTGAAGCAGAAGGGGAAGTACCCTTAACCAGATGGTTTGCGTGAAACAATGTTGTAACCTCGAGGAAATACGATCACAGATTTGTCTAAGATGATAGTTTCAACATGTCTCTTCACTTCGATCTACAAAATAGATTGCAATTGCATTAAAACTAACTATGCTCATAAATTCACCTGTGCCTGTTCCTTGCTTCCTTCCGATTTTTCGTTTGTGTGGATGAGATTAATAACTTTGCAGTAATCAAACACCTGATTACCACACCCCTGAAATAATAGAAAGTTCAGTTCAATCACACACTATCTTTTTCAGCTATCCAAGTACATGTATACTCAGCAGACAACATTTAGCTAAAAACGTTCAAAAGTAAGACAAAACTTCACTTACTTTGTCAATAACTCCTTCCCATACAAGGTCCCCTCCGACGAAAATTCTCACATCTTTAACTCCGACATTTAGTTCCTTAAAAAAGTTAATAAATACGTAAAACACTTAAGAAGGAAAAACTCTAAGAAAGGGCAGTACTAATATAATAGGAATGGCAAATGATAAATCCAATACATGGATTGAAGTCATTTGAGGTTCTTACGATTTCGAGATAGGTTCAATCATTTCCAAGATAAGGAAAAGTTACGAGGAACTGAACCTCAGACCTTTGGATTATACGTGCTCTACATGTACCACTAAACTACAGAGAACTCAGAAGCGGGCCACATTCAGACAAAACTTTTGTCTGAGACAATTAAGCAAAGTGTACTTTTTCCAATCTAGGCTCATATATTGTCCTTTTATTTCCTGTCCCCCTTTCCTCTCTTTGAATACATATTTTGGTGATAAACTCAGTAAAACGTTAGCAAGAGAGAGGTGAGAAAGGCGTCTCCTTCAGTCTAGCAATAAGATTTGAGGACAGCTATCGTATGCTTAAACAAATTGTCTCCGTACGTTTTGCCACGATTGTGAGCCACTACACATAGCTGTTTATATGTCACAAGCGGCCTGTTTACTGCTACATCAGCAGTGTTGAAAGGGTTCTAAGTAACTACGTTAGCGGTTAGCTTTTCCTCCCACATGGTTAGCTTTTTCTTAACCTTATGCGTGAGAAAGTGTTTAATGTAATCACTTCTTGTCTTGCACCTGTTTTTGTCTTTTTATCTGTCACTATAGACGCCAGGGAAATTTTTTTCCATACATGTAAGTGGACAAGTCAATTACGATGAAACAATAACAGTGCATGTTGTGTTGTTGTGCAGAACTACATGTAACAGAATTTTCAGAACGAGCTTCCCAGTGACTAACCTTGATACCTCTGTTATAATTCCAGACAGAGATTTTTGATAGTCCATGAGATTCAAGGCTGGTAGCGTCACCACTGGGCAGATGAAACACTAATTCAACTGGATGTTTAGTTTGAAACCCACATGACCACATATACCGACCTTTAGTAGTCTGAGAATAAAAAGTAAAATTCAGAATTCATTCGCCATTGGCATGTGCATGTACTTAGCTATTACTAAAAGGCACGTTTGTAAGACATAAGGGAACATTTGCAAAAGCAGTTAAAGGTGCAACCCACAACAACTTGGCTTACAATACAATCAATTATAATAAATGGTAGGTAAACACATATAACTACCTTTGTTTTCCCATTGGCTAAGTTACCAAGGACACCCCCGTCTCCAACATGGCCTGATAAACTCACATTGTGCTCATCATAAGGAATCGTGTTCCCCTTTAAATCAAAGAACTGAATCTGAAGAACAAAGAATTTATGTGAAGAGAAAATAAACCATCAGGTTAGTTAGATACATTGAGCCAATCTCTTCTCCAATTAAACTACCTCCTTACTGTGATTTCGGTTTCAAAAGTAGTTACAGCAGTACAAGAGAGGAAATTACAAACCTCTGTTAGTCCTACATAACTTGAGTTTCCCCAGTTTGAAATAATCTCAAAATAGACATCTGTTCCCTCTTCACTTTCAGCTTTATCATTTTCAGCATCATCCAGTGAATCCATTACACTGAAATCCTGGAGGGAAAAACAAAATACAACGTTTGCTGTTCAAGAGAAAGCGAAAACGTGGAGTCAAGCCACTACATTGTATATGCAGGAACAGAAACCAACTATTGAACAACACTGAACGCCATTTCCCTCCCTTAAAAACTGTTAGTACCCCTTGAAAGAGCACTCAGTGAAAATCCAAGGTGTTTCCTCGTGCTAAAACCATTCTATAAAGAGTCAAACAAAATAGTGTTGGATCGATACATTGTCATCTTGTGAGGTGGAAAGCTTATCCTGCCACAGCTTATCCAGGTTTCCATAGCATAAAGCCACTGGAAGAAAAGCTATTCTTCCTGGGAGGGATGAAACTGTACAATAGGGTTGCCCCCCTCTCCCTGTATTTCATCGTGTTTTACAGATATTTCATTAGTGCCTATCTATATCCTTGGGTGAAAGAAGCTCTGTGAGAGTATATTCTATTGCCCAAGAACACACAACACAGTGACCTGGCAACGTCTTGAACTCAGACCGTTTGATCCAGATTATAACATTCTAGCCAATAGACCACTGTGTCATCAAAATGACAAGAGAATACACATTATTACCTTAGATTGACTCTCAATAGATGAAGATTTTGTCATGGGTGTAAATGGCACAGTAGCTTTCATTGGGGAAAGTCGAGGAGAAGGTGATGGACTGGACACTTTAAAAGGAGCCTTGCATTCCAGTTTGGACAGAAGCTCTATCAAACTTTGCTGTTGCCTATGGGTGAAAAACCAGGACCTCTTTGTCACTCTGGTGAATGTTTGTCTACATGGCTATATCATGTTTAACTTCCTCTGTTGTAGTAGGTAGAGTGGCAATGTTTGAAATAATTAACAATGAATCTAAATCCTTTTAATACAATGCTAATTACTGCATAGACATAGAGTCAAATAACTAACATAACAGGAAGGTGGTTGTACAAAGGGGCTTGGACGTAAAATTAGGAAAATATGGGCCTTTTGTTCGCCATGTACACATAGGCCAAATTAATAATGGAAATAAATATAACTTGTCCATTCACCTTGCATCCATTTTTCTGACTTTCTCTGTGACAAGAGCTATGGTGTCATCAGTTTTGTAAGGAAAGGAAGCCAATGATGATGGCCTTTTAACCTCATGTAATGGTGAGCTGGATACGTTCTAGGAAAACGTTGTACTAAAAACTCAAGTAAAATCGGCATGATAAAATCTCACCCTAAATCAAGACTGAATGACTACCTAGAGTAAGCCAACTATAAAAATCTCAATTCTAGCTTAAAATGTTTCATCTAATGTTAAGTTTAAGTACCAGGAGAATGGTACTTAATGGCCAAGAATAATTATCACTACCAATGATTGAAGAACATTCTCGCTAATGCTGTTTCCGTTTCCCTTGATGAAAGTGCTTTAAAGTTTTGAACTTACCTTAGATCTTACTGGAGCTGTCTGAGATCCAGATGCTTTTGATTCTAAAAAAGTGAGATAGAAAAGGGTTATAATATAATTTATATTAGTCATTTGACCACCTTATGACACAACATTTTAACCAGAGTATCATTTTAGTCAGAGAGAGAGTAATTTTTCTCAAGATTTTTGAACTTAAATAAGGCCAATTGTAATGTAGACAAGGTTATAACTACGTCAAAGCAAGCATTTCACTCATAGGCTGTGAGGGGCCCCTGGGAGAACTGCACAGGCATTGCTTTTCCTCAATTTTATTTGCTAATTTTCTGGCTTTGTTCCCCTCTTCCTCCACCTCCTCCTCCTACTCCTCCTCATAAGTCCTTCCAAAGTTTTTGGGTTAGTATTGAATCAAGACACTAGTTTGTCTGTGCTGTGCTTACAGGTGCCCAGAGGTGGGCTTTGGCTTGGTTGCCACACCACTTTTCTGCTGAGGAGAATCCTGCTCTCCTCTGCTGCTTCCTGTTCAGCACCTACATGTACCCTCCACTACTACTGACAAAGTTTTTTGCATGTAGTTATTGAAAAATCAACTTTTTTAAAGTGTATTTGTGAGACTTAACATACATTCAATAGTGAAAGCCCCTTATTTTCTTTTAAAACCTAAGCTTGAAAAAGTGATCGAGGCTCACAGGTAAAAACTTAGCATGTGAGACCCATCACATGTACTCATAAGCTGAACCATTAGGACTATTTGTAACCCTTTCTTGCCTTTCACATGCTTTGTTCATATTTCAATTTTAATACCTGACTTTCAAAGCGATTAAAAATCAATGTGATGTCATAATCTCTCACCTATTGTCTGATTCTCTTCAGCCATTGCTTTAAAAATCTCTTCTGCATTGTCATCCAATTTATCCTTAGGTTCCATTCTTCTTGTTGCAGACAAAGGTCTACTCTTCTTTTCTGAAGCTTTCATGAAAACATGAAAACACGAAACAAAATTGCACTTAGTTGATTTTTATTCTCCAATTTGTTATTCTATGTAATAACACAGTCTTGCTTATTGATTTCCTTGCAATTATTGGAAGTGCTAATTCAAACTACTTTTAGACCAAACAGATGAAGAAAGATGGAGAATTTTGAGCACAGTTGTTTCTTAGAGAGAGCTGTGAGACATTTGTCACCAACATGAAGATACAGTGTACTCTTTAGACACATGATGCTTTTGACCTGATCCTAGCAGTAAGCAGGACATTTATCATACTTGAACCTACTACAGGGCAAAGCTCACCACGAAGTTCTCTGTAGCTCAGAGGTACAGTGTCCCACCAAGAGATCAGAGGGTGATTTATCAAAAACAAACTTAGTTCTTTACCTGATGTCAAGGTTACTTCTTGATTTCCTGATTCATGTTTTTCTGATCTAAAAATTTTTAAATCAATTCATTCTGTATTCATACAACAAATAATGTTTTGCCACTTAACAAATTAACATCAATTTTGAATTAATCTAACAAAAATACTACACTTCAAGAGGACAAATCAACTTTTTTTGGTAGCGTAGTCTGATTGTGCAATTGAGTGTGGTCCTGAGAAGGACTAATGGTGACTGATGTTTTGACAACCTGAACAGAAGTTACCATCAGAGTTGAGTGAATAGTTGATCAATTCTTCCTGGATGTTATTGGTTGTAAGTTGGTTTTGATTAAACTGTTTGGATCCATCAGTACAGTTAGGTTGTTCTGTTTTGTTGTTTTGTAAAGTTAATGTCATGTATAAGTCATTTGTATGGTGCCAGTAGTACTTGATTGACACCTGTTGAAGGGAGTTTGTTGAAAGTTACTAAAACCAGCTTTTCAGACTCAGTCATTGAAGTGGTTAGTGCTGTAGGTTAGGCATTGCACAAAGTTCCAGTCAATAGTGTGGTTTAGAAATCAATGATGTTAAGCAATGTGATTGTTGACATCACCTTTCCTCATCACCTGATTGTGTTCAGTCAGTCTTAAACACTTTTTTTCAAATGCAGTATCATCAGTCAAGAATTACACTCATCGAAAAAACAATATTGGGTTTCAAATGTCCTTTAAACATGGTAGGGCCTGGAGCTCAGACAGCCCTTCTGATGGTCACCAAGTGGCATGTAACCAACCATTACTGTTGCACTGAAATTTCACTGGAATTCTACACAGACCCTCCTTTTTAACCTACATTGTAGGTGGGAGGAGTAGGGTACAAATACAACAGCTGATGAAAGTTGTAGATATGAAATAATCCGCAAAGATTAGCAAAGCAAAGCAGGCACTGCCAAGCTATACAATCACAAGCATCTGTTCTGGAAATCTCCAAGGTTAACCTGCATGATGCCTGTCTGCAGAGAATGCAGCAGCTTACCACAAGCCTGGTCTTGAGGTCAACCTTAACCAAAATACATTTAGCTGTATCAAATCATTCATCAAAATATTTCGCTCTTAGGAATCATTTCTTAAAAAATAAGTAAAAAATACTTTTTATGTGTTAATTAGTTTTCACTAATTACTTATTTCTAATCAATTTGATTTGAAAATCAAAGCATTCACCTCTTTTGTTGTTTAGTATAGGATCTGTCATCTCTGGATGAAAAGTGTTCTGTGCTGTCATAAGGATCTGCATTCTTCTGCCTTTCATAAGGAAGCAAGAATATGGAAATGACTGACAATTCAATTTTCATACATGGGCAGGCAAGTTTGGAGGTGAAGAAAAATATTTAGTCAATGCATGCAGGTAGGTGAAAGTGAAAATTTTATTTTTAGGCTACTTCACTCCATTTCTGTTATATATGATAATTGGGAATAATTTTTAGCAATTCAATCCATTTCAAATTCATGGCTAGCTTTTGCAATCATTAAAACAGGAAAGAGTTCATTGATTTTCAAAAACATTTTGACAGATGACAAAACAGACTTTTCTTTAGGACAATAATTCCTTAACTTTGTATAAACTTAGTTAAATGTATGATGTTTATCCTCAAGGAAAAGTAACCACTACCAGTAACTTTATAACCCATCTTAAGAGATGACAAATGATGCCTACCTTGTTGCTGACAAGTTTCTCTCTTTTCTTTTCCCTAAAATCAGTGTAAATGGGGGCATTCAGCAAACTGAATTATCACATTAAAATATTAACAACAAGAATAGCCCCTGCATAACCAACAAGGTTTAAATGTAATGGTAAAAAGTGGTATTTATGGTAACATAATTATAGGAAGCTGTACTACTGACAGTTTCTTGTACAAAGCTATAAGCATATGCCTATGCAATAATTTGTTCCAGCATTGGTTTAGGAGAAAGGACAATGAGCTTCAGATAAAACTTCCTTGCATCTCTTTCTCTCCTTAGTTTCTACTTTGTGAGCGATTGTGTTTATTCAAATACATGAACTACACTGACTCATTAACTCACCTGTTGATGATGAAAAACTAAGAACAACAAGATCCTCAACTGGGTTCACTGACTCATGTTTATGCTTTTTGCTTCTTTGATGAGTTTTTTTCTCATTGCCATCAGAAGTCACAGACAAGTCTTTGCTTTTCACAGATTTAGTTTTTTCATGGTCAGTGTCAACTGATGAGGTTTTCCCAAACCCCACACTCTCTGAAATGCTGTTACTAGTGTTTATAGAGCTTTCAACTTCATGCTGTCTTTTGTCTGGTGTACTTGTCAATTGTGGTAGTCTTTCTAACACAGCTGCGTCATGGAGATTTAAACTACTATTTGCTCCTTCTAATTCTTCTTCAATTTCATCCTCATTGTCATCATCAATAATGTTATTGTTGTTGGCATTTTCCTCCTTTGTTTCTTCCTCTATTCTCTGAAGAGCAGAAGGCATACATGTATTAATTGATTTTTTTTTTCTCCTGGCTTCAACGATTTGTAAGGTAAAGCATATTCTATGTATTTGATCACTACACATTTATGCTTTAAATTTATATCTAGATGGTAAACTAATAATTACAGTATACAAAAATCTATGGCAAAGAATCAAATTGCTATATGTGGCTCTGTGTAAATTAGGAGCCAATAAGAGTTACAGTCAGTACCTTTTTGGCTGCTTCAATACTTTCCTTTATGGATTCATCAGCTTCTAGAGACTTGCGAAGTGTCTATTGTAATAAGGCAAGGAAAATATCAAGATACATGTAATCTAACAAATGTAATAAACAAATTTCAACGAATAAAGGCAATATGATAAAAAAGACAAAGTATGTCCCTAATGGTATAGACATAATTATAGATGGAAGTGCTGCATATACCTCAACATCATTGAAACTGAGAGTAAGTTCATCCTCTTCATCATCACTGTTAAACTCTAACTCATCTTGATCACTTAGGTCATTATCAGCAACATCCTTGAGTGATTACAGCACATGAAATTAATAATGATTTTGTGACTTTGTATGGACATGGATAAAATATGTAAATGGACAACAACTCTGATGCTAAATTCCTGAGAACTAAACTTGTTCAAAATTTTAAATTGAGTCTAGCAATGTGCTATTTTTTCTTCAGCAAGCTGATCATGGTTTGGAAATACAACAAACCTTAATACTTTTTTGTTTTTTAATGCTTCATAGATTTTAGCAAATTATTTTTTAAAACATTGTGAAAAACTCTATTAAGTAAACACTAAGCATACTCAATTTTGAAGAATGAGCTTCCTAATTATGTCCTGTTTCATAATATTTATGACACTGGAAACCAAGAGATCTTTTAATCTTTAGATCAGTATGTCCCATTTGCAACCAGGGATCTAAGGTAACTAGATATTTAACTTGGTGAGCTAAAAACATAAAAAAATTGGTCACCAGAAAAAAACATGTCATCAACAGAGAGAAAAAATGTAAGAGGACATTTTGTTAAATATTTATGCACAGTTGTACAGGTATGCACTGAAATCTTCACCTGGTCAGAGGCACTGTCACTACTTTCCACAGCCACAGATTCAAAGTCCTCACTGTATTTACCAGTAATCCTCCCTAAAAATGATAAGTTTTGTGACTGTGATGGTTTCAACCCATAACAAGTTTGTGAGGTTTCTTTCAATCAATGAGAATATTTATTTAATTAACAGGGTCAAAAACTGTCACCCTTCCACTCGTCTGTGACAAGAACAGGAATGTTTTTGTCTTGATTGAATGACTACAGCTCCTAGCCACTTGTCTGATTGGATGAGTAAAACTTTTTATAAACAACCTACTTAAATTTTTCTATGACTCGAATTTAAACACAAACAATTATCAAAATAAAATATGCCTACAGGTGTAGATGTTTTTATTGTGGTTGTTTTTGAAAATTTACTGAACTTCTAATTTTAACTTATCCATTCAGTGGTTTCTAACTGTGGACGTATTGATCCAAAATTTAGCTGAAATGAAAAAAAAATTCAAAGCCATTCTGTTTTAGATACCATTCCTCCTATTGAACTTGAGATTATCTCAATTTGAACTATTAGTAACCATATAACCACTTTTTACAATTGTCAAACCCAAAACTATTTTAGCAACAACAATTTGAAAATCAATCCAAATAATACCTGGAGCTCTCAGTCTCACACTCTTTCCTCCAACTGTTTTTATTTGTATTGAATCCTAATAAGAGATCAATAGCATGGACATTTAAAAATATAGACAGATTGCTTTTGGGATGATCCTGATCTACTAAATCAGATAGATCTGTAGTCAAGTCACTCTGCACCAGGGTAAGCAATGCAGAACCATAGGTCTGTGTTAGCCCAAAATTATCAGGCTACCTAGCCTGACAATTTTTGGCCAGTAAAGTCTCATAGTGCAGAAAACTTCCCAAATTGATCAGAATGGAATAGAAGGATGGCAAAGTGGGGTCCTAATCCCCATTCATTTCAGAAAAAAATTTGTGTAACATATATAAAGGGGAAAACTGCAAATCTCTCTTTCTATGTACAAAGTTTTAAGGGAAATCTTAAGGTTAACACAAAATGTGAGAAAAGAATTCATGAGTCCCTTATTTTTAGGGAGGAAATCACATATCATGCTGGTTCATAAATTCATGAATCAATCTTCCCTTTCTGTAAAATTCACCCGTCATGTATTGATTATGGCCTTGATCATACATCACATATTAACCTTTTGCTACCCTCATGTAACTGACAGACATAATGATACATTTCAAGTCTCTGCCAGTACAAAGGTCTCTCTCAGGGCAGTGAGATAGTTAATGCCCTTTGCATTGTTTCTGTGGAGATCAAATGAGTAAAATTGAATTGCCAGGTATCTCCCTCACACCAATACTTTTTCCATCTTGGCACAGGGTAACCAACAATGTCAGACTAAAATGCATCATTTGTTTGTATCCTTAGTTGTTCATGGGTTAAGGGCAAGAAGCTAGTGCATCATTCTATAGTTCTAGAATTTATGTGTACAGTTAACATACATATTTCCAGCCTTTTCTTGTACTAGGAGTGGGATCAGGAGCTGTTTTCACTCTGACATCCCTGAAGTAGAGAGGTAAATTTTTCTGTTAATTCTATGATGACAGCAAATGTTAAAGTTCAATAACTTCATAAAGGTTATGTTTTCTACACTGAACTGTTATCCAAGTATGAACAAATAATTGAAGTATGAACCAAATTATGTAAAATTACTCTCAAACATTTTGTGAACTTAGGGTATTGATATAAATAAAATATACAATATAGTTTTAAATGTAATTCAGATTTCTTGTTGTCCCAAAAAATATTTGGTAAATTGCAACATAATGATTCCATTTCATTTTGCTGAGGGATTTTGGATGAAGGTCAGTATCTGAGCAGCTACATCCCTACCCCTCCCCTAACCCAACAACAAACAACTGATAACAAGTCGGGTTATTGTTTGGTCAGGGGAGAGGTGGGTGTGTAGTTGCTAACTAAAGATAGACATTAATAAAGGATTTTTTCTTTAAAATTACTGTGCATGTTAATTTTGACTTCTATAAAGCTTGCAGTCTCATTGCTAATTATGTACATAGGTATGACCGAAGTATAATTATAATTATAACAAGTCCTAGCTTCATCACCTCGCTTCAGCTTCTCTTTCTAATGTTTCCAGTTCATGTTGTAAGATTTTTTTTCTTTCACGATGAGCATCTGAATAAGAAATCAATTGAAAAAAAAAAACATCAGCTATGTGGACTAAGAAGTGCAGACTAAAGTAATTTCAAGGTGACTCCTCAGTATTGCATCACGCATCCTGTACTGTGCATGATTGCATAATTAGGGGAATAAGCACATAAGGTAAACAAGTAAAAAATACTCTCCTTGATGAAAAAGGTTTTAATATATGCCTCAACTTGATAGCTGCTGATCATGTCAAAATAATTAATTCTCCTACATCCCTTAATATCTTATGAAATATAATTATTTCACCTCCAGCTGTCTTAGCATGCCTTGATGAACTGCGTGATTTTGCTCTGGAATAAGCTTGGCCAAGCTCTACATTAGCACCATTGACATAAATAGAGAATCCTTGCTCCTTTTTTTCCAATTCAATCTCTTGTTCATTCTTCTCCTTTAGTTTCTTTAGAAGTCTATAAAGAACAAGAGGGAAGAAAAGTTGTATTATTCATAAAATTTAACATAAAAAATAGCTGCTAATAAAGTAAATAGAATTTAATGACAAGTGGTATATTATAACTGGTAAAGATGACTCTGTTTTGATTCCATAAATATTGAAAATAAGTATAAATATTGAGTCAGCTCAAACACAGGTACCAACCTCTAACATACTTGTATATACATGTACAGAATTAAAACCAGAAGAACATTTGGTATCCATATTGCTTAGTTTCATATTAAACAGAAGAATATTTTACAAAGGGTTCACCTGAAGAGCACAAAAAGGCAGATTTTTTTCCCAGCCCTGTTGCAGGAAGTGCAATGGCTCAGTAATGAATGTGCTGTACTCTATATTGCAAGCTGTGGGTTTGAGCCATGGGAAGGTCAATGGCTCAGTGACATGCAATTGTGCTAAGCTTAAGTTTCCATAGTTTACCAAAAACTTCCTAACCACCCTTAGCTATTAAAAAAAAGCTATTATTGTAACAAAAAAACCTTGATGAGTATTATTAAATATACACTTTTAAATCAGAATGTATGAAAAAATTTCTAAAATGCATTCTTCAATCACCTGTTTCTCTGCTGTAGCAGAAGCAAATATTCTTCATACTCTGGGCGGACTTCTTCTTTTGCTGACAGAACCTGGGTCATGGTTAAAAGCCATGATTAAAATAGAGAAAAGGCAAAAAAAATTGACTGTAATATTAAAGGTAGCTTCTCTCAAATCTCATAGAGCAGGCCCCTGAAGATACTGCAGTTTTTGCATTCTTACTAATAAACTGACAGAAGTGACCTACATGGGAAAGGAATCTGAAGTACATATTTTTTTTTAATATAATAAATTTACAATATTCAGCCTACAAAATACCTCTTCTCTAAGCTTTCCTTGCTTTCCTCTTGATTTATCCCACTTTCCATGATGGTCTAATAAATCAATAAGTCAAACAATAAGCCAAAGTTTACAAAGTTTTTCATAAGTCATTCTTGTTGTTAGGCTAAATCTGCAAGTGGGCAAGATGAAGTGAATCCTGTGTCCTATATTGGCTAACCTGAGCAGACAAGATGGATATCAAAAAATCAAACATGGTCTAAAAGTTGTTTTAATTTCTTTTGGACTTCTTAATACTGTTGACCTCCTTTCTTTTTTCTATCATTTCAAAGGACCTCCTCCTCATCTTAATCCAAAAAAATTCAAAAAAGAACTATGCTGATACCCACATCAGATAGATAAATACTCTTTGTACTGTTTGCATGATGCATCAAAGTGACCATGATATCAAATAAATTTCCTGATTCACAATCCCTCATATTAGACGGGTTTGTCAACCCTTTTACTCCTGTCATATGTGACTTTACAATTCATTCTTTCAGATATCTCTAATATTTCAATCACTATGTTAAACAATTGCCAATCAATATATTACTGTACTTTCATCACCAACACATCAAACATCAAATTGCAAAGTTTCTATCATAAAAACTCTCAGGAGTGATGAATTGAGGTCATCTCTCCTCACATATTAATAACTTTTTTAGGAAGATAGAGACAAGAAGAAAGAAATATGAAAGCAGATTGTGATTAGGTTAAATGTGATGTTATCCTCAACTACACAGGGCATACATGAATTATATTTATGCATTTCCATAAATCACTCAAGAGATTAACTGTGCTTGAAATTGGTAAAAAACCGTCCATGAAAGCATGGAGACCCACGCAGCTGCCATTTTGAAACCATCACACAACTATAAAATACAATGGATTCTCATTATCTGAAACTTCCTGGGAACCAGCAAAAAATGACTCGAGAAGTCGGGTATTAAAGGTATCACAAGATAAAGTGATACTCTTAATATGAGTCGAGTCTCAGGAAGAGCCCAATGTCAAACACAACGAGAGCCTACAGATGTTTGAGTTTCAAGATGATAGGCCTGTACTATGCAAAGATCAAATATCCACGAAACCTTGTAATTATAGAGCAAGTGACTGGTCGTTTAAGCACCACATAAACAGAGACCACACGAGTAGAATTTACTCTGTAAATATCGCAATTTGGATCGCTCAGGTAACAAAAAAACACTGCCTCAAAAACCAAAATTTCAAATATCCTTATTTCTAATCAAAAAAATTCTACGAACTCGAGTAAAAAAACCGCAAAATGTAATTTTTACAAGGAAAGTAAAATGTATACAATATATGTGAAACCACGGAAACATAATAAGCTTGCTACTCATTTAGCACAAAACATCCAGCTGTCATTGACACGGGTTTGCAATTAGGAATACTTGCCTTCCATGCCTTGGCTTGAAATTTCCAAAATCTGGAAGATTATCTGAGTCCTTTCGTATTTCTAGCTATATTTATCATCGCAAACTGAAAAAAGTTAGGCCAAAATTTCCAAAACATTCACAATATTCGCGGTGATTTACTTATTGGCCAGGTTACCAAGTATTCTAATGCATTTTGGGAAATCTCAGAAAATCCCTTGATGTCCCGCACCGTCCGCGCGTTGTCCCGTATATTAACAACTCTGAGGAGAAAAACTATTAAAAGGGAAACGAACTCAATAGATAGATCGAATGGGCCTTAAAATAAAAAATAATGGAAAAATTTTCAACTGAGTGTCGAAGGCGTGAGGGACGTAAGTCTTAAAAGACACTATGGTACTGCGTCGGTGTGGGTAGTACAAGCTAATTTGGTTTAATCAACTGAGTTGATAACGTAGATTGGCCACCGCAAAGCTGACGTTTCGAGCGTCAGCCCATTGTCAGAGCGAAGGAGTGTAGAAGTTTTGTTATACTACGCTCTATGAATCACACTTCTTAACCAATGAGAATTCGGAATTGTGCTCGTCCGCAACGAAGTGAGGCACCAGACCACTGTAACTAGAGGGAAGCACTCATGCGAAGGAAGGAATTGTCGCTTGTCTTTTCATCATGTAAAAACCCGGTAAAGGGTTTTCACAGCAATAACGTTAAGGCTGAAATAATATTCAGTAACCATTTCCCCCCGTCTGAGTGCGTGAACGCAATTTAGAATGGAGAAGTCTATTTTCTTCTGTAAAACGCATGGAAAAGTAACAACATGGATAATCACTTTTCTTCAACATAAATCGCAGTTTTCCCCGTGGTATTTCCACTATTTATCTGTATCAAATTCATTCCGATTGTGTCTTCGATTGTATGCACTGAAACGTGGTTTTTCTATTTCCATTATCTACTTTAATGAAAACGCTCTCTAAAAAAGGAAAATTTAATATCATACACTATGAAGGATCACGATAATTGTACAATCGACTTAAACACCTTTGTCCTTCTACATAATTAAGTGTCACCCGAAGCTGTAATTTCCTTTGTAATAAATGATCCTGTCAATCAAAAGCTCCCTCGATGATTAACCAAGCTATAAATTATATCCACCTTGTTTAGCGAAGAGACTAGTAATCTTCCACTGATGACAGGAATATGTTAACCACACTTATTCTCTAAAGCACAAGAAAACACAAAAAGTTTATTTTTGACTTTGGTCTACCGCAATTTGCGGAATCGACAAATGCTTCGGCACGTTTTCCAAAATTCTTAAATCGGCTAAGCGGGTGAAAGATTGACGCGTCACCAAAGGAAGATGCTGCTAATAAATGCCGTGAAGGGTGGAAGAAGGACACAAGTAAAAATGCTTCTAAAAGTTGGCGTAGATGTTAATGAAGTTGACGAAGACGGACAAACGGCCCTAATACACTCCTGCTTTCTCTATGACTTCCGCACGCGAATGAAGATTTTAAAATGTTTAGTTGTTGCGGGCGCAACCCTTAACAAGAAGGACAACTATGGACGCACAGTACTTTCGTGGGCTTGTCTGCAGGGAAAACTTGAAGTGGTTAGATTTCTTTTGAATGATCCGCTTTGTATGGATTTAAGGATCAATATCACTGATAAGGATGGGAACAATACTCTCTTACTCTCTGTAATGTCTGGCAATTTTTTAGTCGTTAAAATGATGGTAGAGGCATTAAGAGGCACGGCGAGAGCAAGTGAACTTAATAAAGCTAACAACGTTGGTATGCAGCCGTTAATAGCTGCTTTCATTCGCGGTGATAAAGTTTGCGCTCAGTTTCTCATAAAACAAGCAGGAGCTTCTTTTTCAAGTGTGCTTAAGTACCTGAGAGCCCTTCAGAACGATTCAGTCAAGTTTTGTACAAGATCAGCGCTTTTGTTTGACTCTTCAAGAACTGATTTCCATATTGATCGTGAACAAACAAAAAAAATTTTGGCAGATTTCACTGAAGAAGACATTTTTGAGTTTCTGTTTGCAAAGGATAAAGATACGCACGACGCACAGACAAGCAAAACTGAAGAATTTCAGAGTGACAAGAAAGACGCTGCCACGCAGCAACAAAGTCATATCGTAAAGTCTAGATTAAGAAAATTGGGGTCTGTTTTAGTTATTCCACAGGAACAGTCAATTTCAGCGCAGTCATTATTCACAGAAGACGCCAACGAAATGAAATTTCTCGAAAACCCAGTGAACAGCGCTTTCGCAACATTAGCTGATCAAAAAAGGTTGACACAGGGCTCCAACTTATCCTCGCGCTTGTCGGTTCAAAAACTATTGACACTTTATGCTGAGCAGAACTCACCCTCGTACAGACAAGGTTTACCTATACGCAGATACACTCCTCCCCAACCCGCGATCGTAAACGAATCTAGCGGAGATTGCGACACCCGGCGCTCAAGTCTGCTTCCATTGGGCGAGACCGAACGACGGGTTCAGGCGTTTGCGGAGTCGATGGCTGGGTCGTCATCAGGCCTTCTTGGTGAATCTATGATAGATCAGCATCTACGTTTGAAATACGCGCGTAATTCAAGAGCCACCAGCATGCAAGTTCCGAGGTTACCGTCCCTTTCTAATGCAGGACGGGGGAGAGTCAAACGGACCAAGTCGTCGACTATTATGTCTGTCAAACCATTCTAAGGGAACACCAGCTAGTAGTCCAGAAAACATGACGAAAATAAGACAATTACAAAAAATATTTGTGCCATCCCAAAACCGTTTTTTAGTAGTTACAATACGTATCGTTCCCAAGACAACTTTACTTAACGGCGCACAGGAAGGGTTTCAGCTTTCGACTGCAAGAGCATTTCCAGTTATGGTACATTAAAGTCTAAACGACACCATGTATCTCGATACCTTGCTTCTGGATGTCTAACAACAAAGAATTCAAAATGATCCTCTCTTTCTGACTTTTTATTAAATTAAAAATCTTTAAAATCAAAATTAATTATAATTGATTTAAATTTGAAATAAATTTGTCTTTTTCTCAATATTTTTCTCAGCAAAGTCATTTCGATAGAGCAGATATAAGAATCGAGATGTCTGGAGAATCCCATGACTTCCAGTACACACTTCTTTTAAATTTATTTTGAAAGGCGAACTTTCTCGCAGAAACGAGACAGAACTGACATGTAACGTAACTCCTACAGATTAAAGCTATTGTAATACGAAAGAAAGGGACCACCTCACGTTGTCACATCAAAAAAATGAACATCTCTCTAACGCTACAAATATACAACTTACGCGGCAAGGAACATGGCTATCAATTGCCGCCTCTGAACACTTTTGCGACTTCCAACATGAGCCTCATAGTTTGTTCCGAGCTTCTCTCCTCCCTTTCGTGATCCAGTCTGGTCATCTGTAGAAAGAACTCTCTGTCCCTTCTATCACTTTCTTCCATATAATCTCTAAGAAACTGATGTGGTTTACCGTTCTCGTCTTGAGCCGAATCATCGTTAGCCTTTTTTCTGCTCTCTCTGTTCGATGGCGTCTCTCGAGTATCTCCTGCGCGTGAAGAACCCATTCCATAACCAGAGGCAAACCGAGAATCTCCATTTTGATGGTGAGGGGCAGAACTCAAACCACTCCCCCTGAGATTATCGGGTGTATTAGCAACGCTACTTTTAAACACTTTTGCTACTTCCATCATCATTTTCATTGTTCGTTCAAAATTTCTGTCCTCCCTCTCATGGTCCATCCTTGTCATTTGCAATAAAAATTCACGATCACGCTTGTCGCTTTCCTCCATGTAGTTCTTCAGGAAACGCAGCATGGATGTGTCTTCGTCCTCTTCTGCGGAGGCCTTCCTCTTGTTCCGTTTCTTGGGTGGCTCACGTTTCTCTAACAGCTCTCTGTGTTCGGGCAGTGACTGGCTGACTTCTTTACTAAAACAAGTGAATCCAGTGGTCGTTTCCACGCTTAGTGCAGCACTTGCTGGAATATTAACCACTACAATGTTGTCACAAGCGTTGCTTTCTTCGTTCTCTCCACTAATATTCGACGTTTTCTCGTCTTCTTGAGTTACAGCTGAACCGGACTCGATCGCATCGATGCCGTCGTTAACAAAAGTCTTTCCCAGCACCTCATCAATCTCTTGAAAATAGTCGCACGTTCTATCATCCTCACCAGACTCGATGCGCTTTTTTGTGGTTTTATAATCGAAAACAACACTTTTCATCCGTCCTTTGCATTGCTGACCCGAGCGAAATGTTTCAAAACCGCACTGCGCTAGTTTCTGATTAAGCAATCGCGCCACCACGTCCCAGGCCTTCGCGTTCCTCTGCTGACTAATGTTCTGGTACTGCTCGCCCCAGAGCGTAATAAGAAACCGTGTTTCTGCGTCCGACCAGTTAGGGGAGCGGCCCGGCTTGATGGGCATAGCCGAAATGAATGAGTCCGCTGACCTGGATGGGTAAGCGGCGGAGGGTAAGCCTTGTCCATCGGAAGAAATGCTTGTGAAAGCGCTGAATCGGGACTCTTTTGCCTGCTCAGGGGATTTCGGGTCGGTGACCTTGGACTGAGACATAGTGCTTCTCTCTCGTGCCAGCATCTCTGAACGGAAGCCGAGTAGTGGTTGACTTGGGCCGCCTGTTTTATCGCTCCCTGGTGGAGATAGCATTGAGGCAGTGAACTGACTGAAATCGAATTTAAAAAAAAAAAAAAAAACGCTGAGTCCAACTCAAGAATAACCGCTCAAAACGACTAGCTGTATTTTCAGTGACTGCTTTACAAGCTTGTGCCCGTACCGTTGCAGTTTCAATTTCCCACGGAGGGGAAGGAGGAGGCTTAAGGCACAATGTGTCCGTGAGAGATTCTGTTCCATTTACTTACGGGAATACTGGGGAATGTCGGGATTTATTTATCGGAAGGAGCTTTCTTCTATTAAGGTCTCATGGCCAAACTTTTGTTCTCCGATTCTGACTATACGCCCCGGGAAAGTTTTGATCAATCATGATAAAACAACACAGAAACCAGCAAAAAATAATAACCACGGCGAAACCTTCATTTAGCTGGAACGTCTACAAAATCGAGGCTTCAGGAAGTTTTACTTTAAAATATGTCGTACATTTAAGGAAAACTTGTTGAACTACAAACTAAAATAGACGGAGAGCAATAACCGAATTTTTATTTAACTCGGCATATCGTATTTCCTCAAATAAGCGCCCACGCTTTAACAAGCGCCCTCCACCGAACAAGCACCCACCCCCTAGGAAATTATATCACTGACAAGCGCCTCCCACGAATTAGCGCCCTCGCTCTCCTCCCTCGCCTTCTTAAATGGTAGAGATACAAGAAAATCCTGTTTCTATCGCCACACTATTTATAACTATTTAAGCTTCAACTACAACGGAATCAGTTTTAATCGCCCGAGGGCCCCCCCCCCGACCAAGCGCCCCTCTTCTTCCAATAAGCGCTGAAAGTTTATATAAGTGCTCGGGTGCACGGTAAGTGCAATCTAATTTCCTTCAAAAAACCGCAAGAACGTACAAGTGGGAGGGAAAAATGCTCAAAACAGTCAAAGTTTATTCACGTATGCTTGATGCTGTTATCTAAACAGATCGAAAAATTGAGCATGCAATCAATACCTGGAGGACACCCTGTATGAAGCAAACACTAGCAAGGGTAGCTCCGTGGGTGTCGAGTGAATTAATACAATTTCCGCTGGAGTGGATTCGTTTCATGAAACTATACGATAAATTCATTTTGCAAATTGCTACCCTCACTTTTAAATAGCGATGTTATTTGTTTCGCGACAGGTGAAATTGTTGATTATTGAGGGCATCCCAAAATAAAACAGGAGCTATTTCAATGTGTTAATGAGTGAAATTGACGATTCCTGTTCGAAAATATCCTCTCTAATCAAACGTTATTTGGTATACACGACATTTGTGCGGCAACGCGACTTGCTGCTTTTAATTTGAAACATTCGAAACCTTCATTCCCTTAGCTGTGTGAACACGATATCTTTTACAAAATCAATTATGGACTGAAAATTTCCAAGTTCATCTGAGGCGCTAATTAAGCTGAAGTGGACATCTGCGCTCCTGCTTATGTTAACAGCTCATAGAGTGATGAAACTAAATGTTTGCCTGTGCTCGTCCAAATGCGGACAGGAAAAAACTAATCTGAACACATCGACTCCTTATTCAACTGCTATTTTCGTTAAAATAGTTAAAGTGCACCTCATGTGCAAAACTAGATTATATTTTTTTCAAACCTCACAAGAAGACCCTACTAGACACGTTCACATCGATTGAAATCCCATGTGGACGTGAGCTTAAAGGCAGGTTTAAGTCCGTTCACGAGTTTATTCGAATAATTCATGGCTTATCCAACAATTAATCGAAAATTCTCAGTTTAAATGCAATATAAACTGTTTGAGAACATTCTTACCTGAAATGTTCGAGGTTTGATAGAGGACTGCTACCTGATTTATCCATGTTTGAACACAGTCGATATCGACACCAGTCGAATGGTGGACGCGAAAGTGAGAAAGCCTGTCGCAGTCGCGCGCTGATTGGTTCACGAACAATGCGCAAAATATTAGCAATTCTAAACTGGTGTAGGTTTACAGGCGATGAAAACACGGAGCGTCTGGATGGGATTATTTAGGTAAATTGCACTCACATCAAAATTTGCCGAAATATTTTGCTGGTAAACCAACTGCGAGGGAATCTACCCCATGGTGTATTGAGAGACAGCTTCGGCTGAAGTGATCTATTCAAACCGAATATACGAGAAAAGTGTAAACTTCATCGTGTTTGTGATGGATAATCTGTACGTTGTTGACAAAAACACAGTTCGATTCTTCCTTAACTCTATGGCTGCCATTCAAGCGATAAGGAATCGGAACCATCGGGCAAACCTGATACGAAGGTATCGAACACTCAAAAAGCGAAGGATTCGAACATTGATGGCGTTAATTGCGTACATGGAACACAGAAAGCTCACGCAAAAATTGCAAAAACCTGAACCAGCCGGTCCACTAAAGCGAGTCTGGGTCCTTCAAAGAGATCAATTCATGTTCGAGGAATTACTCGCTGGAAATCTTCCCAAGGAAACATGGTATCAGAATTTCCATGTCTCAAGAAAGACATTTTTCAAAATCTGTGAGACAGTTCGTTCTGAGTTATCTAGGCAAGATACGAACATGAGACCGTCAGTCTCTTTAGAAAAGAGAGTTGCCGTCGCTTTGAACCGTCTTGCAACTGGGAGTTGTTATACTGCTTGTGGAATTAATTTTGGCCTTCCCAAATCTACGGCCAATGTGGTTAAGAATGAATTTTGTGATATTTTGAGAAGAAAAGCGGCGAGTTTTATCAAGTTTCCGAAAAGCGAGGTTGAAGTAGGAAAGGTTGTCAGCGAGTTTGAAGACATTTCAATGTTTCCTCATGTGATCGGTGCTTTGGATGGAACCCACGTAAAAATTATCGCACCGAAAGAAAACAAGTACAATTTTTTGGGGAAGAAAGTTTTCTACAGCGTTCTTGTTTTAGGCGTAGCTGATAGTAACTGCAAGTTTATCCACGCCAGTGCTGGATTCCCTGGTGCCATGAGCTTTGCACAGATGCTTCGCAGCAGTGCGTTACAGCGTGACATTCAAAATGGCGTGATCTTGAATGCACCAAGTCGAATAATTGATGGCAATGATGTAAAGCCCCTTCTTGTCGGTAACTCGAATTTTGACCTAAATTCTTGGCTTATGACCCCCTATTCACAAACTCCAAATATTTCTGCTGCTCAGAATAATTTTAACACAGCCCTTAGCTCAGCAAGGGAAAAAATTGTGCAGACATTTGGATTGCTTAGGGGTCGCTGGAGGTGTCTGTTAGAGACAATGAAGGAGGACACCTTAAGGGTACCTACCACTGTTATCGCATGCTGTGTTCTACACAATCTGTGCTTGGAAATGGAAGATGATGCAACCATTGAGCCTGTTTTCATTCACAATGATGTGGACCTTGATGTTGAAAACAGCGATGACTTACCGACAATGAGTGAAGGTGGGAAACAAGTCAGGGAGACAATAAATCAATACTTGGACACATTTGGATATAAGTAGATTGTTATGCTATCATGTGCCTTTAAAAGACAAAATGATATTTCTTTCCATTCAGCAAATTTTTTTGTATTTCTTTTTAAGAGCTGTTCACATAGATTTGAAATCAATCATTGGTGAAGGTAGAAAACTACTATCTCTCACTGAATAAAAGTCTCCTTTGATGAGTAGTCAATTTCTAGTTGAGATTCCAGAAATCAGTTTCCAGAAATCCAGAAATTTAGCTTGATTGCTCCCTAACAAGCCTCCAAATGAACAAGCACAAGTTGATAAACAATTTAAAATTATGCCAGCTGGGTGATCTTTTTTTAGTCTATGGCACAGTTGTGAATGCAACTCTACAAATTCAAAGCCATACAAGAATTCAATCAATTTGCCAACCTCAAGCAGTGAACTCTAAGAGAAATGTGATTCAGTAGAGAAGAACTGGGGCCCCTAAAGGGCTTGCAATCTAAGCAAGGAGGGATCAGTAAAGGGGTTAGATCATTTAAGATTATTACTTGCACCAAACCAGATGAAGATGAGCATCTTCTTGGTCAACTGAGGCAGTAAGGCACATGCAATTAACTCCTAATTTATTATTTAGGCTAAGAAAGTTCAACAGACAAGATAAGTGTAATGTAGGTGGAATTGCTGAGAAGTGTGATCTTAGGACTGCCAGTGACCACTACCTCTAAGAGAATCTCATGTTAAGTTATCACAATACAAACATGATATTTAAATGTTGTGGAAACATATGAATCAGAAGAATCTGTGTGAAATACATCTTTAGCAATGCTAGACTCCATTTGGCTGTTCTTTGCATTGAGCTAATAGAAGCCCACTAATACACAAGGTAGAGCAGTGATATAAATCACTTCATGTAAGGTGCTTAGAATGCAAAACCATAACCCCACGGTTGAAAAATTCTAGCTCTGTTCCTCTCTTGTTGAGAAGATCAGAACAGTTCAACTTCTATCATGTCTCACTGTGAAAAAGAAATATGACAAGATTCAATCCTCAGATACTGGCAAGGGACTACACAACAGAGGATAAATTGTCTTGATACTAGAAAACTAAAATATTCTATGAGTTTTTTTTGTCTTAAACAGGCAGTTTAGCTCTCTACAAACCCCCCATACTTCTTCAAGCAGTCAATCAGTGATTCATTAATTCCTCTGTTTAACTTAAGCCGGTATTCCCGTTAGGTGTGCAGCAGGCATGACGAATGCATAAGTCGAGAGGGAGTGGGAAGGAGGCTTGTTACCTCTCGCGATGGTACAAAATAATTCTTGCCTTTTTAAAACGCTTCACCTCAATACATTCTAGATATTCCATAACTGTGTATTCTATTCTAGAAAACATATAAATTACTTCGAACTTGCGAGTATCATAGGTTCTATAAGAAGTTAAAGAAATTGTGCGGATTTTGTTGTAGGTTTTCAGACAAACAGATGTAATCGCCTCTCATAGTAGTTTTGTAAGAGTTCAACTTCCTTTACGAACATGACAACATGACGTCGACATTGCCACGTATCAAACTGCAGCTATTCACAAATCTGATGAAAAGATATAGTAGCGAAACATCAAAGGATCAAACGTTTTGAGGTGAGTGAAGTATAAAACTAACATTTTGAATACGTTTACTCAACCAGAAATAAACTCACTTGCCCTAAACCCTTTAACCGGCCTGAGAGTGGCTAACATTCTATTAACTCTCCATACAATATCACCCCTCAGGCACTCAAGGTCGCAAGAATAAAGGAAATGATCACCAACTAAAGAAGCTCTTGATTGTTAAACAAATTCTCCTTGTCAGCACCTTAAGAAATGAACAGCCCAGTATGGAGAATATGCATACTGATGTTAGGGTATAAGGAGTTAAGCAACAGCGGATGTGCTTGACTTTGTCTGCTTCCTTGTGAACTGACGCAGTCACAAGAGCGTATTACTCAGACTCTAATCTTGGAGCGTATCATTTTACGATAGTAGCTGCGTAGTGAGTAGTTTTGTAAAATTTTAACTCCTTTTGCGAGCATGACATCATAAAATTGCCGCGTATTAGAACAGATTTCATAATTCATGAAATTTTGTGGAAGCAAAGCATTTGAAGAAGCAAAAATTTTGAAGTGAATGAAATACGAAACCAACATTTTAAAATAAATTGCCCAACTGGAATTAACCCTCTTACCCTTAAGCAACAGCGGATATGCTTGACTATCGCAGTCACCCAAACACAAAGTATCTTATTCCTTGTGAACCGACGTCGTCACCAAAGAAAGCGTATAAATTAGATTCTCCGGTATTGGAGCGTATGATTTTACGATAGCAGCTTCAGAGTACACTTTCCTAGTCCATAATGATTTTTGTAAAGATTTTATTTTGTCTGCTCTATTGCAGCTTAAGTTTTAAAACAACAAGAGGTCAAAGCAACACAGCAAAAAATACTCCCGATACTTCGACATCAAGCAAGTGCCACAACGTTCACTTCAACAATTATTATGCTGGACCAGCAAATAAGGACATCAAGGCACATCTTCTCAAAATAGAGAATCAACTGGCCGAATTAGAGAAGAAAATCGACGCTTTGACGGGAAACAAAACAACTCTGCCAGGTGAGTTTCTGTCAATTTTATATATACGTCTTGCTACTCATCTATGCTGGAATATATCATGCTAACTATAGTTGTTTGATGTCTCTCGACAGCTATGAAAAACTGTGCTGAGCTGTATAAATCCGGCCAAAGAATCACAGGAGTTTACACAATCGACCCCGATGGTTTAGGTGCGTTTGAGGTGTTTTGCGACCAAAAATCTTCTAGTGGGGGCTGGACAGTGTTCCAGAAGAGACTCGATGGCTCCGTTGATTTCGTCAATCGCGCCTGGGCGGATTACAAACGTGGATTCGGAAACTTAAATGGTGAGTTTTGGCTCGGACTGGACAAGATACACCGCCTGACCAAAACAAAGAGTAGACTGCGAGTGGAACTTGAAGACACACAAGGAAAGACAGCTTACGCTGAATATGACATGTTTTCTGTTTCCAGCGAAAGAAGCAAATACAGACTTGGCCTTGGGAGGTATACAGGTGAGTGCTTACAATCTGTGGATTGGTCTATTTTACCCAAAACATAGTTTCGCATAGAGATACAACCGAATTAGAGCGATTCTTTCATTTTTAAACGGACCAATAAGCCTAGCGTCACAGAAAAGGGTACTATTTCTGTTAATTGCTCCAGATCCCCAAAGCAGTAGATTCTTCGTTTTTTTTTCTTTTTTTTTTTGTTTGCTTGTTCGTTTTGAGTTTTTTTGTGTCAGAGCTTATCACATTCTCTTCTATCATCAGAGACTGAAATACGCTCAAAGACTCAATTTCTCTCCAAACTAATGCCCCATTCACACCAAAGCTTAAACATGTTTAAAAGTTGTTTTGTTAAACACAGTTTAATTTTTTTTTTCTTCATAGAAACTATTTAGCCGAATATTTTTGACTTGAATGCAGTACATTGGAAATGCAAGTTAGCAAGTACTTGAATCCAATGGAAAATCAAGTTTTTCAGTTCTCTGTTTATAATTTTCATTCAATGAAAACCAGTTTAACAAAACATGTTTTGCTGGTGTGAATGGGGTATAACACACAATTTCTGGACTTGTTGATGGTTTCCGAACTCCCGCCTTTGAGGGGAGCCGCAAGTTTGGTGTTGTGCCTACTTTTGTTAACTGTCGGTGTTTTTGTCTCAGGAACTGCTGGTGATTCCTTGAGCTATCATCGAAATATGGCATTCTCCACCAAAGATCGCGACAATGATGATTATTCGATTAACTGTGCCGCAAAATATAGTAGTGCTTGGTGGTACAAAGGCTGTGTCGATGCCAACTTAAACGGCTACTATTACCACGGTCAGCATACTTCGGCCCCTTGGCGTGGTATCAACTGGGAGAAATGGAAGGGTGGTAGTTACTCTGCTAAGAGAGCTGAAATGAAGATCAGGCCCGTGGACTTTTAAGCTAGAAATTAAAGATACTCAAATAAGAAATACACTATATTAGCTATAGTTTATAAACTTCTCTACATGTTTGAGTGACCCAGAATGAAAAGTAATGTAATGTGCTTTAATATTTGAATGAGTTTGACACAAAGTTATGGATTTATTAAAAAAGTGAGAGAGAAATACGTTTAGTTGTTTTTCATCTATCTCTATTGGTTTTACGATCGAAAGCTTGAAACTGACAAAATTTCCTCGTAACTTGAGCGATATTCAATTAAATGTCAGTAGTGATCATGTTTATCGAGAATTACATCGATTTTGGCAGAAATTTCTATGTTCTGTGATTGTTCTGGAACATGTGTCTTAAAAGAGTTCTCAGCAGTTTTCCTTTTTTCATTCTTTTTTAACATTTATATCGTCCTTCTGCTTTGCTATTTTGTCAGACATTAAATTTACCCCTGTAACTTATCTGACATAAACAAGGGAAATGGTGACTCCTTTACCACCGTCCCACTCCCGAAAGGTTTTCAGTTTTACCTGATAGATTCTCAGTGATAGAGTTACCGGTGAGATCTTGGATTCCTAATCCAAATTCAGGGGAAAAATAATCTTTAAGTGCCTTACCTGAGTAGGACGATAATAGGCCTTCTCTTTCACGGCTCTGTTTAATACAAGAGCTTAAAGACCCAAACTATTTTCTTACGTGATTAATTAGAATTTTGAAACGAATCAGAAGAGCAAAAATAAATGATGATGTTTTCAAATACGAAAATACTGACTTAAAACTGTATTACTTTAACCAGCGAGCTTAGACCTGTTGATTTGGATGGACTCATGCAAAATTATTCATTGTAGCCCAGACATAGTGAAGCAACCCAACCCATTTAAGAGCGTAATATCTCATTATGAGGAACTATTGTACTCTTTTCGACTTATGTGTAACCGTTTAGAAATAATCTGCCAAAGTCATTCCTCCGTTTAAGTGTTCATCTTATATTCAGCTTATTTTTTAAGTTATACTATTAAACCATATGCAACATTCAAGAGATAAGCCCGGCAAAACTTGAAATACTTGAATACTTGATTGAATACTCAAATACTTGATTGATGAAGAGAATAGCTGATCTTCAACCTTAAATCTTTTTTTTTTGTGCATGTTTGAACTTGGATTAGTCACATAGGATATGATTTTGAATACTAAGAAAGGGTTTGCTTCAAGAGATTGGTTTATATTTAAAATTCATATCTAAATAGTAAACATAACGAAACTCTTAATTGTTTAAAAAAGCACTTGAATTTCGGCAGAGATTTTTAAAATTGCATAGCAATGGAGTTACTCTGACTGAAGTTTTAAGTTCTTGACCTCTATTTCCATTTAGTTTTAACTCGAACTTCCGTAGGAACATTCGAGTCATTCTTTTTTTTCTTTTTATTTAGTCGCCAAATCAACATCGTCTTTCCAGGCGTCCCAAGAAGAGACGAGGAAAACTGCGAATGAGAATCTCGAGCCTCTTTTGTTAGGTTTGCCTCTGTCCCCAATATCATGCTATTGACCTCTGCTCAGATATCTTGAATGTGGAGCAAGGGCCGAAAATTTTTGCCTTATTACGTGGAGTTATCAACATAATTTGAAATGACGTCTGTCGTCGTAGCTTAAATGATCTAGCTTGTTGTCCCTTGTTTTCACTTGATCCTTGATATAAATACATCTGTATAAACCAGGTACAAACAAATAGGAAACGTGCGCAAGAATGCTCAATTGGAGAGGAAAGGGCTTTGAAGTCTTAAAATCGACGATGACAACAAACCCAACGATCGATATGAAAATATTTTGTAGGCCGCACACCGTACGCTCTATTCTCGATCAAAGTTCACCTTAAAGACTTCGGAAACGAAGAGAAAATGTGCAAAAGAATACTCAACTGGAAAGAAACTGGCTTCAAAGTCTTGAAATTGGTGATGACAACAGTCCCAAAGATATGTATGGAAATATTTTGTCGCGTTGCGTGAGCGATTTAAATTCTTGTTTCCAGTTGATTTTCGCGTATCTACGTGGCTGCTGCAGTGTATCCCACACATATTTGGCAGCTGGTTTACCATGTTTTGAGGTTTTTAACGTTTCATTTGATTTGACCTTTAAGACATACCATTATGCGATTGTATCAACCCGGTAATTAACGTAAAAGATTTGTAACCAGTTTTGGTAAATTTTAAATTGTTTCACAACCGCACCTCCCTCATACCCTCAGTAACAGTTGTTTTGATGTATCAGAAATAATCTGATAGGACCTCTCACATTTTCAGACATTTACAAAATTCTCAACAATGTAGCAATCTATGTTCTGATGAGTATTTGGCATCTTAGATCACGCTCCCACAACTCTCCAACTTAAAATCAAAGAAGTTATTCACATTCAATGGGAGCAACCTACTAGTAATCATCAACTTTATCATGTTTTATTTAAAACTTTCCTTGTAATTGCACACATTGTTCTATTTCTATTGTTTGTTTTGTCCAATGACAGGAGCCAATGAGCATTTTGTTATACACTTTAAATTCAACTTTGTACTTTGTATAAATCAGAACTGAGGATGACAGAAGAACTGTCGAAACATCAATCGTTTATTTACCCACGTAGCGTGCAGTGAGCTGGAAAGCGTGTTTTTTAAAAAATGTCGTTTCTTTTCTTAAACTCCTTACATATCTGCTGCTATCCAGACCTTTTGACAACAGATCCCCAAGGAAACTAGCTAGAAGTAGGTCGGATAATCAAAATTCAAGGTTTATTTTCAACATTCAAGTTTTCCTTTTAAACCATATGCAACATGCATGTGATATGCCCGGCAAAACTTGAATATTCAAAGACTTGATTGTTGAAGAAAATAGTTGATTGTTAGAGATTGATTGTTGATCGAAGAGAAAAGGGCTTTAAAGTCTTACGGGCGAATGTTGCCAGTGGTCAAACATTTGGTAGCAACAGATGAAAATTCAATTTCGCCCATATGTCATAGTTAGGTAGGTCTTGGAGAGAAACCGAAACCAATGCGTACCGCGTAGTAAATCGATACTAAATTTCGCCAAAACGCCGCTTTTGAAGCTCAAAATTTCAGGCGAGTCAAGAAACGTCGCGTCACAAATTGAAGAAACCTAGACTGATGAAAAGTACCAAACCTTAAAAAACGACATCAAAACATGTTTTGACAACAATTTCAGCAATTCCTGACCACTCTCACATCAAGGACTTAAGGTAAAAATACATGTCTCCCGAGAGTTAATTGTGCTGATATTGTATATTTTAAACAAGAGCTTTTTAAAGAGTGCGCCTTGCTAGTTTGATATTTAGCACTCTGAGCAGTGATCAATCCCCACCAAATATATATAGTCGGGTCTAAAACCATCAATGAATTATAGGGCAACATATCATAGAGCGTAGATGATGTGTAATAACAAATTTAACATAAGCCTGTTGTCTGGTCTGACCAGAATTTTCACGCCCCACTTCTAAAAGACTAACATTTTTATTTTACCAGGAAAAAGAAAGTGAACAAACCCATGTTGTGCTTATCTACTTAATCTTTCTTTCCAAGTTCAGAAATTTTTAAGAAGTAAACGACTACATGTTGTAGATGGTTTAAAAAGAAACCGTCACTTCCTTGTGCAGCTATAGCGGATCACTAAGGTACGTTAGTAATCCGTTAAGTTTGCCGACGGTTTGCTGAAGCCTTTGTCAACTCTATTGTTTATTTTGCACTTCGTCTAGCTTTAATGGTTTGAAAAGAAAGGTGGGAAATCGCATTACCTGTAATTGAGGAAGAAGGCTACTGCTTTGTTGACAGAAACTACCCTAAGGTAAAAATTTACCGGAACCAAGTCCATACGCTCTCCACAGTAACACTCTTTCGTTGGTAATGTAATGTTATTATAAAAAATAATACTCCTTCCCACTTCACTGGTGTTGACTTTGCAGTAGGTTGTGGACCGCTCACTATCATGCTGACTCCGGCCATTCCACCAGATGAATCAATGGCGAATCATTTGCGTTGCTGTCTCGATGTCAAGGCCAGCACTGAGATAGTGGTGGCCTTACAGTCACATGAGGCTTTTCCACCTTAGGGTCTGAAAGTTAACGCCCTTCAGGTGATTTTATGCTTAGTCAAGCGCTACAGCGGTTACGCTATCAGACCCCCTAACACCTCTCTCTCACATGGCTCCGAGGCTAGGGGGAATAAAACAAAATAAATCAACTATTCATCTCTCAACATCGATGTGATTTCCTCTGTTTTATTTCCCCAAGCCCTAGAGCCAAATTTGAATTTAAAAATACCGAAAATGGGTCGGGGCAAGATGATTGTTTGCTCCTGTTTCGCATGTTTGAATCTCGACCTAAGTTCCCGAAGCCACGTGTTTCACAGTCCAATGTTCTATTTTTGCGGAGTTGTCGCTTTCAGTAGACCTCATTTTGAATTAATTAGCGTTTTTCTGCATGCACACGAGAAACATATTTCTGAACTAGTAACATTCCGCTAACATTTGGTTCGCGATTCGGTTGAATACTAATATTTAAGCAAAGATCTCTTACGTGAAGTAATTACAGCCTCCTCTTCAACTAAATGGGAATAGACAAACCTCAAATCAAAAACCCCGAAATACGCTGTGTAAAGAGCATGATCAGGAGGCGTTGATCATCCTGCCAAGTTACTTTGCTTTTATGTGAATGATGCAACAATTTGAGGACTCTAGCCCTCTTCTTCAAAACAGCAACATATATATATATATATATATATATATATATATATATATATATATATACAATTGAGTTTGCGTGTGAATGTGTGCAGGAACGGCACCACCGCCATGCTCCAGTTTACCTGCGTCATTGCTTTGTCGTACAGCATTTCTTGTTCTAGGGCATACTTGTTTTTCCCACAGGTTTCCAGTCAATTTTTAATAGTTAAATAACGGGTTACTTTTGACCTATTTTTGAACTAGTCAGAAGTAGGTCGCATAAACTCAATTAGATTGTGTAAATAAATGGTCAACAATGGCTCAAATTATTGTCAACACATGTTTTGATGCTGTTTTTCAAGATTTGTTACTTTTCATTAGTCCAGGTTTTTTTCATTTTATGACGCGACGTTTCAAGATGCGCCTGAAATTTTGTGTTTAAAAAGCGGCATTTTGGCGGAATTCAGTTATTATCGATTTTCTGGAAAATGAATCGATATTCAGCCAAACGAAGTAAGCATTGGTTTTTTCTCTCTCTAAGGCCTACCTAACTTGAGAATATGAACCGAATTGTTTTTTGGCTTTTGCCACCATACTTTGAAACGTTCGATTTTTGGCCACATTTGCTCTTAAAATCGACGGTGACAACCGTCCCAACGATCAATAGGGAAATATTTTGTAGGACTGTACACTAAAAACAGCCGGCTGATTTTTTCCTACATTTTGCTCCATTCTCAATCAAAGTTCACTTTATAAACCTCGAAAACGAAGAGCAAACACGCAAAAGAATACTCCACTGGAAAGAAACGGGCTTTAAAGTCTTGAAATTGACGATGACGACAGTCCCAAAGATAATTATGGAAATATTTCCTCCCGCCGCGTGAGCGATTTAAATACTTGTTTCTGAAGTTGATTTTCGCGTATCTACGTGGCTGCCACATGGGTGTATGTCACGCATATTTGGCAGCTGGTTTACCATGTTTTCAGTGAGGTTTTAAACGTTTCATTTGATTTTACCCTTAAGATATGCAATTGTGCGATTATATCAACCCGGTAATTACTGTGAAAGATTTGTAACCAGTTTTGATAAATTTAAAATTGTTTCACAACCGCACCTCCCTCATACCCTCAGTAACAGTTGTTATGATATGTCAGAAATAATCTGATAGGACCTCTCACATTTTCAGACATTTACAAAATTCTCGACAATGTCGCAACCTATGTCCTGATGAGTTTTTTGGCATCTTATATCACGCTCCCACAACTCTCCAACTTAAAATTAAAGAAGTTATTCACATTCAATGGGGGCAACCTACGCTTTATCAACATTTCTATCATGTTAATTTAAAACTTTCCTTATAATTGCATACATTGTTCTGTTTCTATTGTTTGTTTTGTTCATATACTTCAAATTCAACTTTTTACTTTGTCTGCTGACGGAAGAACTGTCGAAACATCAATCGTTTATTCAATCAATCGTTTATTTACCTACGTAGTGTCTACTGAGCTGGAAGGCATGTTTTTTAAAAGATGTCGTTTCTTTTCTCAAATTCGTGACATATCTGCAGCTATCCAGACCTTTTGACAACAAATCTCTAAGGAAACTCGGGTTATCGCTTCAATAGCGTCTAACTCATCCTTGACTGGCAAGTCAGCTCTGTGCATCGATGGAATCTTGTGTTCAACCAAAACCAAGAGTTGCCTTGGCGTGACGAATGCATAAGTCGAGAGGGAATAGGAAGGAGGTTTGCTAGCGTAAGACACGGCACTTTTAAAATATTTTTTGCCCTGTTTGTTAATGCTACACCTCACCATACATTCTAGACCTTCCTATTATGTTTATTGTTTATAGGATCCATTAGAAGGTAAAGAAACTGTGACGATTTATCCCGGCGTTTGTGGTTTTTCAAACAAACAGACGTGTAGTTGCATCTCATTAAGCGCATGAGGAAGTAGGGAATTTAGGGAGCGAACATTTAGAAGTGAGCAAAATACAAAACAAACATTTTTTAATGAAATGTTAGCTGATATGACAGACGAAACAAAAACAGTGCTTGTCTATGACAGTCACCCAAACACGAAAAATCTACCTGCTTGTATACTGACGTGGTCAGAACAGCGTATTAATAAGATTTTCTATACGTTGAGAAAGTTATATTGCGACACTGAACAGCTGGGAAGTGAGTTTTCTCGGTCGAGGATGAATTTTTTCAACATCATATTTTGCCTGCTCTGTTGCAACTCGATGTTTCAAACTCTGAGTGGGGTAAACAGCACATCTAAACAAGTCACATCCAACAAAACTCCCGATACTTCGACATCAAGCAAGTGCCACAACGTTCACTTCAACAATTACTATTCTGGACCAGCAAATAAGGACATCAAGGTACATCTTCTCAAAATAGAGAATCAACTCGTAAATTTAGAGAAGAAAATCGATGCTTTAACGGAGAACAAAACAACTCCGCCAGGTGAGTTTCTGTCAATTTTGTATGTACGTCTTACGACTCATCCATACTGAAATATATCATGCTAACTACGATTGTTCGATGTCTCTCCGCAGCCATGATAAAACTGTGCTGAGCTGTTCAAATCCGGCAAAAGAATCACAGGAGTTTACACAATCGACCCCGATGGTTTAGGTGCGTTTGAGGTATTTTGCGACCAAAAGTCTTCCAGTGGCGGTTGGACAGTATTCCAGAAGAGACTCGATGGCTCCGTTGATTTCGTCAATCGCAGCTGGGCGGATTACAAACGTGGATTCGGAAACTTAAATGGTGAGTTTTGGCTCGGACTGGACAAGATATACCGCCTGACCAAAACAAAGAGTAGACTGCGAGTGGAACTTGAAGACACACAAGGAAAGACAGCTTACGCTGAATATGATATGTTCTCTGTTTCCAGCGAAAGAAACAAATACAGACTTGGCCTTGGGATATATACCGGTGAGTACTCCCTAATCTGTGGATTGGTCTATTTTAGACAGAATTGTTCTAAAAGACGCAACCGAATTCGAGCGATTCTGCATGGGTCTACCTCGATTCATTTTACCCATCAGAGACTGAAAAACGCCGTGAAAGAATCAATTTCTATCCAGTACAATTTTTTACTTTCTGATCGTTCCCAAACTTCTTCCTGCAAGTTTTGATCCTATAGCCTCCCTTTGCTAATTACATGTGATTCCGTCTCATCCTATCATCAGAGAATGAAAAATGCTGAAAGGATCAATTTCTATCCATTGCAATTTCTATAGCCTTCCTTTGCTAATAATATGTGATTCCGTCTCAGCTGGAACTGCTGGTGATTCTTTGAGCTATCATCGAAACATGGCATTCTCCACTAAAGATCGCGACAATGACAATGCGAACTCGTTCAACTGCGCCGCATCCTATAAAAGTGCTTGGTGGTACAACAACTGTCTCCGTGCCAACTTAAACGGCTACTATTACCACGGTTCGCAAGTCAAGTCTGGCTATCGTGGTATCAACTGGGGTAAATGGAAGGGTGCTTATTACTCAGCTAAGAGAGCTGAAATGAAGATCAGGCCCGTGGACTTTTAAGCTAGAAACATACACATACAAGGAATACACTACATCAGCTATAGTTTATCGGCTTCTCTGCATAGTTGAGAAACACGGAATAAAAAGCAATGTAAATATGCTTTAATATTTGAATGGGTCTGACACAAAGTTATGGGTTTAATAAAAGAAAAGAAGGGAGAGAAATACGTTTAGTTCATTTTCGTGTATCACTATTTGTTTTACGATCGAAAGCTTGAAACTGACAAAATTTATTTGCAGCTCTAGCGATATCCAATTAAATGTCAGTAGTGATCATATTTATCTGGGATTAAATCGATTTTGGCACAAATTTATATAAAAAAAAATATAATGATACACGAAAGTAAGTATATTTTTTTACGATCGAAAGCTTGAAACTGAAAAAATTTCTTTGCAACTTTAGCGATATCCAAATTAATTTTCAGTAGTGCTCATGTTCATCTGGGATTACATCGATTGCGGCAGGAATTTCTATGTTCTGTGATTGTTCAGGAACATGTGTCTTAAAAGAGTCCTCAGCAGTTTTTCTTGTCTTATTTTTTTTAATATTTACATCGTCCTTCTGTTTTGCTATTACATCAGACAAGATATTTACCCCTGTAACTTATCTGACATAAACAAGGGAAATGGTGATTCCTTTACCATCGACCCCTTCCCGAAAAGTTTTCAGTTTACCTGATAGATCTTCAGTCATAGAGTTGCCGGTGATATCTTGGATCTCTGATCCAAGCTCAGGGAAAAAATAATCTTTAATTACCTTACCTGAGTAGGACGATAATACGCTTTTCTTTCACGGCTCTGTTAAAAGCAAGAGCTTAAAGACCAAAAAGATCTTACATGATTTATTGGAATTTTTAAAAGAATCAGAAGATCAAAAATAAATGATAGTGTTTTCAACGAAAATACGATACATGCAAAACCTCTGACTTGGGACTGTATTGGGACCTTGACCTGCGAGCTTAGCCCTGTTGATTTGTTCTAAAACGGCATAGCAATGGAGCTAATCTGACTGAAGTTTGAAGTTCTTGACCTCTATTGCCATTTAGTCTTAACCCAAACGTCCTTAGGAACACTCAAGACTAAAAGCAAACCGTTCGTTTATTATTTCCTTCTTATTATGTCGCCAAATCAACATCGTCTCTCCAGGCGTCCGAAGTGGAGGCGCGGAAAACTGGGAGTGAGAATTTCGAGCCTCTTTCAATAGGTTTGGCTCTGTCCCCAATATGGTGCTATTAAATTCTGCTCAGATATCTTGGGGGCAGTGTAAGGGCCGAAATTTTTAGCCTGATTACATGGAGTTATCAACATAATTCGAAGTGACGTCTGTGCCAATAGCTGAAGTGATTTAGCTGGTTTTTCCCTCTTTTCACTTGATCCTTGATTAAAATACATCTGTATAGACCAGTTACAGACAAAGAGGAGACGTGCGTAAGAATGCTCAGTTGGAGAGAAAAGGGCTTTAAAGTCTTAAAATTGCCGATGACAACAACCCCAACGATCAATATGGAAATTTTTTTGTAGGACCGTAAACTAAAATCACCCAGGTGGTTTTTCCTTCTTTTTGCTCCATTCTCAATCAAAGGACACCTTTTAGTCTTTGCAAACGAAGAGCAACTGGAAAGAAACGGGCTTCAAAGTCTTGAAATTGATGATGACAATAGTCCAAAACATATTTATAGAAATATTTTGTCGCGCCGCGTGAGTGATTTAAATTCTTGTTTCTGAAGTTGATTTTCGCGTATCTACGTGGCTGCCACATATTTGGCAGCTGGTTTAACATGTTTTCAGGGAGGTTTTAAACATTTCAATTGATTTGACCTTTAAAACATACCATTATACGACTCAAATCCGGTAATAATTGTAAACGATTTGTAACCAGTTTTGGTAAATTTTAAATTGTTTCATGACCGCACCTTTACCATACCCTCAGTAACAGTTGTTTTGATATGTCAGAAATAATCACTGCTTCAGCTTGTACTATAGTACAAGGGGTCGTAAATGTTGGTTTGAACTGCTCGTGGTGTTGCGTTTGTGTAACCTGCGGCGTAGCACACGTTTTTTTCTTTGTTTGTTTTTTATTCCTGTTGCGGCTTCGCCCAGGTGCCCCCCGGCTACGCTCACTAGTTATTAAGACCTCTCACGTAAAATTGCTAACTTATTTCACCGAAAATCCCTAAAGAAACTCGAGTTAACGCTTCAATAGTGTCTAGCTTATCTTTGACAGGCAATTCAGCTCTCTGTGTCCATGGAATCCTGTGTTCAACCTAGACCGGAAGTTTGCCTTGGCCTGTTCAATGCCCAAGTCGAGAGCGAATGGAAAGGAGGCTTGAAACCTCTCGCTTGGGTGCGAGCCGCTGTTGATGCTAGGATAAGACGCTTTGCAAACACTCTTAGCCCTGTTTGTAAATGCTACACCTGACCATACATTCTAGACCTTCCTATCATGTTTATCATTTTTATTTGCACAAATTATCTTACTTCGAACTTGCAAGTTTTTTAGAATCCGTTAGAAGTTAAAAAAACTGCGACGACTTACGCGTTTGAGGTTCTTTAGACAAACAGACGTGTAGTTGCATCTCATTAAGCGCATGTGTAAGATTTCAATTTTTTGCGAACATTGCGTCATGAAGCTGCCGTGGATTAAAACTGGATTCTCGAAGGCTGGGGAAAATTGTAATAACAAAACATTTTAGTGAGAAAAATATTTTGAAGTGTGCAAAACACAAAACTAACATTTTTAAATAAACTCACTCAACCATAGATAACCAACTTAGCCTGAAGCAAAAGTGGAAGTTGGTATGAAAGACGAAACAAAAGCAGTGCTTGTCTATGACAGTCACTCAAACACGAAAAATCTGCCTGCTTGTATACTAACGTGGTCAAAAGAACGTATTTATAAGATTTCCTATAAGTTGAGCAAATTATATTGCGACAACAGCTGGGACGTAAGTTTCTCGGTCGAGGATGAATTTTTTCAATATCATATTTTGTCTGCTCTGCTTCAGCTTGATCTTTCAAACACTGAGCGGAGTAAACAGTAAATCTAAACAAGTCACATCCAACAAAACTCCCAATACTTCGACAACAAGCAAGTGCCACAACGTTCACTTCAACAATTACTATTCTGGATCAGCAAGTAAGGACATCAAGGTACATCTTCTCAAAATAGAGAATCAACTCGCAGATTTAGAGAAGAAAATCGATGCTTTGACGGAGAACAAAACAACTCTGACAGGTGAGTTTCTGTCAATTTTGTATATACGTCTTACAACTCGTCCATGCTGAAATATTATCATGCTTACTATAGTTGTTGATGTCTCTCGACAGCTATGAAAAACTGCGCTGAGCTGTACAAATCCGGCGAAAGAATTACAGGAGTTTACACAATCGATCCCGATGGTTTGGGTGCGTTTGATGTGTTTTGCGACCAAAAATCTGTAGGTGGGGGGTGGACAGTATTCCAGAAGAGACTCGATGGCTCCGTTGATTTCAACAATCGCGGCTGGGCGGACTTCAGACGTGGATTCGGAAACTTAAATGGTGAGTTTTGGCTCGGACTGGACAAGGTACACCGCCTGACCAAAACAAAGAGTAGACTGCGAGTGGAACTTGAAGACACACAAGGAAAGACAGCTTACGCTGAATACGATATGTTCTCTGTTTCCAGCGAAAGAAATAAATACAGACTTGGCCTTGGGAAGTATACAGGTGAGTGCCTACAGTCTGTGGATTGGTCTATTTTACCCTAAATATGGTTCCTAAAGATACAGCCGAATTAGAGCGATTCTTTCGTTTTTATATAGACCAATAAGCCCAGCGTCTTAGAAAAGGTTACTATAACTGTTATTTACTCCAGATCCCCCAAAACAGTAGATTCTTCGTTTTTGCTTGTTTGTTTTCGTTTTTTGTTTGTTTGTTTTTTTTAGAACTTATTGCATTCTCTTCTATCATCAGAGACTGAAAAACTCTGACATTCAATTTCTCTCCAAAGTCAGTAACACAATTTCTGGACTTTCTGTTGGTTCCTAAACTCCCGTCTTTGAGGGGAGCCGCAAGTTTAGTGTTGTGCCTACTTTTGCTAACTGTCTGTGTTTTTGTCTCAGGAACTGCTGGGGATTCTTTGAGCTATCATAGGAACATGGCATTCTCCACCAAAGATCGCGACAATGATAAATACTCGGGCAACTGTGCCGCATACTATAAAAGTGCTTGGTGGTACAACAACTGTGTTCGTGCCAACTTAAACGGCTACTATTACCACGGTTCGCACGTCGGGTCTGCCTATAGCGGTATCAACTGGAATACATGGAAGGGTTATAGTTACTCCGCTAAGAGAGCTGAAATGAAGATCAGGCCCGTGGACTTTTAAGCTAAAAACATACACAATCAAGGAATACACTACATGAGCTATAGTTTATCAGCTTTTCTACATAGTTGAGTGAAACAGAGTAAAAAGCAATGTAATGTGCTTTAATATTTGAATGGGTCTAACACAAAGTAATGGGTTTAATAAACTGAAAGAGAAAATACGTTTAGTTTATTTTCGTGTATCAATATTCATTTTGCGATCGACAGTTTGAAACAAAAATTATGAGCAACGTCAGTCATTTCTAGTGAAATGTAGAGAATGATCAAGGTGATCTGGAATTGCGCTAACTTTAGTAAAAATTTCCTTGTTCTGTGATTGGTCTGGAATATGTAACTATGTAGAGTTCTCAAGAGGTTTATTATTATTACTATTTTGATGATATTTATACCTTTTTTCTGCTTTGCTATTTCGTCTGACAAAAATTTACCCTTGTAAGTTTATTTTAATAACGACACCTCTCTCACCCTCCCCTTCCTCCCCCCCTCCCCCCCAAAAAAAGGTTTTCAGTTGTGCCAGATTGGTCATCAGTCACAGAGTTGTCTATGAGATCTTGGATCCCTGATCCAAGCATAAGGAAACTGAAAAGATCTATAAGTACCTTCCCTGAATAGGACGATCGATTCGAGACATTCTCTTTCAGGGTCCTGTTTAAGACAAGGGCTAAAAGACGGAACAGTAGATTGTCTCAATTGATTTATTTATTATTCTTATTAGAAGTTTCAAAAGAATCAGTAGAATGAAAAAGAAAACAAACAAACAAACAAGGAAAAGATTTTCAACGAAAATTCTGCAATTCAGTTTAGTTGCTTTTTCAAAACAGTTTCACAATAATTTTAATAGACTACTGTACTTATACAAGTGTCAACGAAACTAAAAATTAGGATTCTTAAGAGAAACCCAATAATTATGCTACTTCCGTCCAACTCGAGTCTCATGACTACTGCACTTTTTAACCTTCGCGTCAAGCAATCATCACGGTAGTTTTCACTAAGCACTCAAACCTCCATTAGTTAATCTTGTTATCTAAATAGATCATAATTTATTTTTAATTAATAGGCCGAGAATTTCACACCACCCCCAGACTTGCATTTTCGAGGATATGAATTTGTAAGCTGTTCCGTATATAAACCAAATAACCTAGGAAGATTACAGGAGTTTTGTCGCTGTCCCGTTTGCGGTTTCATCCCTTTTTGTGTTATCGTAGCGCTAAATGCGTCCCGTGGAAGATTTATTTGATAGCTATATGGTGTTGCATGCCCTTCGTTCAAAAGCACTTCGGCACAATCCGTAAACTCGTTTTCGTGTGCTACTGTCAAAGCGCTTTTTCCACGCTCGTTCACTTTATTTACATCCAGCCTGTTCCTTCTGAAAACTTTGGATATCATTTTAATAATATTTATATTGCCGGACATGCTTGCTAATATTAGATTCGTGTTTCCTTCAGTGTCTACGCTGCCCAACGCAAGGTCAACTTCGGGATAACTAAAAAACAGCTTGACCATGTCTTCTCTTCCCATAAGACAAGCCCATGACAAGGCCGAACGGCTAAACTTGTCCAGTAATTTAATCTTGGCGCCGTAATTCAGCAGCATTTTAGCAGTCCTGCGGCGAAGCTTACTGTTTTCTAAGAACATTGCTCTAATTAGAGCAGTTTGTCCGTTCTCCAAATCTTTGCAGTTTACGTTGACACCCGCGTCTAACAACAAGCGAATTTGACGAAGTCTCCCTTGACTGACGGCTTCTAAAAGTATCCTTGGCCTTCCACTGACAACAGGAGGCCTTGCACAGTTGTTCTTGTCGAATTCAGTGTCTATCCACGCAACCTTTTGTTTAAGATCGGGAAATGGTTGCCTTTGGTGACCAACCGACGACGAAGGTGATGTCATAACTTACGCTTTCTCCGGCCTATTGAGACAAGCCCGCTATTTCTGTTGTTCGCCCGCTCGAAAAAAACTCAACTTCTTAGTTCAAGTTGACAAACTGTGTAAGAGGTATGTTTGTTAATTGTTGTAGAGTTTCATAGCCTTGTAATTGCTCGTTCAACTCACCTTTCATTAAAATTCACCAAATAATACCTTCTTCTATTGTCTCAAAGCCCTTTGTTGTGACATTAACGCCAATGGGATTTATTACACGGTAGGTCAGGCTTGACTGACCTTCTGATTTACCGATTGGACAGAAAGTTAATGCTCACACGATTCAGGGTCACGTACTGAAAGACTAATAAACACCTACTTTTAATAACTGAATGCGACCGTACTTTGGATAAAAAACTTTTCATGTTATAGAATTGTTATTTGGAGGTTTGTCTCCAACTAAAAAACCGCCCAGCAGAAGACAAATTATTTTGTTACTGCCTCTCGTCATTTGCATGTCTACACATTCGTTATGAAAAACGAAATTTTATTGACATTTATCAAAAATGCGAGGTGTAAATTAATGAACCACTTTACAGCGAGGACAAGAAACTTAGCACTTTGTTAGCAACCTCTAAAACCAGTAAGTAAAACCAGTTTTCACACGCACCAAAAAAACCGATACGAAGTATTCCTTGTTAGTTTTAAGGCATACATAGTCTTTTTTTCGCGCAAACACTGCTTCACAATGTACAAATCAAACTCAGTTTTACCTATATGCCAAGGAGGCACTTAAGAAAAATTTTACGCTGTTTCGTGATTGAGTTACACAGCTTCGTACACTCTTCATGGGTCAAGTAGTCTCCTCCAAATAGAGCCTTTTCAAGCAGAACTCGGTCACGTAAACGTGTAGGATCAAACGAACGCATAAAAAACGGTTCAGACTGTACTGAGCCAATTTCTTGACTGAGCCTATCTTTTCCTCTCGAGAGGTTCTGATACGATCGAACAAAACACTTAGGGATCATTCATTATTTAACGATTGTGGGGGGAGGGATAGGGGTCGGAGGATTTTTTTGGGACCACGTGATTTTCAGTGGGGACGGATCGCTAACAGAGTATAAAGCGGGTGGGAGGGGGGGGGGCAACAGAAAATTGTCTGCTAATTTATCAGAATACTACAGGGCGTTATGGTAGGTAATCGAGATTATAACCAAAACACAGAAAACCAACATAACCAAAATCCTTCTACCACGCCACACAAAAAAAATAATTAAAAATGATTTTTTTTATTGGAATTTTTTTATCAGCTTTTCTTCTGTTTCCTTTCCTTTTTGGCAACTTTTCTCAAAAACTACTCTGTAACAAGATAGGCTTACTGAGATGTTCAGGTATGAATGGACAAAATTCAGATTTAGTGTAAGGAATGAGAGGTTACTTGTCATGTGTCTACGTTATTAAAAACGTTATAATTTTTTTGCATATTATTAACCCGATATTACTCAGATTAATTACGAGGCCAATGTCTATCCACTTTGACTGAAAAAGCGTTAGTCAAGCAAGAATTTATCAAACGGTCCAACTATATCTCGTCCATATCTTACAGAGAATAGTGCTAAAAGCGCGCTCTGTGTGGCTGCTCAAACTCAGAATATCCTTTGATATCACCTTCTGGCAATGCGCACGGTATCTGTGCTCGAATTTATTGTAATCTTTGCAGGAATAACTGAGTTAAAATCATCTTTTTGTGTAGAATTATCTCATTGTTTTAGTATATGTTAAACTTCGCGGCGAGTTTAATATCCACCGCTAACCTCTGACACTGAGGTGAATACATTGTATTGATTCCTGTTATTTTTACTTTAGGCGTTATCTATCATCTCTGTCTCCAGCACAACAAAAGAAAATTCACAGGCGCACGGGAGAAATTGAAAGCCGGAGAAATAACGTTATTGTAATAGTTACATATGTACTGAAATAAGTACATATCTTCTATGGAACATTTTTCAATAAGTGGATGTCTCAGCCGTTAACTTCAACTGAGTTTCACTTTTTAACACAATTAAGAACGACCAATGGCCTCCGTTTTAAAATTGATTCATCTCTTCAAAATCAGAGCAAATACTTTTTAAATATTTTTAACAGTTTTACTGAATCCAAAATTCAGTACGAATACCGGTGAATTAGAGGAAAATATTAAGTGCTTTTATCTACTTTGTTTCTTTTCGGACGTTTGGCTGTGGCTCAAGGGTAACACTTAGGTATTATTTTGTTTTACAGGTATCATTCCATTATAAGTTATTTCATTTGTCCGTTTTGTCTGAGTGTCAGTTAACATATTATCTCACCTGGTTGTCATGGTTACCTCGTTTGGTAAGATTGTCTTAACAGTGGCTGCCTGGATCTCAGGGTGTCGCGGGAAAAGTTTGACGTGACTGAAGGCATCTTATCTACTAAGATGTGAGCATGCGCAAGGAATATTGCTTAGTTTCACTTATATTGATGGTCGGAAGCCTCTCTAAAAAAACCAATGATGCAGTGAAAAAAAAAATGATAAAATCTTCTTCCTCGCCTCTTATAAAGATAGCCATTTCATCTATCAATTACGAAATTATTGATGGTTATCTTCTTATTTAATGTGCCTGCTCACCGTATACGTTATTCATCAAGCTGAGCGACAGTTTAGAGGAAAAAATGCGATTGACCTACATTTTGGCATTACAAGAGTTTGCAGAACCTGGTTTGGATGTCTTAGCTGGGATTTAACACACTTATACGAGGGGGGCTCATCACCGAGTTTGTCCCTGTGCGCCTTATAGGATCATACAAGACAAAAAGAATACCAGGGAAAAATTTTCTCTATGGTTCGAGGGCTTGCGGAAATACCTCTAAAAACAGTGAACTGTAATTAATCTCGAGCTGCAATTGACTATCACAAACATTACGTCATAAGATATTGCTCACAGAGTTTATTCAGTTCAAACACTTTCAGATGAAATTCTAACTATAATTCGAACAACTCTCATTCAACACACGCCCTGTATAAATTGTCTTTCCTCTGGTCAACCTGTTCCTACTTTCGAGAAAAAAGGAAATTTGCTTAATTTCCATGACACGATAGTTATTTGTATTTTCACTTATTTTTATCTTGTTATCCCCTTTAGGTACTAAATTCACGCAGTTCATTGTTATGAGCATTAAAGAAGTGAGTGCAAATCACACAATAGGCTTTTGTCTTACATAAAGGTGAATTAGTGTCTTCAATGCTAATTCGCTATGAAAATATTGGACAAGCTAACATTACTTTCAGACTCTATTGTCACCATGGTTGACCATGACGCGAAAGCGAATTTTAATTCATTCTCTAAAGATTTAATACAAAGCAAGTAAGTCTCTAAGGAGTATGTCCGATTAACCCCTTCGTTGAAAACAAATTGAGCAAATATGAATTGTATTTGCTTGTTTTGCTAACGGTTTCTATAGCGCTGCAATACAGTACGACAAGAAATCAAACGTAACCTCACCATGTTGCTGGAAGCAGTTTCAAGAGGCAGGCTGTACCAAGTCAAATTCTTACTTGAATCATTTACTGAGGACGTGAACAAAGTGGATGAAAATCGTCAAACTGCGCTGATGAAAGCAATTTTTCTTCCCGACACAATGCACCGCACGCGTTACAAAATCGTGAAGATTCTACTCGACCACAAAGCGCGAGTCAACGTTGTAGACAGAGAAGGAAGAACGGCGTTGATGTGGGCTTGTATTCGCGGACAGGAAAACGTGGTCAGAAAGATCCTCGATGTTTCAATTTTAGATCTGGATTTGAACGGAGGAGACAAGTACGGCAACACAGCATTGTTCTACGCCGCAGCGAGTGGTCAAGTGAATACCGTCAAAAGACTTGTGACAGCGTTAAAACGATTTGGACTGGATATCGATAAAAAGAACGCGCAGGGAATGACACCGATATTGGAGGCCACTAAACGTGGGCATGATGAATGCGCACAAGTGCTGATGACCGAAGGTAAAGCTTCTCTAACAATTAGAGATCCTGAAACGTTTCTAAACACCAAAGAATGGGCTGAAAAGCGTTCTTTGACGAACTTATCGGAACTGATTGCACGAAGAAGCCCCTCGCCGCAACTTGCGGTACAGAACGTTGAGAACGATCCGGAGCTCGACGATCAGATCTCATCGGCCTCAGATTTGGAAAATAAGAACACTCAGAGAAACCTTGCTAATGAGAGCGGTAACGCTAATGAACAAGCAGCACCTTCGCCGCAACAAAGACGAGGCTCAGTGTCGGATAAAAAGATGAAAGGGCCAACGGACATGCTTCCTTCGTCACGGCAGGGCCGAAGTACACCACTGATGACAGAAAATAAAAAAGAGGGATCCGTTTCCCCAAGGAGTTCCACCACAACTGTATCTTTAACTAGAAGAAAAAGTGAACTCTTTGAAAAGACTAAAATTGGAGCGGCTGCCATTACGGCAAAATCAGAAATGTGTCGGCTTCTAAGCTTGTATGGTATTCAACACTCTGAGTCCTACAGGCAGAGTTTCGACCCGATACTTCTACCTCCGAGTGGATACTGGCCAGATCCACTGGCTCATCTCAGAGACAACACTTCATCCGTAGCGGATGACGATTTAGAGTCGAATTTTTTAGATGTCCTCCGACCACGCGGATCAGGTCGTCGGAGATCTTCGGCTTTTCCCGGAGCCCCTGACATGGGTCGTCGTGGGAGCAGTGTCGCCGGTCGAAGAGGGTCGATGATGCCCAACGGATCCGGTATGGGAATGGGAAAGAGAGGTTCTATTGCTCCATCATTGATGTCGATAGGGGGAGGTAAAAACTTTCTGGAGGCTCCAGGACTTCTAACGTCGCGAAGAACGACGCTATCTGCAAACAATACAAGGGGGACGACATCACTCAGCCCTTTCGACAGGAGGGGCTCACTTATGCCGAGAGGAAGTGAACAGACGAGACCGACGCTCCCTCGTCGGATAACTACGCACATAGCAGTTGGATTAGGACACATACAGGAGAGCTAGAACTGATTTGAAAAAAATAGTCCTTGAAAGAACTGCGAATGATCAACAAAAATTAAAATCGATGTTAACTATTCAGTGATGTCCTCTCAAGAAAAAAAATCCGAGTTAATCAAGTCACGTTTTTTTAACCGAATGGCTTATTTCCACTGTGTTGTTCAAGAATTACTCATGTGGATCGCAGTTTCCATTAAAAATTGTACAGTAATCCTGAAAAGATTATTGCTTTTGTTAAAACATTCTACTTAAGCTTGTCACCTACTAATTGACTAAAAGAGTGCTTTACTCCTTCATTTTATGAGCGCTAGACAACACGAAGATTCTTTGAATGCAGTCCCTTTTTTCGGCGAAATCTGTTGCGCAAGTCAAAAAGAAAAACGAAAAAAATTATCGTCAGCGCGCTGAGCAAGAACTCTGGAAGAGATGCAAGCCTACTTTTCGTGCACCTCACCATAGTTCCGCGCGGCGTATTAACATCCTTTTTTTTCCACTTGAGTTCGCGCGACGAACTTCGCCCGAAAGGGAGAGAATGCTCGTAATCCAACCCACAGACTTCAGATTCACGGCTCTGAAAACTTGCGACAACGAAAATGTAAAATAATATCTCGATTAAATGAAAAAAACAAACAAACAAAACAAAAATTTTAAAGATCAATAGTTCGTTTATTCCAAATACACAATTGTTTTTAAAGTACATTGTTTAACAGCCATCTTTTACAAAGAAAAAATAAATCATTTCCTCAAATTACCAAACAGCAAACGAAACCATCCGTGAAAACTTTATCCAGCTTTTTATTAAGATTAATAAACATTCACCTCCAAGAAGACACAATAAGGAAATAACAATAACATGAAAAACAAATCAAATACGCCCAGGGAATGTGCCACTTTCCATTTGATCATCCCAGCTTTCCACCTGCAAAAGTAACATAACTTAAATCAATATTACTCCTTGAAACATAACAAAAGGTTTCAAAAATTGAAAGTATAGATTTCTTCTGTAATGTTAGAGCCATAACTTATTTCCTAATTTTATTTTGGCCTACACTAACAGAACAACCAAGAAAGCTATGAAATAAAATTGATTTTACTCAATTGAATTTGAACTCCCCAAGTACATGTACCTAAAGGATTAGAAAATGCGTCTAGGTGAAAATTTGCTTGTTTACAGTGGAACACTTATCATCTTTAGTGCCGATTTTTAATTCAGCTAAGTTGAATTTTGCTCCCTTTATCTATGATGATGATTTGTAATGTACTATGAAATAATTTTAATAAAAAGGGGTTTCATAATGTTTTATTCCAAATAAAATAATCAATTTTAAAGCTGCATTACTTTTGAGTTTGAGGGTTTCATACCCTTTATCAGGAACAAATTTCAGGGAATTTGCAGGACTTTTCCAGGACTCAAGATTTTTTTTCCAGGACTCCAAATTTCACCTTAAATCCTTTCATTCCCAAGATTTCAAAATCATTTCTCCTTGCAGTCTACATACATTTCTTACAACATAAATTCTGAAAACATTATTGCTTGAATCAAGCAGATTTCCAGGACTTTCCAGGACCTGTAGTCTTTTTCCATGACTTTTCCATCCAGGAAAATGTCAAAATGAATTCCAAGACTTTCCAGGACCCATATGAACCCTGGTTTAAATTCAGCTTGATGAACCAACAAGTAAAAAGCATGGTACCTGTACATGGTTCAGTTAGGCATGCAAATGAAATTAGAACAAATTACACACATTTGATGAGCATGTATAGCAGTAGATGCACAACCTACACCTGTGAAGCATGGTCCAATAATCCATCATCATTGATTGCAATGCATGCTTGTTATTAAAAGTCTTGAAAAGGCAACAACTTCAATTCAATAACTTGAGCTTCCTAACTTACCCAGGGACCAGGGCATAAGGATTTGTAAGTCCTGAAAAAATACTGACATCTGCTTTCTTCCTCTCCAAACTTCTTTATGCATCGATGAAAGTCCACATAGTTCTGCCAGCAGTTCTTTGTCTGGTTGGTGTAAGGGAATCTTGCATCAAAGGGAGCTGTCTCCAATTTAAAAGTCTTAGGGTCAAAGTGTTGTTCAACATTTTCTGCCATCATCTAAGCTGTACCCTACAAATAAGTTTCAGTTCAAGATTGAAGTTAAAATTTTGCTTGGAAAAAGTGACAAGGCTATAGTGATATACGTTAAACAGACAGCACTTTTCAATTAAAAAGAGATTTACGTCATTTGCAATACCACACTCATTTAAAAATCCTACTAAATGCACTATTGACATGCATTTTCTAACACACTGTCAGAATAATTTTTAACAAAAAGCTGCTTTCTGCACAAAGTAATATTTGTAAGTGATATGAATCATGAAATGATGGCAACATAGGAGAAGTATAGGAATATCTGCTCTCTAACATACATGAATATTGCAGTGCCCAGTTGTTCACACCACCGAAGCTTGTCTTAGATAGTACAAAGCAACTAGAAACATTTATTCTCTCCCGGAATGCATACAAAATCTGCACAAGTTATTCTTCCTTCCCTAACAAGCATCTTGTTAGGTTTTCCTGCATAATTCACAGGCAGTCCTGGATGAAGGAGAAGCACCGCAACAGGAAATTTTCCAACAGGACCTCAGTATACCAAATGTTATGCCCTGTCTTACCATAAAACATAAGCATCTCATACAGAAAAAGGTAAATGTCCAAATGGATGCCTTCTTAGCCATTATCAGGTAGAGAGAACTCACAAGGTCATGTAAAAATAGCCTTGAGTTTAACTAACAGGCCATTAACTAAGTGGCTACACATTCCTAGTGTATCAAATATATAAAATAGAGCCAACAAAGACTAACAAAGGGTTGTTAATTGTGGTATTCCCATAGCTAGGACATAGTTATCTTTTACTATATTTAACCTTTGAAAGTCTAAGCTGACACTTCAGTACTAACTGAATTTGAGGAGGCTTTCCTTGATACAAACTTCCCCTGCCATCCTTTTTATTAATCCTTCAACTCCCAGAAGTGATCAAAATGTAAGTTCTCCCTATAATAACCATACATTATCCAACAAACAGGTACTGAGAATACTTAAACTTGTACAATAGAAGTTGTCTTGATCTAACACCAAATTCTTGTAACCAATTCAAATGGTAATGTGTAGCAGCTAAAAACAGATCTTAGGAGTTTTTAGGGTTAAAATACCTGTGCTCAACTACAATATAAACTTGACCCTCTGGTGACTTGACAAGTAAGAGAAGGTTCAACAATGTCTTTAACTAGTATGACACTTATCCAAAGCTTACTAAGATAATCAACATAATGACATCCAATACTGTCAAGTCACGCTAACTCTTCCACCTTGTTTTCACCATGACATTTGACTGCTTTTCCTAATAACCTTATCGATAGATTATACCTAGATGTATGAATAATTTAACTAGAAAGAAAAACATTTTATCTCAATTAGTCTATTTTGAAGAGTTACCATGCCTTTCCCAATATTAACTGGCATGACTGGTCTGGAGTTAACATTACAAGCGTCATCGAAACTTCGTGAGACACTGTTTTAATCAAATGAAAGTGATGTGAATTAAGGTTCGATAAGTGTAATAATTAAGTACTATAGGTTCTATTTTGTTTAAATTTTTTCAGCTATATTTTTGCGCTACTGTAAAATATTGCAGTCATGCAATCGAGCAATTTACAACCTCAAACAAACAACGCTCCATAGAACCTCCAAAAACTGGATCATACGACCACACAACTGACAAAACGCTGCTTAATTAATTCACGACCGATTAATTTTACTTACCTTTCCCAAAAAGCAAAGATTGTGTATGTAAAAAGAAGTACAATCACAAGCCGGGTCCTCTTTTCCCTTCCACTACCGCAATCAAAGATGGCGGATTGGTCCTCGGTAATTGCCTCAATTATTGTTGTACCCTCTGGGATAATTTTACCCATAATGCATCGTAGCACGCGTGTGAGTCATTTTCATAATTACTTGATTGTGACGTTTAGTTCGTGAGACCTATTCAAGTCACGGGAAAAACGGACTTTCTTTCCCTTTTCTAGACGTATGACAAATTCTAAAGAGATGATAACAAGTTGGAATGCAAAGGAGTTAGCTGCTGCCGCAAATTGGTTAGAAAATATGTCTCTAGAATGGATTGTTTTAATGACGGTTGAAATGCCTTGCTTGGGTGGATAAATATTTCACAGCCCTTTGTTTTCACTACTGAACCATTACCTACTATGTAGTTAGAGATAGATCTGGCCATGTTTCTGGTGATGTTTTTTGCCCATCATTCGCATCTTCGGTTTAGTACTTGAGCTTACGAAAGTCTTCCTTCCTCTGGTGATTAGTCCTTTCAAAAAATGATAATTTGCATTTTGCCTTGACATCTTTAAATTATAAGTGACAACCATCTTTATTTCCGTCGTTTCAAGGTTATGACAATAAACAAAACGATTCCGTGAGTGTTCAATGCAGACAACATGATTTGGAATGTAGTATCTTGAACACTGAAATGTTCCTTTTTTGTTAAAAACCCCTTTGAAACAATCTCAGTGATAATTCACGCAACGGGTTTTGTCGGAATGAGATGAATTATATTTGTTGTGGATTTAGTTGGAGTACTTTTTTAGCGGATAGATATCAAGGAATAAGTCTTGATACACAATATGAAAGAAGTACTCTGAACCCAAATCAGCCTCAACTTGTTTACATAATAATATCTTTGTGCCAAGCAATCCTTCCAGTTTTGACAGCTTAGTAAAAGGTGATAAATAGATATTGAAAGAACATTTTACCTCCTAAAGAAACTGTGCAGTCTGCTATTTTGATAGTCTTGATGAACATTTGTAGGACTGGTTTGTAAGAGATTGTGTTTTTTTGAAGGATATTGCAAAGTAAAGCAGTTGATTATTTCTCAGGGGCTTTTGTTTTGGGTGAGGGTTGAGGAATGACCTTCTCTATTTAAGTATTCAGCTACCTTCTCAAAATGCTCTTTGAAGTTTCTTCTTCACAATTACTTATTGAAATTCCTAGGATGTGATCATGAGTTGTGTACAGAGATGACATATACATACACAGACTTCATTGAGCATTTCTGGAGGGTTTTTCAGCATCAATATTGAAATACAGAAAATAGTTAAATAACAGAAAAATATCATGTGCCCAAACTTATTTAAATGTTTCTTCAAGACTTTTGTGTCTTTTATTTGGTTCCAGTTCTTGTTCAGGCTGTTCCCTATTTTACACTACAATAATAAAAGGCACACTGATTGGCAGCAATTCTGCAAGATTCTTGTCTGTCTGTTATGAATGATAGATTATGTTCAAAATTTGTTTCACAATTAGCAAGGTGACAGACCATTGAGACATTTGTGCCATATCTCCTACCCTAGGAGTATTCCTAGATGGAACTAAACAATAAATGAAGCTGCACTAACTATAACTCACTTTTTTCAGGTCTAGACAATATCAACCTGCAACACATGGTAACAGTCATGAAAATCATGAGAATACTGAGTCAAGTGAGGTATTGAAACAGTCAGAGACACCAGAATGGGAAAAAGCAAGGCAAGCATTAGCCAAAATGAACCCACAGATTTCTAAGTCACCTGTAAAGTCTTCAACCAAAGCTAGCAATAGCAACCCTAGCGGTATGACTTCCACCATCCAGCAGCAACCAATGATGTACCCACAGTACTATCAACAATATTATCCACCATGGAATGGCTATAACTATCAGTATCCTTATACAGGTTATATACCACCTTACCCTATGCCTCCTTCACAGCCAAATGTACGTCCACCTCCAGTAAGTGTTTTTGTTCATGTTTGTTTGTCTTTTGCAGTGGTAACAAAAGTGATAAAAGGCTTTTTTATATATTTGACAAGCCAAATTTGGACATAAAATTAATCCTCCCCCCAAAAAAACTGTAAGGCCATTTTTCTGAGTGGCTATTTCTCTTCGTTGTTAGTTACACATGTGTCAATTTAGCATTTTACTTGCTTTAACACCCATGGTAGAGTGACATTATAATCAATTTTTTTTCTAAATGAGCATAGTGTGGTTGTATACATGTATATATATGTAAACACTATTTGATATTGTATGCCTCTCTCTTTTAGCCCTATCAACCATCACCTCCTTCAGTACCTTCATCAACAGCAAGCAGCATAAACTCAACTGAGAACATAAATACCACACCAACTGAACAAACAAGTGACCAGAACACCTTACATGAGCACACGAAACTCAGTACTTATCAGCCAAGGCAGCATTGGCAAACCAGAAATCAGCAGCATCCTCCATATTCACCTCAAAATGAAAAGGTGAACTATAAAATTTATGTTACCTATTCCATGTACTTTTTCCAGTGAAAAGGTGTCCAGGTACCAAACAGGGAGTAAATTTTTTTTTCTTTGACATCGCTTACTTTACTCAGTAATGCTGTGACTTATTAGAGAACCCAATAAAGCAAGATTGCTCCTTGTGGTATTCCATTTAAAATTGTGCCTTTTTGGATGTTAATTTCTGTTTTCAGCCATATCATTTATGTTTTTTTGTATCATGATGTTCTACAGTTGTGTATTTGTCCTCACTTTAAGGTCATTTTCATTTTATCTTTAAAACAGTCTTTACTCTAAAACCTCTTTAGAATACAATTTTCATGGATTTCAATATAAATTTTGATACTTAGGAGGAAAATAACAGAGAACAAGAAAGCAGGCATACTTTTGTACCTCGGCAGCAACGTAGTTCCTATGCTGATGCTTTAAAGCACCAAAATGATGAAAACAGCAACAGAGAGCAAGGAAGCAGGCATACTTTCATACCACCACAGCAAAGAACGTCCTATGCTGATGCTTTGAAGAATCAAAATGATGAAAACAGCAACAATAATAAACAATCATTTTGGAAACAATCTAATCAGTCAAAGTGGAACCCAGGCTAGTAAACTCCATAGCTTTTAAAGAGTTATCCCTGATTGTCTGACAAAAACACTCTTTCATTTAAAACTGAAGGATACACACACACACACATAAGTAAACCTCAGCTGATCAAAACAAGTGAAAACTCTTACAGTGGTTGTCATTAGACATTTTATTTGAAACAACACATAGATAGGACAACTCTTATTGCAAATAACTTCTTGCCTTCCCACCAGAAATTGCCAACTGCATTTGTATATTAGGGGGAGAGTGCTTGGCATAACTTTTCAGTATCATTTTCCTTACTTGGACTGTGATAGAATTTTAGTGTGGGTTATACGTCTCTAGAGAGTCCCAGAAATTGATCAAACTTTAGAATCCTGACAACAACGGAGCAGGAAGTGCTGAGTTGAATGATTGTTCTCTTGATCTTTTTTCACTCAGCACTTTACAAAAATTTTGTAAAAGGTCATGAAAAGTAAAGGAATTTCGTATTCTCAAAAAGAACTAATCCTGAAAATGTTTGATTTTGCCATTTCAACTGTTGACATTCAAGCACTGAACTTCATTAGGTTGCTATTTGTTAGTTACAAACTACAAGTATCCATTTTGGAAAGGTTATGTTGTTTTTATCATTTTAACCCACAGGTGGAAATTTGAATAATAATAGTTTTTCGTCACCAAATGCAAAGAAATTTAGACCATCTTTTGAGAGAAGGGATAGTCTTTCACAAGATGAACGTTCAACACCTTTGCAGACAGAGCCTCCAAAAAAAAGAAGCCCTAGTAGGAAGCAGCAACAGCCGCAACACCAAGAGCAGCAGCACATGAGAAAACCAGAGAGACAAAAATCCCCACCCAAAGAGGATACCAGGTTAGTTATGCTTGTACTTCACCAATGCTTTCATATAAAATGTGTAACAGGATACCTTGGGTTGCCTCTTGTAAATGTGTACTTTTACTTTTGTAGAGATGAACCCTCACTGTCAGCTCAAGAGTGGCCACCAAGTTTGAGGTATGTTTCTGTTAACATGAACCTTTGATATTTTTGTATTCTCTTGTATTGTTCTTAGGGGACCTTTAGAAGAAGTGGAATCAGGAGTGGTGGCTTGCCATATTCAGACTCTATCGATTTTCTGCCACTCTGCTATTGTCAACATACTAACATTATCAGTGGAGTGAGGTGCAAAAAATGTTTGATGTCTGGGTTTTGACTGTAAAATAAGGTTGTTGTCAGTGGTAACCTTCCATGTTTCCAATAGTTTATAAACAACTCCCAAGAGCCACGCAACCAACTTTAAAATGTGAAAGCTTGCCCAAAGAGGGAAATGACACTTCACTGGAAACTGAGCCAGTTACTATGAGAACATCACATTCTAACCTTAAAACATGGTGGTCAAACTTCTGTCACACCTCACTCCAAGTTTTGCACACGCTATATGTTGTCTGTCATATTAGTAGAAAGCCAAGAGGTACAGGAATCAATATTTGCTAATTTATTTGCTAGAAGTCATTTTTTTGCTTTCCTATTCTCTGATGAGTGCCTCACCAAAATTCAATCAAACTTTAGGATAGTCTCAAAATCTCAATGGAATTATAAAGTTCTTTGTTATTTCAAAATAGGGAATATGTGCAGAGAGCATTTGAGAAGTGTGAAACAGAATCTGATAAAGATCAAACAGAACAGTTCCTGAAGAATATGCTGACTTCACACTTCAGAGATGGCACTGCTTGGGTAGTTGACTGGGACAAAGAACCTTTGCCAAGGTTAGAAATGTGTTTTAAAGAGACTCTTAGGAGCCTCTGACTGTGAATATTGAGAATCTGTCTACAGATACAAAATTCTGTAGTGCATTCCATTTTTCCTGAAGGGCTTTTTATCAAATAGTTCTGTCACACTGTGCTTTCTCCGAAAAATGGAAAAGTTCAAAGTATACAAAGATGGCTGTTGTCTCCCTTATCCCCCATGTCAATAAAAATTATGCAACATCAGCAACTTCATAGAAAAGAAAATTTGATGAATTAAACTACAATGTAAGCTTTAAAATGGCATACATATGTATATATTGATTTCTAAATGTAAATACCAGAATTTTTCATAGGCCTTGAAATAGGTGAGGCAACTGTTCATTGGTTGGCATTGCATTTTTGTTATTAGCCCAAACTCTTTTCAACCTGGACATGTGGCTGAGGTGGGCTGAAATAGAATATTGGAGGAATTAAACCACAAGGATAAGGCCTGAAGATGATGTATATTATGATTTGTAAATATACATGGCAGACCTTGTTATAGGCCTATAAAGTTGACCTTTATTTTACTTGTGCAAAAAGACACAAAGTACATTATGTCAGTGGGTCATAATTCAGACTTAAACTTAACAACATGACAAGAAAATTTATATTTTCAAAAAGATAAAAGGACCATTTGCTAGCACACAAAAATTTCAAAGCAGGAATGCATCCTGTTGTGGCATAGGAAGGTGCTAAAATTGCATAATTTTTCATTGTTTAACAGGGGGACAACAGCCATCAAGGTGTACTTTGAACTTTTTTATTTTTCTTGGAAAGCAAAGCTCAACAGTATGTTTTGATATAATTCTTGAAAAAGGCTCATCAAAAGGGTCCTTTAGGAAAAATAAGATGAATTAAGAGATTTTGCAACTGTTGGCAGATTCTAGATATTTACAGTCAGTGGCTCTTAACTTTTTGTTGTTTTTATTCCCTCGAATAAAATAACTAGTGTACATACTTGTTTGGTTTTTATTTTTTACTCTCTAAGTTACAATTTTAAATGTTTCCTTTCTGAAGGCTTATTATTATTATATATAATATTATTACTTAGTTTTCCTGAGAAAAGAAAGTGCTTTTGTTTAAAGTAGCCAAAATTTAAAGCAAGAATGAACCCTTTTACTCCAGAGATCTGTTTTTTTATTCTCCCCTCTAGCTGCTGCACCTGTCCTTGCTAATTAGTTCTGAGAATTTAATGTTTGATCAATTAGTATTGTTGGTTGATAAGTTTGATTATTCTCATAACCTGTTTGCTGGATAATATATGGATAATGTGCCTTAGGGAGAAGTTACATGTGGATTAATTTAATCCAACAGTCTGAGGAGGTCACCCCCAGAAGATAAAAAACTCCCTAGATGGCATCCTTCAAGGAGGAGGTCGCCACCTGTTCCTCGAAGAAGAAGGGAAAGGAGCAGGAGTTTATCACGTTCTAGAAGTGGCAGTAGAAGTAGAAGTAGGAGTAGAAGCAGAAGTAGGAGTGTTAGTCCTGATAGCAAGACAAGGACAAAAGCATTTGATCCTAAACGACTTGGAAAGAAATTGCCCAAAACTAAAGGAAAGGGAGGAAAACCTCAAAAAGGGAAGAAGAATGCTAAAGGGTGAGTAGTAATAAGTGAATACAATTGTTTTTTCATTTCGCACTCCTGACTCCTGTGTACAATGTATAGTCCTGCCACCATAATAAACAGGACTGCCTTGCACTTTTGTTAAATTGTTTTGATCCAAGTCAAAGTGTATATGCTTGGCAGTTCATGAGAAATGTTTGCATTTGTTTGTTGCAGGCCACAAATAGCAAATTACAATGCTACTGCTGACCCAAAAGCTCAGGAAAAGATACAGAAACGTGCAGAGAGATTCAAGTCAACTTTAGCCCCTCAAAGGCCCATGGCAACTAGTATTTTAAACACCATCCATTCTTTGGTGAGAGTTGCCTTACATTCCTTTAGTAAAATATCATAAAGCATATGTATAGTGCAGCTCAAAGATAAAAGAAGCAAAATATGTGTGTAAAAAGTGCCTGGTTCGTGTAGAGGACCAAACACATACTAGTCTTGCCAGACAAGCATACATGACTACTCTCAGGTGCATTTGAGTAATTGGTGCTAGCTGATTGTTCTCTTTGTATTGTATCTGTAATCAAAACTGGTGGTTAAAGTGCACCAAATGTCTGTTGATCATCTTGAGTTTCTTCTGGCTATGTTTGTTTGTTCATCACTATGGTCCTGTTAACTACACACAGTTTTTACTGGTCAGCAAATTTTCATAAAGGTTTGCTTGCCAAGAAATAGTGCAGTACCATAGGATGCAACATACTTTAAAGGAGGAAGGATGTCTTTAAAAACATTATTTTGTGCCTAACAACATCCAAGAACCTATATCCTCAGTGTTCTCTCTGTATACATGAATGGCTTTTCCTTGTTTGGCTATGATCTATATGTTCATTGGTTCAATTGTGCTTACCAATAGGGTTTGTTTTTTATTCATTTGTCTTTCTAATTTTAGTCATTTGGTGAAGATGGTGAAGAAATGGATTGGAGCAAATATCATGTAGTTGGAACATGTGAAGATTTAGAAAAACCCTACCTCAGGCTTACTTCAGTGAGTTTTATTAAACATTTAAGTGCACCCTTCAATTCTACAGTTGTCTCTTTGTTCTGAATTTTCATCAACCCTTTTAAAAAAATTGTTAGTTTGAAGGCTGTGTGGAAATAATTCTTTAACTTACATTCAGTTGAGTAAACATAAAATTTGATAATAGTGTCACCCTATAATAAACATTACCTATTTTGCACAACTGTGCATTGATAGAAATGTCTGGAACTCATCTAGGGATTGAAACACTTTCACATTTACCTGTCTGTTAGAGTCGTGTTTGGAACTATGGCAGTCAAACTGCAGTTGCAATTTATAACCATTGTGCTAGTTTGCACTTCTGTGCATGTCATGTGAAACTTTATGCCAATATAATACATGTAATACCTCTTTGAATTGTTTTCAGCTGAAATTATGGGTACATATATGAATATTCTTAGTGGCCTGGAGTCTTTGAAATCACACTTTACATGCTGTTTCTTAATAGGCACCAGACCCCTCCACTGTTCGTCCAGTTGAGGTACTGGGAAAATCTATGGAAATGATCAAAAACCGTTGGAAAGAAAAGCAAGACTACACTTATGTTTGTGAGCAACTTAAGTCTGTCCGTCAGGATCTCACTGTAAGTACATTGAATATGTGTTTTGATTTGAAATACAGTCCAGAGAGGGTGACTGTGAAATTTTCTGTGATAGGTGCAAGGGATTAGAGATGCTTTCACTGTACAAGTCTATGAAACTCATGCCAGGATAGCCTTAGAGAAGGTAAGAACTTGCTACTGGGAAAAATTCATTGTAAGTAACTAACACATTCTGTTAACATGAAATTAATTAGTTTTACAGGTTTACATCCAATGGGGAGCTTTCTGATACAAAAACTGTTCTGATAAATTGTTTTCGCTAATATCACTTGAACTTCTATGAAGTTAATTGTTCAAGATAAGGGAAAGGAAGAATTGCATACAGTAATGTTATTGACAGATGCAGTCGTAATATACAGTTTTGTGGGTGACATTCCAAATGCTTAGATTTTTGATTAAAGGTAACATTTAACATTTATAGCAGGCCAATGCCAATTCATGTTATTTAGGTGATAACTATAATTTTCGACCTTTCAGGGAGACAGAGAGGAGTTCAACCAGTGTCAGACACAGCTGAAAGCCTTGTATGCTGAAAATTTGCCGGGAAATGTTGTAGAGTTTACTGCCTATAGACTGCTTTATTATATTCTCACCAAAAATACATTGGGTATCCTTGATTTCACGTATTGTCTTATTTCATATATACAGTCTCGATTGTGGTGTTTGTTGACTGAGTGGCTTGCTCTGGGGTGTCTTGTGTACATAGAAGCAAAAGGTGGCATTGTAAGCTTGCACTTGTTCACCAAGCTACTGTCTGTGACTTGAATTTAAGGGGGCATGGGAGAGTGGGAAAGGAGAGGCAAGATGGCCTCCACACATTCTTTCACCACAATTTCAAGGCTAGTATTTTGAATCTTGAAGTTCGTTCTCAAGATGCAAAAATCCCGTTTTCTTCAGAGTTGTGTCCAGTTGAAGGTGCAACTTCAGTTAGTTTATATGCATATAATCAGACTTCTAACCGGCTATGATAAGACTCAAGAACAAAGGAAAAGGCTTTATACTTAGTGTTAACGGAAAGCAAATGATCCTAGGGTATTTTTATGTTTCTTTCTGCAACAATTTTGTTATACCTACAAGTAAACTGATTGCAGTGACATCTTCCTTGACTGTAGGTCTCAGATCTGACAACAGCCTTGGCTCATTTGACAAAAGAAGAGAAAGCGGACCCGGCAATAAAACACGCATTATTAATACGTTCAGCTTGGGCTTTGTCTAATTATCACACTTTTTTCCAGCTCTACTTGAATGCACCCAACATGTCAGGCTATCTATTAGATCTCTTTGTACAGCGCGAGAGAGTCCAAGCTCTGAGGGCCATGATCAAATCGTGGGTTGTTTTTGTGTGTTATTTTCTGGGAAAATGGCGATCTGTTCATTCGTTAATTTTGAATTTTAAAATGTACCATTTGTTTTTTAAGAAAAACCTATATTCAATTAAAATGAAATTGGTCATTTCCACTGGCTGCTGTTCTAGTGTAATTTGTAAGGAAAGGCAAAAATGAACCGATCATCAATCTCATTTCCCAGATATTTTAGAGCATTTTTTTCTGACTTTGCCGATACTCGAGCTGATGTTTTCCACATTCAATTTGTGTTCAAACCTCCACACATTGTCCCTCTGATTTGTTAACTTGAGGAGAATTGTGTTTGCCCCTTTTTTTCTAGTCTTGTGGTCTAAGTCATAAAAACATGCCCTAAGATGATGCATGATATATGATTGTTTGTGTGTATCGTAGTAGTGTCATCGTTGTTTCTGTGGTTACCTTTTTAGTCATGTTTGTGCCTTCGGACCTAAATTCGAAGGATTATTGTATGTAGCTATGAGTTCAATATTTTTCTGTGCAAGGCCCAGGTGTCATTAGGGTGTAAAACATTAGTAATGCTAAACCTTCACAAACTTTCATCGCTCTGTGGTCATGTGATTTCCCAAGATTTTCCCACTGTGCTTACATCTTTTTGGCCTTCTTGCAAAGAGTAGCATTTACCTATTTTCTTGGAGGGTATTTCCTTCGATCCTATCGTTTACTTACATTAAAGCGCATTTTTCTTGCGTGCGTTATACTTTGTCCAGTCAAAAAAAAAAGACGTGTATTGGAGGAATTATCCCTGGAATTAGTGGGATGTGAAAGTTGGCACTGTGAGAAATTGCCGTATTTTGTATGGAAATGCTGTAAAGCATGGACATTTTATGGTTTTAGTTGTTGAAATGATGTTCTAACTTGTTATTTTACTTTCTTTACTCCCTTGTGCTTTCCTTCTCCTGTCTCCTGCTGTGCTGTGTGTGCCGCAGATACCGTCCCACTATACCTGCCTCCTTCGTTGAATCCGAGTTAGGTTTCACTGAAGATGGGCAGTGTCTCAAGTTCTTACAAGATCTAGGCGTTATCTTCACCGCAGATGATACCAAGATCGACTGCAAGCTCTCCCAGGGAGTCCTGACAGCGAGCTGACCTGTCCCGTCCCGTTCCGTGTCAACCCGTTCCGTCAAGTCTTGGATTAGTTAGGGAAAAGCAAATTTGATTTTAGGCGAATATGCAGTAGGCACTCTTTAACTCTAGGCCCACTTCATATTTGCGACCAGGTGTTTCTGTTGGTATAGGCAAATGTAGGTCTACTTTTAACTAATTTATTCTGTAAATCCTTCAAGAATTCCGTGAGAACTCGCAGAAAGCTATAAAGCGAGTGTATTGATTAACGCATCACCCGTAAGTATTGTACTGAAGTATTTTCTGGCCGTCCAGTTTGTGAAGAGATTGGTTACGTACCGTATGTGCAAGTTGCTGATGTTGCTGTTCCCTGACTGCTCTCGTTTGTCAGACTTTGTCTTTTTCAGGCCACAACAAGCAAGAATGGAAATAATCTTCCTCAAGACTGGTCTGTATATCAAGTTCAAGAAAATTAATAATTCAAAAGATGTGTATTTATAGACTATTTCACAAATAAATCTGAGATTTTTACTAATCAGCTGTAACCACTCTTCTCCTTGTTTTATTGTTTCCAACTTGATTACTCAGCTTTTGACAAAAATTAACGTTATGTAACGAGAATCTCAGACCTGATCTTCATTTCTCCACAATAGCTCTTCAAACCATTATTAATGATCCTGCAAGATTAATAATCATGCGACGCGGGGCGAGGGAACAAGGCGTCTCGAAATCAACTGAGGAGATGGTGTGCTCTTCAATAAGACATCAATTTTAGTGCTAGAGAAGTCGGAAAGGGTTGTTCCACCCTTATCTCCCTCTCTTCTCTTAGCGGCCTCCGGCTAAATGTAATTTCATAAAAAGACGCTACATACGGCCCATGAATGCTAAAAAATATCCCAAATGCGCCGATTAACATTTATTTTCACTTAATTGAGATATACAGACCGAGAGTCAATTTAGATGTGCAGTTTTAGAGCTTCAGTCATAACCCTTATCCATTTAGTTCGTCTTATGTCAACAATCATAGCGTGGTCTGCCTGTAACGTAACATTCAGGACAGTGCCAGACTACTCGCCCGCGACTAGTCCGTACAATCCTTGATACCTTTATTTTGCTCAAGTCAACTGGAAACTTCCGTGATTTTAACTGTTAACGTGCGACACACTGATAGCCTTACAACTTCATGTCCCCATTTCCCACTGAAAATCGATTTTTGGTTTCCTTTTTAAATGAGAAAATTTAAATGTGTTAGAGATTTACATGCTACAACAAGCTCTCCTAGCGACTCTGGATACTTTACCCTAACATGAGCGCGGTGACCGTAGGAGAGATCAATATTTCCTATCCCGTATCTACTCAAGTAGCTCTGTCTCTGTTCTAAGGCCCCATGAGTTGACAAAACTTTTCATAATACTGATTAATGAAACCCGAGAGTCGAAAATTCTTGCGTGTTCGTGAAAATGATATCACTTTCCACTGCCAGCGAAGCCTGAACGTAGTAGAAAAAACATGCACTTACGTTTTGACTGTCTGTTAAGTCTGTAGGTAGATTAAAGTGACTTAACAAATGGTCGAGGAAGTCTTTCTAATCAATTGAGATGTGGCGGAGAAGTGCATGCAAATTTGATGAAGTCTGGCAGCAATCACCAAAACTTCAACAGTAGCTACGAATATATTCATTTGTTAACGAGGGAAGCTCTCTCTTCCGCAGCCGGTAACGTACTGGACGTGAAGTCTTGAAAATTATCACACGGGGAGCTAACTTCAGTCAACACGCGTTAATTCCCCTCAAACGATGAGTGATCCGGAAAATCGTCATTTAGTGATCCAGTTAGTGGTGAAACTTGCAATTTATACGTTGGTTTTTTTTTTTTCGTGATTGGTTAACTCAACCTCATGTGTACAATATTATTTTTTGACATATAAAAAGCAGTTAATGCTCTTATATTTCCAGAGAATGTTTGATACACAAGATATTCTGTGGTGAACAGCGGGTAGACTTCGCTACGAGCGGCACCCCGTTTAATTGGCGTCAACTTCACTGATCGGAAGTGCAAGGGGAAAAAAATCTCTTCGAGCCTCCAAGGCTTAGCTACAACGACATATACTATGTCTTGTCGGTCATTTTTACAGTAACAAAGCAACAGAGCCCACGTTTTTGGCCAAAGTACAACGTTTGGCAACCGCACGTGTACGTTCATCAACAAAGGGTCGTACGGGATTACGCAAGAAGATTAATTTTAATCCTGACTGAATCACGCATTGTTTTGTTGTGGGACTTTGAATTGGCGCTCTTTTCGAACTCGTGTACGTTCAGCAAGAATAGGTCGTACGCGGTTATGCAAGAGGATTAATTTTATCCTGACTGAATCATGCATTTTTTTTGTGGGATTATGAAGTGGCGCTTTTTTCGAACACGTGGAATCAAAGTCTGACAAAAATAAGTTCTAATATCCATTTTTTCCGTCCACTTAACCTCTAAGGGTCGTTGGAAAATGAAACGAAAAGTCCAGTTCCTTCACCGTCCCTATACTCTCACAGCGCTCTCATACGCATGGGAGTATTTTTATATATGTTGAGCGTAAGGTAAACAAATGCTCAGGGGATGAGCCGCAATGTTTTATATATAGCATCCCGTCCAGAGGAAGTGACGATACCTTCAGTCACCTCACCATGCTTCTTTAAAACCGGATTACTATCAAGCTTGCAATGCGAGATAATTTCGTTTTACATCTTTTTTACCATGCAATCAGCAAGGAAAAATTTGCAACTCGAAAACTATCCTAAACGGCAAGGCGAGTGTTTCAAAATCCAGTGTTTTAGGCACAGAAGATCACAGCAAGTGATTATGACCAGTGCCGTGTTAAAATTATGACCTTCATTTTTACTGTTTTCTTGTGTTCGTGTACGCTACGGCATTGATGACTTTCTTCGTGTAACCGTTTTACAAAATGAGAATAAGGTCACACTTTCTGACGCCACTGCTGCCATCTGTGCATAAACACCAATGTAGAATGGAACTGATATGAATGTTATAAGTGACTCTGGGATAATTTTTCAGAATTAACAGAAGAAATTTTCGCAAATAATTCGTTTTTTATATCGAGAAAAGAAGTGTTTGTCAAATTAAGACGAAGTTAACAAACGCAGATGATCAGCTAAAACTGTAACGTAACGATGCTGTTGAACGGTTAACCCTTTGACTCCCAAGATCTGATTGCTGATTCTCTCCTTTTGCTGTTACACAGTTCCTTGTAAATTAGTTAAAAGAATTTGGTTTAAGATCAAGATAAAACCGCTTCCTGATAAGTTTTAGTATTTGCATTAACCGTTTGGTAGAAAACGTATAGATTTCATAGGGACAAGTTACATGTTAGTCACTTCTGGGAGTTAAACGGTTAAACAAATTAGAAAGATATATTATACCTAGGGTTCCAATCAGGATTTCGCCCAGCCTCTTTTTTCAACAACCGAAAATTAATCATCTGTCCTTCTTGCTGCGTGACTGATCATGAAGATTTGATCTCGCTTATCGTAGGTTGTTATGTAACACGCACGTCCCCGTTATCGTCGCCTATGTTGTCGCGAAATAGATAAGGTCCTTAAAATTACAACAGATCATGCAAACTGAAGGATATTTCGATGAAACCTTTCTCTGAATCAAGCCGGGTTCACTCGTAACACCCTAAGACGTTTTTTGGGATGTCACGGAGCGCTGCGTGACATTGCAAGGAACATGCGTCACATCATAAATTTGTTCTGGGAACTGACGTGAGGGGTGATGCACGTGCCGTTATTCTGGTCACGAGACATAAACCTTGGTTTACTCTAGAACTCACGCGATTACCAGACCGATCTGAAAAAAAAATTAATGTTAATGAAACCTTGACGATCATAATAGAATCAAGCGGGGTATTCTACAAATGCAAGAATGGAGAAAGAGACAAAAGACAAACCGCGATATCTATTGAGAGCGTTTATACACTTTAAAGGGCGGAAAAACGTAAACTCATGTTCCTTTCTGTTTAGAATCTTAACATTGATTAGCCCCTTTAACGTTACGAGCAAAAACCGAGTGGTTAGGTTTGCCAGTCATGGACTCCAGGGGTATTCAACGAACGGTTTCCAAAGGCGATGTTTCCCCGACGGTTAGAATCCTTGCGTTATGACATCTCTATTATCTTCCGAATTCATATAACCTCCACTGGAAAACTTCAACCCTTGTACAACCCCATTTTATAGACCTCGAGCTTGAAAACTTAATAAGAGCAGCCCCGTTTTGTCCGTCATAAGATGCACTCTCTCTAAACGGGATGAAAGAGGTTTTTGAGATCCGTAGTCGGTTGGCATTATTAGAAGTGCGGAGATCTTCTAATTCAATAATTTTTCACACTTTCGTGCCATCATCCCCATTATAGTTCTGACGAAGAACTCTGTAAACAGTCCACGTGTTAAGCACGTGTGTCTATTGAAGTTTCGAAAGTTTAGCGGTATTAATTTTTTTGTGCACGTACTACTTCGCTTTGGTTATAGTCGTTTAGCTCAAAAACCTGTTTTTTTTTCTCCTTAAATTATTTCATAACAAGTAATTAGAGCGGCATTTTTCAGTAATGTGCGAGCTGAGCGTCCTGACAAGACAAATACCTTATAATAAAATCATACAGCGCTACAAACGACATGCTATAAAACAC